GTTTCTTTAATTAAGAGGAGCTCTATGGGTTAGCCATGACTACCTGAACTCAAAGAAGAGCTTATTCATCTCCAGATGGGTGAGTGTTGTACAGGAAAACCGCTTAGGCTGAGCTCCCTTATTCCTTTGACTCAAGACACTCTTCTTAAAAAGTTAAAATCCCCACTAATTAACCTGAATTAATTTGGTTCTGGCCCTTCCAGCAATATTAACCTCCAATTTGGTGTATTACTATTGATAAAAGTTAATCAATCCTATCCCAACTTCTGTTAGAGGAAGGGGCAGGACTAACAGTGGTGTGCTGAAATGACATATCGGGACTAGTAATAATTAATGTCGTTTTTAAACATTCGTTTAAAATCTTGCTTGGCGTTGACTTGTATTGACATAACCTTCAAACACGTGGTATCTACAGAACATGTGAAGTGCAATTAACAAGTTTTGCTTGAAAAAGTTTGTGTTTGGTTTGGTTTTTGTTGCAAAACTAGGGCTAAGAAGATGGCGGATGAAGAGCATATTCGGCACTGCATGCTTTACGAGTTCCAATTAGGAAGAAAAGCAAGTGAGGCTGCAAAAAACATCTGTAGTGCTCTTGGTCAAGATGCAGTTAGCGCCAGAAAATGCCAGCGTTGGTTTGAGAAATTTTGCGAGGGAAATTTTTCGTTAGATGACAAGAGTGGTCGAGGCCGTGTGTCCAATTTTGATCAAGAAGCTCTTCAAGCTCTTTTGGTGCAAAATCCTCAAATTACCCAACAAGAGCTTGCGACAACTTTAAATTGTTCACAAAAAACAATTTCTAATCAATTGCGTGCACTTGGCAAAGTCCAAAAGTTTGGAAAATGGGTTCCTCATGAGTTGACCGACAACAACCATAATCAAAGAGTCGCAATTTGCAGTTCGCTCCTCTCTCGTCAAAACCGTTTGCCGTTTTTAGAGCAAATTGTTACTGGAGATGAAAAATGGGTGCTATATGTTAATTTGAAAAAGCGGCCTCAATGGTTGGACAAAAATGAGGCTCCGCAGCCCACGCCAAAACCTGACTTGCATGCGAAAAAAGTGATGTTGTGTGTTTGGTGGAATTTTAAAGGAATTCTTCATTATGAACTTTTACCATCTAACCAAACCATTACAAGTACAGTGTATAGTGCCCAATTGGAAAGGTTAGCCCAAGCTTTAAGAGAAAAAGAACCCGCGCTGATTAATCGGAAGGGCGTAATTCTTCACCATGATAACGCACGACCGCATACTGCCAAGAATCACTGCTGAAAAACTGCGCCAGTTGGAATGGAAAGTTCTCCCTCAACCTGCATATTCTCCTGATATTGCCCCTTCCGATTACCATTTGTTTCGTTCTTTGCAAAAACTTTCTTCTTGGAAAAAAATTTAATGAATGCCTCAAAAATGCATTGACCGAATTTTTTGCATCAAAATCACAAGAATTTTACAACAGAGGGATTAAAATGCTTCCTGAGCGTTGGGCACAAGTAGTAGAAAACAACGGCAACTATATTGTTGATTAAATTTTGTTGTATTGTTTAAATAAATTCGATTTAAAAAAAGTTAGAAAACGACATTAATTATTACTAGACCTAATATTTGATACTTAGTTTTGCAAGAGGCTTTTGTCTAGAACTGATCCCCCTAACCTGTGCTCTTGGTTACCCTAATCTGTGCCCTACCTCCCCCAAAGCTCTGAACCAGTAAACCTTGCTGCAAAAATAGACACATGCTTTCAGATCCACTGATATTATTTACTCTGGCAAAAGCCAAGGTGCACAGTCCCCTAGACCTCACCAACAGGAACAGTCATTCCAGCTGGGCCAGTGCGGATCAGTGACTGAGCGCCGAACTATGCACCAGGTCACTGGCTCTATTCCCTGTCAGAGCACATGTCCGGGGCTTGCTCCCCAGTGTGGGGTGTGCAAAGGCAGCTGATCAGTGTTCCTCTCTCATCAATGTTTTTCTCCCTCTCTAAAAAGCCAATAAAAACATGAAAAAATGATGGTTCTATATCCAGTACTCTGGAGCATTGCCTCCAGGAGGCAATTATAGATTATACAGCTTTATGGACCAAACCTTAGCCGGGAGGCATGGCCTCCCCATCTCTCAAGGTTCCACTAATGCAGGCCAACACTGCAGCTACACTCAATAGGGGTGGGGCAGTGAGAGATCCAGGAAACTATCCATCCATTATGCCCAAGGAGGAAACTGTTGAATGCTTCTGCATGCTGCCTATTACTTTATAAGTCATCCTACTTGGAGCCCCACAACCTGAACAACTACTGGCTTTACTTTGGTCTTAGAACTTCCCAAATCTAAAGAGCTATGCTCCATTCACAGGTACAACTGCAAAAAAAAAAAAAAAAAAAAAGGAAATTAGCCTGTGCCTCAGGGCCCATATTTCAGCCGAGGCCATCTTTAGTGCTTGATCAACTTAACTGTAAACTTTTCAGGCTCTTCTCAGCCCCTATAGTCATCCAGGTCCTTAAGAAAAATGAGGCCTGGTTCCAGATAACTTGAGATTTCAGTGAAATCAGAAATTGTATCCTTGTTCCTGCCTGTTCTTTTTTATAAATGTATATTTATTGATTTCAAAGAGGAAAGGAGAGGAAGAGATAGGAAAGACAGGGTCATTGATTGGCTGCCATCTGTACACTCCACACTGGGAATCAAGCCCTGCACACGTGCCCTGACTGGGAATCAACCCATGACCCTGGTTCATAGGTTGATGCTCAACCACTGAGCCACGCCAGCTGAGCATTCCTGTCTATTCCTGACCTCCGTATAGCCACAGGTCTCCTGGTTTCAAAGGTGCCTAATCTATGAGTTCACTTGTGGAATAACCCTCTAATATCGAATGGTGCCACTTAACATATACTGACCATTGCCCACAACTTCCTGCATGACTTCATTGACAGGAATGTAGTCTACCAAGTTGATAGTTTATCACTATAACGGACATCCTGTGAACACCTGATCAGTGCTGTCAGGTGAACCTCCTGCAACACTGTCTCCAAGAATAACCTACAATGAAAAGCTGAGAGCTCAGAGGATCACTTGGGAGGCACTTTTCTGGTTAAGGGACCCAAAGATGCCAGATAAGCTGTTAACAGTTCTGGAGAAGGGGATTCTTAGATGTCTACAAGTTTAACATCTCCTCCCAAGTAGCTAGGATGCCCTCTCTTGGAAGTGCTATGTCCTTCAGTTTTAAGTTCTACCTCTCCTCAACCTGCCATTCTTACCAATGAAGTGCTGGATCAAACTGAATACATCCAGTACCCAAAGGCTATTGGCCTTACCTCCTGGTTCATCTCCCATATTATACCTTTGATTCACAGTATCTTGTCTTTTTTAATACCTTCTCCTCATTGAATCCCCTATTTTTTGTGCCCTCCAGTTCCACAGATATTCTGGTAGCCAGTTAAAATGCTTGCACAAGTGACAGACGGCAAAAAGGAACCCCATTAACACCCAGCAAGCAAAGCAAAGGTCCAGTGTGTAGACTAGCACTAGGCCACAGGAAAGCTCCGTCAAATGCAAGACACTGTCTCTCCATTCATGATAGGAACTGTGAGACCATTCACGGACACTGCAAAGGCAGAGGTTATCAATGCACTGGTTATAGGTCTCTTTTCCTTCATGTGAATATAACTCATGTCTTTCACTACTCTGCTCCGTCCGGCTCTAGGAGATATGCTCCATCCTAGGCCCCAGTAACCTGCCCTATGAATCCCAACAGGTAACTGTAATATGTCATTTGGAAAGTCCAGGTCTGAAGGAACATTTGTCAAAACATTCTTCCACTTTAGGATACCTTCAAGCATTCTTTAACTAATGTTTCCAAACAAACAAATCTCTCAATGGAAACTGGAGCTAAATAGTAGCACACAGAATAAATCTGGAAACCAGCAACCTAATAATTTGCTTCAAAATGAACCCTCTCTGCTTGCTACCAGGCTTAGAATGGATATTTCCAGGCAAATTCTCACTTTCAACTTTGGCCTGGCTGTCCAATCAATCACCTGTCAGATAGAATGCTGGTTCACTGTGTGAAGTCCTCGTATAATTAATACCTTAACATCTTTTCTGTGTTTTTATGGAGCCTTGGAGAGATCCCAGCATCCAGTTTGAGATTCTTGGAGCACTGATCATTTCTCCCTTCACCATCACCTTCAACAAATGCAACAGTACGTATCTGAGTAAGGTACTTACAAACTTTTAAACTTTAATAACAAGTTAAAAGAGCATAAGAAATAATCAGAAAAACTACTTAAAAGTAAATGTATTAACATTTATAGTAACAATTCTACAATTTCTGTATTGTATTAGCGATGTTGATTGACCCAAAAAAAATCATAAGGTAAATTATCTATGTGAATAAAATGACTAAAAAATATAAAGAAAATACTGCCGTTTTGAACTTGAGATTTTTTTAATCGTACCTCCAAATTTACTGTTATTAAAGTTTAAAACTTTTAACATATCAAGTACCTCAAGAGAGCTTTGTAATTTATCACAGTCCAAACAAACATGATATACATATTTAGTATACTGGCATACTAAATATGTAATTAGACTAAATGTCCTTTTTCAGTAGTCTGAAAAAAACTGAGGATTCTGATCTTTTTTATGGCTTTCTATAAAACAGCAGTGGTTGCAGTTATCCCTCATTTTAAGAAAAGCAGTAAAAATTTTCTTAAATTCTGCAAAATTAGAAAACAGAAAACAAATTTCTTCTAGAGACTGAACATCCGTCCTAATTCCACATGTGAGACTAGAGCCATCTACTGGTTGGAGTGTAGTGTTACAAAGCACAACTATTGGACTGCTAATATTAACAGAGTATAGGGAGTCATGATTTTAAGAACTGAAAATATAAACATGGATAATAATCATCTAGTCTAGGACACTGACTCGTTAAAGGTTAATAATAGAATCTTTTTAACAGGAAACCCAACATATATAACAAAGTAGGGCTTAAAGTTGAGGTAAAGGGCCTCCTACCCCAACTCTGATTCCCGGCGGGCCCAGCCAATGGAACACAAGCCATGAGAGGTAGTCTGGGCAGATAACCGAACTGTGGTTTGGAAGGAGGCACCATAAGAAAGAATGGTCTCAGCAAAGCGGTCTCTTACCCATCTTTCCCCTAGAGACACCTCAGAGACACCGGCATACAAAGGGCAGTGGTTAATGAATGGGCAGAGAAAACAGAGCCAAGGCTGGCACCTGAAAGGTTTTAAACCTCTTTTCACAGGGACATCATCACTTATGGGCTCATTTGATGCAACACTTAAGGAAACATTAATATGACTTTCCTGAAATGCACAATGACACATGTGCTCTTTTACCACAGCCATAAACCACAAGAACTGGGTTTCTAGGTCCTATGGGCTTTCACCAGACAGGCCCTGGACTGGTCCAGGCGAGGAAACAAGAGCCCAGTTTCCGGTCCCAGCTTTCTCCCTTCAAAAGGGCAGGGATGTCCGTAGAATCGAGGCAAGAAGGCGAGCTCTCCCAGGCCTCTCTCTGTGGCAGAGACCCCCAACCTGGACAGCAGCTTGTCAGCCAGGCTTGGGGTGACAGGCTGCAGCAAAGTTCCAAAGATCCGCAAACATTCCAAGGCCACGTGGAGCACAGTACCGAGCCAGGGAGCATCCACTGGGCTCTCCCAACTCAACTTCCAGGGTGCGTGCCTTTGGACGAAGCCATTGGTCTGCCGGACACAGCTGGACACTGCCTCCAGGGCCTTGTAGATCTGAAAGTCCGCGTAGTGGTCTGCCACCTGCCTGGGCAAGGCGGCCACGGCACTCACCAGGGCATAGTCCTCCGCCCCAGCGCGGGCTGAGGGCCCCGCCAGCCCCGGCTCCCTGGGGAAGCAGGTGGCGCAGAAGGCCGGGTAGGTCCCCGAAGGGTTCATTCTCTGGGCAGTGCATCGGTTCAGGAGGCCTCCCAGCGCATCCGCCAGCTCGGAGTCCAGCAGCTTCACCACCTTCTCCTCATAGTAGTCGCAGTCCCAGTTGGGGACGCCCTGGCGCAGGAGGAAGTAGCGGAAGCCATCCACAGTATAGCGGTCGAGGCAACTGCTGGGGTCCACTACGTTGCCCAAGCTCTTGGACATCTTTTGGCCACGGACGGTCCAGTGGGAGTGGACATAGATGCGGTGTGGCGGGCTCAGGCCGGCTCCTAAGAGCAAGGCCGGCCAGTAGATGGCATGGAACTTGAGGATGTCCTTGCCTATGACATGAGAGGTGGTGGGCCACCAGGACTTGAACTCGGCCCCGGGGTAGCCGACCACAGTGAGGTAGTTGACCAGGGCATCCAGCCACACGTAGATGGTCTGCGAATCGTCCCCGGGCACCGGAATGCCCCAGTGCAAGTGGCTGCTCTTGCGAGAGACCGACAGGTCCGGCAGGTCCTCCTCCAGCCACTGCAGGACCGTGCGCCGAAAGGGCTCGGGGGTGATGGCCTGCGGGTTGTCCCGCAGCCAGCGCTGCAGCGGCTCCCGGAACCGGGACAGCCTGAAGATGTAGTTTTCCTCCTTGGTCCAGCAGACGGGGTGCCCGCTCTCGGCAGACACCGGACACGGGGCCCCCGACGGCCCGGGCTGCCGGCTGACCTTGGCCTCGGGCAGGAAGCACTCGTCCGAGGCGCAGTACCAACCTTCGTAGAGGCCCTTGTAGAGCAGCCCCCGCGCCCGCAGCGCCGCCCAGAAGTGCTGCACGGCCGCGCGGTGCCGCGCCTCGGTGGTGCGGATGAAGTCGGTGGAGGAGACGCCGGCGTCGCGGAAAAGCCGCCGGAACTGGGCCGAGACGCGGTCGCACAGCTCGGCCGGAGGCAGGCCCGCCGCGGCGGCCGCCTGCTGGATCTTCAGGCCGTGCTCGTCCGTCCCGGTGGAGAAGCGCGTGGCGGCGGCGGCGGCGGCGGCGCCGGGAGCCCGCAGGCGGCGGTGGCGGCACAGCGCGTCCGCCAGCAGCGCCGAGTACAGGTGCCCGATGTGCGGCGCCGCGTTCACGTAGAAGATGGGCGTCGTGAAGTAGGCGCGCGCCTCGGGGGCTTCGTCGCGGGCGCCGCGAGGGCCGGAGCTGCAGAGGCGGGGGCGGGAGGGCTCCGGGAGCGAGAGCCCGCGAGCCACGGCGCGTCCGAGCCGCCGCGCAGCACAAACCCGCGGGAAAACCATGGTGCCCTACGGCCCGGCCGGCGCGGAGGCGCTCCGCTGCACGTGGGAGGCGCGCATGCGCGGCCTAGCCACCGCCGCTTCCGGGCCCGCCCTCCCTTCGCCCAGGCCACGCCTTCCGGTCGCACAAGCCACGCCCTCCCGTCGCCCAGGCCACGCCTTCCCGTCGCCCGGGACACGCCCACCCCCGCGCCCGTACGGGACCGCCCCGCCCGCTCTCGAACGTCGGACGCCGCGGCTGTGAGCGGCCGCAGCGCGAAAGGGGGCAGCTTCGGAGCTGGCTGAGGGAGCTGAGGGAAGTGGTAAACTCCTGGCCGCCGTTTGGGGTCGTCATGACACATTCACGGATCTGTGTCCCTCTAGGCTGAGCTCCCATGGGCCAGAACTTGATGCTGGGGCATTTCTCCAAACCCAGCCGGACACAGCCCGCCCGCACGGCGCCAGTCACCGCGGGGCCTGGGCTCCCTAGCTCACCTCCCCACACCGCGGACACGGCTGGAAGCGGAGGGAGGAAGTAGTTACCAGAGCGCCTGGGGAAGGAAGAGAACTGAGAGGTGCAGGAAATGTGAGGTTCCAGCTGAGAGGTGTGCGACGCAGAAGCAAAACGCGGAATCCAGACCATTAAAAGGGGGGAGATTGTAATCTGCGCTCCCGGGCGAAGCTCGCTGGTCCGAGGGTGGGCCAGGGAAGTTCGCGCCAAAAAGCGGCGTAGGCACTTCTTTTATACAGCTGTGTAGGGAGGGGGGGTGGAGGGCATGAGAGGGGTGGAATTCCTGCCTCGGGCCAGGGGTCCAGGAAGGCCCTAGGAAGGTGCCAGCTAGCTAGCTAGCTATCTTTGTCACCATCCACCTTGCAGATGCTTGCATGGCTCTGGGCTTCCCCCCTGCCTCGACCTAACAGAAATCTATCTTTAAACACGCTCAGCATTTGTTGAATCAACAACAAAGGTATTATAGTTTTGAAATGTGCAAGTTTTTGCCGAGGATGACGTAGGACCAGGGAGGTGGGATGTCTTATGGGGTCACTGTGCACATGAGGAAGAATCAGCCTTCCAGTTTATTCCACAAAGTAATTACAGTAATTTTCCTAAATGGCCCTGGGTTCCTAGAGCAGTTTTTCCCGTTTTGCTTTTATTAACCGAACTCCAGCTCCATCGAGGGGAAGCTTTGGGAGCTCAGAACTGGGTTAATGTAAATCAATGCTTCAGGCATGCTCTCATCTTTGGTCTATGACTAGCCATCTTCTCTCTCTCTCTCTCTCTCTCTCTCTCTCTCTCTCTCTCTCTCTCTCTTTCTCTCTTTCATTTAAATACTATTGTTATCTAGTGATAAAATGGATGGGACACCTGTGAACCTGCAACTCAACCTTAGAACTAAGAACTAGAAGTGGCTCTCTTACTCAAATCACTGATCATCTGAATGACGCAAATCAAAACGGCAATGAGGTACCACCTCACACCTATCAGAATGGCTATCATCAACAAATCAACAAACCGGACAAGTGCTGACGAGGATGCGGAAAAAAAGGAACCCTTCTTCACTGCTGGTGGGAATGCAGCCTGGTGCAACAACTGTGGAGAACAGTATGGAGTTTCCTCAAAAAACTCCCTTTGACCCAGTAATCCCACTCCTAGGAATATATCCTAAGAAACTGGAAACACCAATAAGAAAGGATATATGCACCCCTATGGGGTATTTGGCTGAAGTGCTCTATTTGATCCAGCCATTTAAAAAGGGCAAGTGAAGGATGGGTAAAACTTAGAACTGTAGGGTATGGACACTCTCCAGAACTAGGAAACAAATCAGGTTCTCCCACAGTTCTTCCCCCACCCCCTTTCTTTTCCATGGAATCTATCTTCAGCATACACATGTGCCTTTTTCCCTATCTTAAAAAAAAAAAAAATTCTCAGCCCCCCGTGCTGTTCCATTTCTTTCCTTCCCTTTATAGCAGAACTCTGTGAAACAAATGGCTGTTGGTGCCCATTTGAGTGGTTCAGGTTTTTCCTCTTAGGGACACTAGTGCAACTTTCTCATATATATTTCCTGGTACTGATATGCTAACGTTGATCTTGGATATATACTTAGGGGTGGTATCGCTAGATCATAGAGATGTGAGTGTTCAGTTCTGAAAGATATTGACAAGTTGTTTTCCAACATAGTTGAACAAATCCACATCCCCATCAGCAACATACCCCTAAGGAGGCCTCTCTAATACTTAGATATTATCTATTTAATTTTTTGCCAAACAAATGTAAAATACTACCTTGCTAATTTTCATAGAAGCATTATTCACAATAGCCAAAAGGTGGAAACAACCCAGATGTCTTCCATCTGATGAATAGATCATCAAATGTAGTATAGCCATCCAATGGAGTATCATTCAGCCATAAAAAAGGAATTGATGCTGATCCATACCACCACATCGCTAAACCTTTAAAACATTATGCTAAATGAAGGAAACCAGATACAAAAGGCCACGTATTGTAGATTCCATTTGTATGAAATATCCAGAATAGATAAATGCATAGAGACAGAAGAAACGAGTTGTCATCATGACGTGGGAGAGCGTTGGGATGGAGAGTGAATGCTTAAAGATACGGGTTTTCCTCGTAAGGTGATGAGAAAGTTCTGGAGCTAGAGAGTGATGATCATTGTATAATGTAGTAAATGTACTGAATGCCTGAACTGTACACTTTAAAGTGGTTAAAATTGTAAATTTTATTTTTATTTTATAACAAAATTTTATCTCTCTGTGGTCTTGATTTGCGTTTTCTTAAGTAGAAGTGAAATGGATTCATCTCTTCATATAATTATTAACTATACATATAACTATATATATTTCTTTGAAGTGTCATACATATATACTTTTCTATTGGCTTGTCTTTTTCTTTATTTGCAGGAGGCCTTTATGTATTCTTGGTAAGTTCCTTTACTGTTGATAGTTCACAAATGTCATCTCTAGACCCGTGGTCGGCAAACTGAGGCTTGCGACCACATTCAGCTCTTTGGCCCTTTGAGTGTGGCTTTTCCACAAAATACCATGGCTTGGGTGAGTCTATTTTGAAGAAGTGGCATTAGAAGAAGTTCAAGTTTAAAAAATTTAGCTCTCAACAGAAATTTCAATCGTTGTCCTGTTGATATTTGGCTCTGTTGACTAATGAATTTGCCCACCACTGAGCTAGACTAATGTCTAGTCTCTCCATGTTGAAGAGGCTTAATGAGTCATCAATTATCAAGCAGACTTCTGCAGTACTCTCCTGCTGACTGGCCTCCCTCCTTTCCTGCTCCCTTGATGACCACCCTCTTCAAAGCAGCCCATGTGACTCATAGAAATGCAGACTGACGTGACTTGACTACCTCAAACTCCTCCTTTGATTTTTTTTCATTTGATTATTTGTTTTTTGTTTTGTTTTTTAAGACACTTAAAATTCTTTTAGTGAAATTAGAGGTCACAAACAACAGGATATTTGACTCTTATTTTCCCATTAATTGCTACTTATAAAGTCATACTTATCAATTCTAGTTTATTCTTTCTGTAACAATATTTTCCTGCTTAAAGTCAGATAGAGAAACTGCAAATGAACAGAAAACCAACCTTTTTAGACATGTAAGGAATCAAGAGTTCTCTAATCTGAAAGTCCTATTTCTGCCTTCCATAGAGTAAGCAGAAATATCATTCTACTCATTATTCCACCAAAATACATCTTCACATTTCAAATGGATTATTCCCTTAAAAAAATGGATTATGTTAAATAGAAAAATAAGAATGGTGAATTCTACTGAATATTTTTACATTTGCTCATTGCAATACTAGTTAAAACACCAGTTTATATTTTTTTTTTTACACATTCAACAGTTTAACAAATGCATGATTCTTTTGAAGTTGTAAATCAACTCTTCATTGGAGAAGATGTATGAAATTGCAGCATTAATTTCTGAATGAAGGATTGAAATTCCTCTTTCCAACTTCCTTCAGTCCATCTCTACTCCACATGTTCCTGCTCTTGTCCTAGAATTAGCCACCGAATGCTCTCAGTTCGAATAGTAGCATACATAATAAAACTAATTAAAAAGAATAAGGAAAATACAAGCAACCAGTCCACGCTTTTTATCAAAGTGCTGGGAAGAGGGCCTATTTGATCGGCTTGAGTTACCACCACATTTTTCTTGGCTTCTATACCTGTCTGGTTAAAAATGAAGATTTTCAGTGTTTCCAGTGTTCTGTCTGTATGATTAAATGTAGCCATTGGTTTAGCTCCTTGAAATAACAAGATGTTAGGAACAGCTACAGTGCCAAACCTGGTGGAAAGGCTGCTATGCTGAGATGCATCCAGGGCCAAAAAATGAAGAGCTGGAAATGCCCGGGGCAGAGAATTAAAATGAGGGGCCAAGCTGGCAGAAAATCGGCACCAAGGGGTATAAAACAGGACTAGCGTGCAGTCACTACCATTGGGGTTGAGGAAATCCATAAGGTCCTCCCTAGCCGCCGGCGGGAGGCCCCAGCACCCACAGCAGCACCTGCCACCAGCCGAGGAGCCTCATGGCGCAGGGCGGCGGCCGGACCACCGCCCAGGCCGAAGGGCAACCGGCGCTCGGCTCTCATTTGATTATTTGATTCTCCTTTGCTGCCTACAAAATAAAGTCCAAGTTCCCTTTGTATGGCTTATGACCTATTAGAGCTTAGCTCTGGCCTCCCTTACAGCTTAGTCTTCTTTCAAATTTACATTTTTTTCATTTTTAATTGCTTCATGGTTTTCAATTGTATGCCATACTGTTCCATGATTCCTGGCACATACTTCCCACCTTTTTTTTTTTTTTTTTTTTTGAGAAAGAAAGAAACATCGATTTGTTGTTCCACTCATTTATGCGTCCATCCTTTGCTTCTTGTATGTGCCCTGACTGGAGATTGAATCTGCAATCTTGACATATCAGGACGACGCTCTAACCCAGTGGTCAGCAAACTCATTAGTCAACAGAGCCAAATATCAACAGTACGATTGAAATTTCTTTTGAGAGCCAAATTTTTTAAACTTCTTCTAATGCCCTTCTTCAAAACAGACTTGCCCAGGCCATGGTACTTTGTGGAAGAGCCACACTCAAGGAGCCAAAGAGCCGCATGTGGCTCAAGAGCCGCAGTTTGCTGACCACGGCTCTAACCAATTGATCTGCCTAGCCAGGAGCTTCCCACCTTCCCTTATCTATCTTGTGCATATTCATCCTCCAGGACAGTTCATACATTATCCTCCAAGCTGAGTTGGAGGCCTCTTCTTGGGTTCTACAGTGTCCCGTGCATGCATTATCTCAGCAGCTACCAAATCAAAATGAAATTGTAAGTCTACCATCCCCATTCATGTTTCTTTAGGGCATGTTTAGCCATCTTGTATACCCAGCCCACATCCAGTTCAGTGTCTGGAGGGTAGCAAGCACTTAATACAGTGAGTACGTAATAATCTAGATGCTGCAATAAAAACTAGTGAACTTCAAATATTTCATTTTTCATCATCCAGGAGCTCACAGTCCAATGTACAGAAGAAAGCATGAAAAATGACAGGCATGAAAGCACTGTGAATAGTCAAACAAGTCATACTGGATCAGAGTCTGCTGTCTTTCCAGCCAAATTTACCCAGAAATTGCTTACAAACTATACTCATCTTTGAGAATGAAGGACTATGGAATTTTCCTCTGGTAAAACCACTTCTAAGAAGTAAACTACTTAAATACAAGAGGTCATTAAACAACAAGAAAGCCCAATGCATGGAAAAACATATTTGCCAATGATATCAACAATAAGAGTTAATCTCCAACATTTAAAGGGAACTCATGCAGCTTAACAAAAAGAAGATAAACAACCCAATCAAAAAATGGGCAACTGATCTAAATAGACACTTTTAGAAAGACAGAAGGAAGGCCAAGAGACATATAAAAACCTGCTCAAAGTCACTAATCATCAGATGCAAATCAAAACAACAATGTGGTATCATCTCACACCTGTCAGAATAGCTATCAGCAGCCGGGACCGGTTTGGCTCAGTGGATAGAGCGTCGGACTGCAGACTGAAAAGTCCTGGGTTCGATTCCAGTCAAGGGCATGTACCTTGGTTGCGGGCACATCCCCAGTGGGGTGTGTGCAAGGGGCAGCTGATCGATGTTTCTCTCTCATGGATGTTTCTAACTCTCTATCCCTCTCTCTTCCTCTCTGTGAAAAACCAATAAAATATATTTTAAAAAGAATAGCTATCATCAACAAATCAACAAATGACAAAAAGGAACCCTCCTACACTGCTGGTGGGAATGCTGGTGGTGCAGCCACTGTGGAGATAGTATGGAGTTTCCTCAAAAAACTAAAAATGGAAATCCCATTTGACACAGTAATTCCATTTCTAGGAATATATCCCAAGAAACCAGAAACACCAATTAGAAAGGATATATACATCCCTATGTTCATAGCAGCACAATTCACCATAGCTAAGATTTGGAAACAGCCTAAGTGCCCATCAGCAGATGAATGGGTTAGAAAACTGTGGTACATCTACACAATGGAATACTACGCTGCAGTAAAAAAAAAAGAATTTGCAACAACATGGATATAGATGGAGAGCATTATGCTAAGTGAAATAAGCCAGGCAGAGAAAGATAAGTACACATGACCTCACTCATTTGTGGAATGTAATGAACAACATAAACTGATGAACAAAAATATATCCAGAGACAGAGAAACATCAGAACGTCAAACCTCAGGCAAGGTAGGGGTAAGGGGAGAGATCAACCAAAAGACTTGTGTGCATGCATATAAGCATAACCAATGGGCACAGACACCAGGGGGGTGGGGGCATGAGTGGGAGGTGGGGGGTAATGGGGGAATAAGGACACATATGTAATACCTTAATCAATAAAGAAATTTTAAAAAGAAAAAATATATAAAAATAAAGATAAAATCATAGTGATCTACAAACTATATCAACCATGCCCCCGACGCCCCACCTCCCACACCCTACACTCCATACCCCACCTTGTGCAGTGAGAGTTCACTGCACTCTCCAATGTGACAGAAACAATCTTTTCAGGCTTGTGTACTGTAGCATCTGAAATGGGATGGGGGTTATTCAGTAAATGATGGGAGTGGTGGCAGAATCCCTTCCTATTACTACTCTCAACCCTATTTCATAATGGAAGCACATGAACAAATTTATTCTGTGCTATTAGGCCGGCATAGTGCTAGGATGTGAGATAAGATTATCTCATTCAATGTTCATAACAAGTCTATGAAGTCAGTACTATTAATAACTATGTTTTTATAGGGCGGAAGTTGAAACTCAAAGAGGTCAAGTAACTTGCCCAAGATCGCGTGTGGAGGAGGCCTCAGCAGCGGGACCGGACCCAGGCCGTCCGACTCCGGGGATCTTGGTCTTGGATGCTTCGTGGCCCGGGCCTGTCAATGGGAAAATGCAATAAGCACTCATGACAATCGGTCCGCACACACTGTGCGTGCCTTGCAGCAAATGGTAGTTTGTGAGACTGAAGGAGTTAGTTGTCAGTCTTGTTGGGTGCGGGGTTTTCTTATTACAGATGCTTGGGGACCTGCAGAGCGTTGCTAGTTGAGTATTTTAGTAGAGTATTTTAAACTTTAAGGATGTTGGGAAAACTCATTATCCACATATCTGTCTCCCTTTGCAATTAAATAGCCTTGTTATGAAAATATTTCAATATTGTTCTATTTTCTATTTGGCAGTTTTAATTAGGATATAATTTTTCCAGCATAAAAATTCATATTGAAAGAAGTCCTCAAAAGTGCTCAAATGTTTGTGTGTGTTTAAAAATATATATATATATATTTTTTTTTTTTTTTACTTTTCTGCTTTTAGACTTCAGAAAGTTTCCTCATAAAGCTGACTTCCGTTCTGGAAAAGATTTTTGTTCCCAAACATGTTGAGAATCCATTTCTTTCAACCCTTCTCTCTCTCTTTCTCTCTCTCTCTCTCTCTCTCTCTCTCTCTCTCTCTCTCTCTCTCCCTTCTTCCCCCCCCCCCCCTTGCCTTCTTGGTAGTCGCGAAAGGAAGGAGGGGGTGGGCACAGGAAAGAGGAGAAAAGAGGGGGGGAAAGAAAGGAGAGAGAGCCGCACGCCCCTGGGGCTGCGTGTGCCCTCTGCTTGTAAGTGCTTCCATCTGACTCGCACCGCGCCTCTCTCTCCGCTCGGGACACCTCTCCCCTCGCCCGGCCGCCCGGCCAGCCCGAGGAGACAAAGCCCCGGGGTGCAGGCGGCTGTGACCGACGTGGCATGGAAAGTCTCCGCTAGGCTGGCAGCTGCGGCTCCCGGGGGAGACCAGCCCAGCCTCCGGCCCGCCGCAGCGGCTCAGCATGCCGGCGCGGGGCCATGGCTAGGGGAGGTCCCGGGCTCCCTCCTCTGCGCCCAGGGGGTTTCCTCGGGAGCATCCCCGGGCCGGCGGGACGGGCTCCACAGCGGGGGCTGCAGCCGCCTGTCTGCAGCCGGAAGGACAGAAGCCGGCCGCTGCCCCCGTCCGGCCCCGCACGGTGACCCTAATCCCGCGTAGAGTTGGCCATGGGGTGCGGGCTCCGGAAGCTGGACGACCCCGAGGACAGCAGCCCCGGGAAAATCTTCTCCACCCTGAAGAGACCGCAAGTGGAAACAAAGGCAGAAGTTGCTTACGAGTACGTGCTGCTGGATTTCACTCTGCAAGGTACCTCTCCCCGCTGCGGGGCTGGCCGCGGGGGCTGCGTCAGGGATGCGGGCCGCAGGGGGGGCTTCTGAGTGTCGGGCTGTTCTGTGTGAAGCGCTCACCATCAGACGGTATAGTCACTCTGCTTTGTCTCTTCATCACATAGGGGAAGGTTTTTTGGTGGCTGCTTTTCTGTAACATGGCTCCTAGGTGCTTTATAAAATTAGGGAAACTGCTTAGAACTATTTCTTTTTTTCCATTTTTAAATCCAGTGCATGAAACAGGCTTGATTTCCAGGCCAAATAACGGGCCTCGGTGACCGTGGGTTTGGAAAGGGCCCCGAAGGGAAAGGCTCAGGGAGGGGCTGTGGGCATGTTCCTGGCATCTGGCGGGAGGGTGCCAGCTCCGAGGTGCCCCGTGGCGTCCCCTGTGGTGACCGTGCCAGTCGCTGGTCTTCTGACCAAGCTAGACGGGGAGCTGGGACGCACAGTGAGAAGGGAGAAAAGACAGCCTTTCCTGTAAGGCTGGGCGCCCCGTCCCGGTCAGAGAGGCTCCCTGTTCCAGAAAGTTGGGAACAAACAAACACGCCCAGATGGCAGCCCGGGGGAGGGGGGCAGTAAGGAGGGGAGCGGGGAGCCCGGACCTCATGGGCACTGGGCCTCACTCCTGTCTGGAGCCCGGGGGTCTGTGCCTCTGCCCCCGGGGACCGGAGGCTCCCACGTCCGTCTCTCTCACGGCGGGACACCAGCCGTGGGCGCCAGCGCGTCCCGCTGGCCGCTGGGGTTTGCAGACGCCCGTGTTTCCAGCTCCTCTGACAAAGTTCTGCTCTTGATTGAAGAAGCCACGCGTGGTTCCGGGGGGAGGGAGGTCTGTGCTCGGCGTAAGGCCCCGTGGGGTGCTGCCTCCGTGTCTTTCCCACGTCACGGCAGGCTCTGCGCGTCTGGCGGGCCGGGAACAGAGCATCTTTGTGCGGGGCGCAGGCCGCCCGTTCTTCTTTGTCAGAAACCCAGCCGGCAGCCGGCACGCCTTCCAGGGGCACAGCCACGGCTGCTTTCCCACAGGCCCGTCCCTGCCCGCCCGAGGCTCCGAGGCTCCGGCCACGGAGGGAGGAATGTCCGCGTTCTTCATTTCCCTTTGGGCTGGGAAAGTGAACAGTAGTCGGTTGAGACAATGGTGAGCAAAGAAGTAACGGATCAGGTGAGCTTTGCCTGTACTTTCCCGGAGACCTCGGTGGAGACCATGTCCGGGATGCGGTGCTGTTTTCTCCCCAGATGGTGCCTGTGGCTGGCTTTGTAGGACTCGTTTCTGTACATCTGTGAGACACACACATGTACTCCCGCCCCTTACACTTCAGCCTCGTCTGTTCACAGACTCCAGGCTGGAGCCAGTCTGAGCCTCGCTGGAAGGTTGGCTGTGGGGTCCCCCATGGGGCCGCAGGGCTTACGGTCACCTGGAGTTCTTTCCTGATTTCCTCCCCACAGGGGTACACATCTCAGGCCGATCTGGTGCCTGCCCGTCACCCTGAAGGCAGAGAGTTCAGCAGCGTGGTTAGAGCCTCTTGGGTTTGTCAGATCAGGAGTCCTTCCTCTCTGGGAAAGGAATGTGATTCCTCTTCCACATTGAGGGGTGTGGGAGTGGGGGTGCAGGAGGAACCGGGTGACGCTCACACAGAGGGTACGCAGGGGCAGAGTTCGCCAATGCTCACAGCGCAGGCCCGTGTCTCCCAGCGCCCCGGCTCCTGTGGGTCCAGGCGCCCCGTCTCCAGGGTCCCTGTTCTCCCCAAGTAGCCCACATGTTTTGTTTTTGACTTTGACAGAAGCCAAACATCAGCCCAGCTGCACAAACCACCTTGCTCCCTCTTCTCCGGCCTCCAGCTGCCACTGCAGCACTCAGAGACAGGGTCAGAGAGGTGGGAGGCTTAGCCCTGCCTCTGGCACGGCGGCTGCCCTGGGGCTTCCGTCAGGGGGACCGCCCCGAGGCCCTGCGCTCTGAGCAATCCTCAGGAAGCACAATGGTCTGTGACCGCTGTGCACTCCCGATCGGCCTGCCTCCTGCCTCGTCTCCCTCTGTCTTTCCAAACAGAGTGAGTCCCAGTGGGGCGAACGGAGGACTGTCCAGGGCCCTGTTATGGGGCTGTGATTTCTTGAACAAACTTTTTCTTTTCCATCTCTCTCTCTCTCTGCCCTCACACTTGGTCTTTATTATTATTTTTTTTTGAACCATTATTTACATCTCTGTGGGAGAAATAATGTCATCGTCGTTAAACAGGCAAGGCTCTAAAGTCCCAGCTGCCAGGCTCCGAATGCGGGCGCTGTCACTCACGCGCTGTGGCGAGTCTGTGGACGTCGCTCTGCCTCAGCCTCCTCGTCTGTAAAACGGGGCTCTCATGGTGCTGATAGAGATATGCTAAGGCAGCGGTCAGCACACTGCGGCTCATGAGCCACATGCAGCTCGCAAGCCGCGGTTTGCCGCTCTGCTGACTAATGAGTTTGCAGACCACTGACCTAGACTCTGGATTCCAATAATTTCAGTCTGTTATTGTTCCTTGTGATTAAGCCCCTATCCCAGTGGTCGGCAAACTCATTAGTCAACAGAGCTGCATGTGGCTCTCAAGTCGCAGTTTGTCAACCACTGTGCTAAGGGTTAAAGGAGATTGTCTACCTGAACGGGCTCCTGACACTTGAGTGAGCACGTAATTCAAAGGTGACGAGTCTAACTAGTACCTCCTGATATGCCAAGTCCACCAACTGCACTGGGGAGGTTTCAGTGCACTTTGGCCATAAACTTTCTGGTTCACTGTCTAATCTATATGTGATTGTGTATCAGCGTGTGTGAGGATGTGTATAGGAGTGTGCTAAATGTACCTTATTAATGAAGAGTTAAATTAACTCTGCAAAATATCCAGAAGGTTAGTTTCCCGCCCTGTCCAATCCTAGAAAACAACCTAAGTAACAAAGCCTGAGGGATGTTCAGAGCATGTGCAGCTTTGTGGTAACAGGAGTTTCTGCAATACTGACAGCCCACAGGGCAGGGGCAGGTTCCTCGTCCGAATTAGGTGAGATGTGATTCAGGGGGTTTGTGGGGAACATATTAAGTAACGCCTCGCTGGCCTCTAGCTTGCTTCCTTTTTATTAGAACAAGAACCTGTCCTTGCCAAAACCGGTTTTGCTCAGTGGATAGAGCGTCGGCCTGCGGACTGAAAGGTCCCAGGTTCGATTCCGGTCAAAGGCATGTATCTTGGTTGCGGGCTCATCCCCAGTGGGGGGTGTGCAGGAGGCAGCTGGTCGATGACTCTCTCTCTTCAATATTTCTAACTATCTCTCTCCCTTCCTCTCTGTAAAAAATCAATAAAATAAATTAAAAAAAAAAAAAGAACCTGTCCTGGTCTTATCAAACGTGGTGACAGCAGTAAATACATACGATGTATGTCTTCTGTGAAAACGCCCTGACTTGCCTGGGGTGTGATTCCTTCATGCTACGGGGAAGCAATGGCGGATAACTTTGAATAAGTAATTGGTAGACACAGAGGAGTGTTTTCAGAAGATCCCTATGGGATTGCGATGGGGAGAGGTGGGAGGGAGGGAGGGAGGGAGGGAGGGAGGGAGGGAGGGAGGGAGGGAGGGAGTACAGTGAGGAGACTGCTTGCAGTGGTCAATCAGCATGGACCTGCGTGTGAGGGGCGGCAATAGGGTGGGAGGCATGGGGCCAGTGTCACTGACAGTGGGAAGGAGGGGTGCAGCTTGTGGCTGGAGGACATGAAGGGACAGAGAGACTGAGGAAGTCAGGATGTCTTCCCGTTCCGAGCCTGAGTCACCGTGGGAATAACGGTGCCTGTTACGGTAGGAGGGGTGTCCCAAGGAGTCATGGGCCATGAAAGGGCCCTTCCGTTACAGGCGTGTTGCGTGAGGGTGGCCGAGGAATGTGCTAGAGGCGTGCAGGCCACAGAAACAGGAAGGAGAGCACCCCCCTGGCTGGAGGACCCTTTAAAGAAGTGCCACCTCATCAGAGACTTAAAGGATGAGTGGGGTTTAGGCAAGAGTTTGTGTCCAGAATATATAACTATAACTACAAACGGTTCCAGAAAGGAAAGATAAACAACCCAATAGAAAGTGGCCAAGGAATGTGGGCAGGTGGTCCATAAAACAGAGAGTCCAAATGGTCAACGGATACACGAAACTGTGCTCAGCCTTGTTTTCTTTTTTGTTTGTTGTTTGTTTGTTTTTTAATTTTACTGATTTTTTACAGAGAGGAAGGGAGAAGGATAGAGAGTTAGAAACATCGATGAGAGAGAAACATCAACCAGCAGCCTCTTGCACACTCCTTACTGGGGATGTACCTGAAACCAAGGTACATGCCCTTGACGGGAATTGAACCTGGGACTTTTTACGCTCTATCCACTGAGCCAAACCAGCCAGGGCTCAACCTTGTTAATACTCAGAAAAATGCACGTGAAAGCCCCAGTGAGAGAGCACTCCACAGCATTCAAAATGACTGAACTGTAAAGACTGCTACCTGCAGGTGTTGGTAAACCAGGGCGGCCATGTCGGAAACGCTTTGGCTTTACCTAGTTCACTGAGCACACACCCAACAGAAACACAGGCCCGTGTGCACCCTGAGGCACACCCAAGGACGTTCATGGAAGCGCCCTTTGTAACAACCCAAGTATGAGCAACTCATAAACCCCAGAACAAGAAGCAGAAACATACACCATAGGAGACTCACACGATGGAGCACCACCCTGCAGAAGCCGGCGAACGTTGTCTGCAAAGGCCAAGACAGTAAGTCTTGTGGGCTTTGCAAGCCAGGTGGGCTTGGTCACACCACGCATCTCAGGCCTTGCTGTGCAGCTGTAGCACAAGCAACCGAGCAGGCCTCTACCCACCTCCGCTGTGCTGCCCCGGCAAGGAGCGAACCAGTTACACAGGCGACTGTACACCACGTGCATCTCAGAATCATCACGCCGAGTGGAAGCAGACAGACAGACACAAAAGCACACCCCGTGTGATTTCATGTCTATAAAGCTCAGATTAGCAGAACTGAGCTATAGTGGTGCAGGCCGCGTATTTGGATAGGCAACTGGAAAGAAGAGCAAGGAAGGATGACTATCCGAGTTCAGGGAGCACAGGCAGGGAGGGGGGTTGTTGTTGGGAAGGGTGAAATGGGGAACGTCTGGAGTGCCCTGTTTTCTGGTTTTTGAATGGATGGTGGTGGCCCAGGTGTTGGCAGTTTTAAGTATGTTTTGTGCATTTTTTTGGTATGGTACATATCTACCCCCAACCAAAATTTTTTAAAGGTTATAAAAAAGACTATGGCCGAAACCAGTTTGGCTCAGTGGATGGAGCGTCGGCTCAGTGGATGGAGCAGACTGAAAGATCCCAGGTTCGATTCTGGTCAAGGGCATGTACCTTGGTTGCGGGCACATCCCCAGTGGGGGTTGTGCAGGAGGCGGCTGATTGATGTCTCTCACAATTCGGGACCACTGGCTCCTAACCATTCACCTACCTGCCCACTCACCTGATCGCTCCTAAATATTCTGCCTGCCTCATCACCCCTAACCACTTGCATGCCTGCCTGATCACCCTATTCACTCACCTGCCTGCCTGATTACCCCTAACTGCCTCTGCCTGACTGCCTGATTGCCCCTAACTGCTTGCCTGCCTGCCTGCCTGCCTGATGGCCCCTAACTGCCTCTGCCTCGCCCCTATCACCACGGCTTCATCCAGAAGGTCGTCTGGAAGGACATCTGGAAGGTCCTTTGGCTGTCTGGTAATTAGCATGTTACCCTTTTTTTTAATTAGATTCCCTAAGTACTTACCATAATGGTCATATCTATGCTGAGTGCTATTTATCAGATGACACGGGCCCCAAGCAGATGTTGTTAAGATATGTTTCGAATGCCTGTTGAATTCCTTAAACACCTGTGCATGTTGGCTGCTGCACTGCCCCCTCCTCTGGGACAGCGACCAGGTCCAGAGATCAGGGAGAGCACTGGGCTAACAAGCGCTCTGACTCGAACCCGGGACTCTGGAGAGGGCACGTCCCCCAGCCCTGAGTCCTCGATTTCTGGGGTTTCCTTTGAAGCAATGCCACCGGTGGAGACTGGCTGAGACGGTACAAGACCCAACAGTGACTCCCCAGAAGTCCCCCGAGAAGCCAGGGGAGCAGGGCTCCCGCCCCCAGCCCCCAGGCCATTCTCTGTCTGTGCTGCTCCTCTCCCAAATGCACCCAGATCTCACTCCAAATGGAGTTGATTCCACCTAGCAGAGCTCCCCCTCACTCCTTGTCACCTCATCTGCAAAGAGGGGTTTTCCTTGTAGCATCATTCACTGGGACATGTCAAGTGCGGCCTGAAGCTAGAGCTTTCTGACGTGAGCGTGACCTTGAACTCTCCCGAGCTGCACTCTCACTAGGCTCTTGACCACTTCATTTTTTTTTTTTTAATATATTTTATTGATTTTTCACAGAGAGGAAGAGAGAGGGATAGAGAGTTAGAAACATTGATGAGAGAGAATCATCCATCAGCTGCCTCTTGCACACCCCCCACTGGAGATGTGCCAGCAACCAAGGTACATGCCCTTGACCAGAATCGAACCCGGGACCTTTCAGTCCTCAGGCCGACGCTCTATCCACTGAGCCAAACCGGTCTCGGCGACCACTTCACTTTTTAAAAATTATTTCTTTAATTACAATTGGCATTCATTAAAAAAAAAAAAAAAGTATTTTTTTACTGAATTTATTGGGGTGATATCGGTAAATAAAATTATACAGAAATCCACCATCCAGGTTTCAGGGGCGCAGTTCTGTGACACATCACCTGTATGTTGTATTGTGTGTTCTCCTCCCAAAGTCATCTCCTTCCCTCACCGTGTATCCCCCACACCCTCTCTCCCACTTTTATGACCAGAAGAGTAACAGTTCCACAGCCCTGCCTGCGCGTCCTTCCCCTGTCGTCTCTCTCCTCGAAGGCCTAGGTCACCTGCCCAGTTGTCCCTGACTGTGCTGGCCTGGCTTTTCTCATTCCCACTGGCTAACCGTGATGGCTTTCCCGCCGTTCTGCAATCACGTCACCTCCTCGTTCCCCCTAGGAATCGTATTTCCAGCCTGCCCTGTGACGGAGGAAAACCAGGGGCATGGGGAGGGAGAGAAGGGAGGATCCACGTCCTTAAGGACCCCTCAGGCTACCAGCAGAGAGAGAGAGAGAGAGAGAGAGAGAGAGAGAGAGAGAGAGAGAGAGCAGCCCGAAGGGGAGCGAAAGGGGAGTGGGACCACAGCTCAGAGGAGCAGCCGGCTGAGGCTCAGGCGCAGGGAAGGAAGTGTGGGCCAGTGCCGGGCCTGGGAACCAGACGTGCAGGAAGGGGGGGGGGGGGCGTGGAGCTGAGTACAGGCGGAGGCCAGACGCTGGGGAGTCTTTCGTGTTATGCACACGCATTTCCACTTTCTACATAAGCCATGTGATGCCCTACACACACGGAACTCTTCTTGAAAACTTTGTGTACAGTTCTAAAAAGAAGTTTAGGTTAACGTTTGTCTCCTCGTCTCAACAGTTTGTTCTGTCCCATCGCTTTCCAGTTCCTTTGTTTGGAAATCGGGGTTGGGAATAAAAATATGGAAAACGGTGAGACCCGGTGACTCACAAAGCCATCGCCGCACGGCAGGCAGAACTGGGTCACTTCACAATGAAAGCCAGCTGCTTCTCCCAGGCCGCCTCCTCCTCACAGTGATGACCAGAGAGGATGGGCCTCTGAGGAAGTGGTCCATCCTGGTTCCCATGGCTGTTCCATGGAACGCTGGCCTCTCGTGTGAGAAGCTGGCATGGACACCCGCGAGGGTGGACTTCTGTCCCGTGGCCTGGATGTCCATGTGCGAGGAGGGGATTTCCCCTCGGCCCTCCTCCCTGTCTGCTCCTCGGCCTCCTTCCTGTCCGAGGCCAGCGGCAGCGGGTTTTGCTGGAGGAGGCCCCCCGCCAGCACTACCCGTACCCACCCCTGGGACGGATTCCAGGTGTTTCTTGCTCAATCAGGATTCAAACAGCAGTTCTTCTTCTAGATGTGAGTTCCCGATCGTTCTCCGGAAAGTGGGAAATGCCGCTCAGAGAGCTGTCTGTAGGTTAGTGCGGACGGAACACAAGGGCGTTGTCCCGGGTAGCACCCCTTTCCCGGACTGACGGCCGTGCAGAGGGCACCGTGGGGCTCCCACAGATCCGCCCCCCTTCCGAGGGGGCTGGGTGGCATTTCAGTTTTACATGTGACTTTCCTGAGCACTTAGAATTATCACTTTTTGCAAAGAGCCTCTGGATTCCTTTACTTTTTCAATTCCTTCACTCAACCATTTGTATAAGTGCCGTAAGAAACCATATGTTTAGCTTCCCAGCGGCAACAAAACGAGGTGGGTTAGCCCTGGTCCGGGGGCCCAGTCAGTTGGAGCATCATATACTGAAAGGTTGCAGGTTCAATTCCTGGTCAGGGCATGAGCCTAGATTTTGAGTTCCTTCCCCAGTCAGGGCATGTATGGGAAGCAGCTGATATCTCTCTCTCTCTCTTTCTCTCTCTCTCTCTCTCTATTTATTTTTATTAAATTATTATCTGTGTACATATTTTAACATTGCCCCCCCTCCTCTCTTCTCTTCTCTTCTCCTCTCCTCTCCTCTCCTCTCTGTAAAATCAATAAAAAGATATCCTCAGATGAAGATTAAAAAACAAAGTGAACATAGTGCTTTAGAAATGTAACTGGATGTGACAATTATTGCTTAACAAATACTATCTTAATTTTAGATTTGTGTGAATTTTATTCTTAAGAATTATGCATCTCATCTTGTTCAGAATCATAAAAACAGTTGGCTCTTCAACTTAGTATTGTTTCTCTTGTGTTTATATCTTTAATATCTATTAATGGAAATATAATCAAATGAAATCCTAAGAAATAAAGTTGCTTAATTGGAAAACAAAAACAAAAACCGGTAAGGCATTATATTTTTACCTGAAGACATACTGATGCCCTGTTTCTCAGTGGTTAGAGCATCAGCCTTTGGACTGAAGGGTCTCAGGTTTGATTCCTAGTCAATGGCATGTACCTTGGTTGCAGGCTCCATCCCTGGCCCCCAGGTTGGGGTGCATGTGGGAGGCAACCAATCAAGGTGTCTCTCTCACATTGGTGTTTCTCTCTCTCTCTCCCTCCACTCTCAAAAAATCAATGGAAAAAATATCCTCTGGCCAAAACCGGTTTGGCTCAGTGGATAGAGCGTCGGCCTGCGGACTGAAAGATCCCAGGTTCGATTCTGGTCAAGGGCATGTACCTTGGTTGCGGGCACAATCCCCAGTAGGGGATGAGCAGGAGGCAGCTGATCGATGTTTGTCTCTCATCTATGTTTCTGGCTCTCTGTCTCTCTTCCTTCCTCTCTGTAAAAAATCAATTATATATATATATCCATCCTCCAGTGAGGATTAACAACAAAAAAGACATAGTGGTAATAATCCTATGTCTACCAGCTCATAAAGTTACTGTTGCTTTTTTTCTGAAATAAATTTAGAAAATATGTTTCCTACTCATTAGTATTATCACACATAGATAGAAATCATATATGATTCAATCTTATGGGTGTTCACATTTCTCCCTGCATTTGATATTTCAGCGTCACCGAACCCGGAAGTCATCAGGATCCATTCCCTCCCAGACATAGTGACGAGGGTGGAGGAGTACTATCTGAAAGGCTACATCGTGGGGGCGATCCACCCTGTCCTCCAGCCGGTGCGCCAGCGGAGGCACCTGCCCGCCAGCCACCTGTACCGGGTGGTGCTCTGGCGCCTGAAGTTCAGGTGAGCTGCTGCCCACGGAGGCGGTCGCACTGCTAACGGGCCGTTTTCTTTGGCTAAAAGAACAGAAAGTCTGAGCAGCCTGATGGAAATGAAGGATCAGCATGGGGCTTGGGTTTCAGGCACGTTTCCAGTGGTTAACCGGGTGGGGGAAGGAAGCTTACATTTCCTCCCTACAAGGCCTCCCTGGGTCGGGAGCCTGCAGACTAACAGGTCCCAGGTGAGGAAGCCCAGACAAAGGGAAGGGAAGCCGCCTGGAGACGCTCGGGGAAGCTCACAGGGTAGCGCAGCTCCAATCCTCCAGGGCTGAGAGCACGCCTGGACCGGGCCTGCTCCCTCGGAGCATTTTAACTGCCCGGGTTGTTCTATTACAGGGGCACAGACACCGTCTCTGCCTGCTGAAACGGTTCTTCCCAAGGCCTACATGCCACGTTCTGACAAATGGGATAGAGCTTATATATATATATATATATATATATATATATATATATATATATATATATCTCAATACTATATATATATCTCAATACTATATATATATCTCAATACTATATATATATATATATATATATATATATATATATATATAGTATTGATTTCAGAAAGGAAGGGAGGGGGAGAGAGAGAAAACACCAATGATGCGAGAAATCATTGATCAGCTGCCTCCTACACGCCCACACTGGGGATCGAGCCCACACCCCAGGCATGTGCCCTGACCAGGAATTCTGGTTCATAGGTCAACACTCAATCACTGAGCCACACCAGCTGGGCTTGTCAGCTTTTTTTGGGGGGGAAAAAAACAAACAAAAAAACGAGGTAAAAGCCATTTATTTTAGTTTAATTTCTAACTTTTTAAAATAGTTACTTTTCCAAACAATACTGCAACCATTTTTTGCCAGACTAGCTTGTAAGTTTGAAAGTTTTCAAAGACTGTTGCTCCTTCCGGTGCTGAGAATAACCAGACCCATTTTCTTTGGTTCCCATTTCATTTTTTTAAGCCGCTCTTCAACTCTGTCAAACCCATCTCAAAACCAAGGTAACACCTGTGTTTTCTCTTTCTAGTAACACACTCATCATCAACCACCTTTAGGGCTAAGCAGAGAAGGAACAAATGAAATAAGAAGAGGGAAAACAGGAAAGTTGAAGAAAGTGAACATTTTAGAAATGTTCTAGGTGTGCTTTTAAGGGACACTTTCCTTTCTGAGTTAACTGCCCCCTGACACGTGTGTGAGGGGGGGCATGCAGGCGGCAGCCTCGTCGGCATTCCCAGATAAACATGCCACCTGTCACACAGGAGCACATTTCCTACTTACAAACCTTACTAACCATGCATACAGTATTTTTTCTCGTTAGCATTGCTTAAAATAGACTCAGTAGTGCCTTGACAAGGCCAGGATTAAGGAAAGGGTACAACTCAAAGAAGAAGAAAAAAAAAAAACATGGGACAATATTGATCTGCATTTGAATAAGGTTTTCACTTGAGCTTTTGTATACAAGGTATACCAATCACCCAAAATCACTTCTCAGAACATTTGTTAAAGCAACAGACATGAAATTTTTCTGCTACATTAAATTGGACATTACTGTAACAGAGATTTCAGTTAAGGAAATTTAAATGAATCAAGTGACTGTATTTTTGGAAGTTAATAGAGATTTACATTGAAATTTGAATAAGTGAAAGCGACGGTGTTTTTCTGGTATTTTTGCCCAAGAAGATAACTGTTAGGCTTAAAATGACAAAACAAAGAAACGATTGCGTTGACCTTACTTGTTGCTCACACCTTGTCCTGTGAACAAACAGCTTAAACTCAGCAATCAGCTGCCAGCGTCTGACCCTGAACCTTTCTCTGTTGCAGCCCGAAGCTCTCGGCAGCGCCCAGTGGACAGAGACGCCCCCGGCTGGTGATTGAGGAATGTCCTCTGACGTACGAGACGCAAGCAAACGACGTAGCAAAAGAACTGATAGAAAAGGTACTAAATGTACACATTGTCTTCATGGGATATTGAGAAATCCTTGGCATTTCTTCTCCATCAATTTCCTTTCTTGTTTGAAAAAGAACAGGGAAGCCCTAACCGGTTTGGCTCAGTGGACAGAGCATCGGCCTGCAGACTCAAGGATCCCAGGTTCGATTCCGGTCAAGGGCATGTACCTTGGTTGTGGGCACATCCCCAGTAAGGGGTGTGCAGGAGGCAGCTGATCAATGTTTCTAACTCTGTCCCTCTCTCTTCCTCTCTGTAAAAAATCAATAAAATATATATTTTTTTTTACAAGAACAGGGAAATAAAAGGTGACTTATTCTCCCAGAATTTAAAACATATTGAAGTTGCCAAATTGTGCAGAGTAAAAAAAAACATATTACACTTTTTCATGTATAAAAACAGACATAGAGGCCAATGAAACAGAATGGAAATGCCAGGAATAAACTTATACACACAGAAGTTCCATAACAAACCTGAAGAAATAAAAGGGGAAGCAACCATGACTTAGTGCCACGGGAACGTGGGCAACTGTTCTGTAGGCAACACATGCCACAGGTTTCCAATGAGACAGAGAGGCCATTGTTAAGTATAAAAAATCTGAAGGGAAATGAAAGAGTAGACGTAATCAATTATAAATAGATTGAGGACTTTGAGTTTCGTCTATAGATGTAGTAAATACTAGGAAAACTAAGCTTAGAACTAAAGAATCCAGACAAACTCTGCAACAAGTGTCCTCTGGGAACCTGGTTTCAGAGTCGATATGCAGGGAATAAGATGCATCCAAGCGATGTCCAGTCTTGAATAGACACACAGGATCCATCAACAGTGGCTACAGAAGGAGATAGTCACAAAGGCATTTGGCCAAAGGGTCAGCCTGACAGATTTTTTTAAAAATATATTTTATTGATATTTTACAGAGAGGAAGGGAGAGGGAGAGAGAGTTAGAAACATCGATCAGCTGCCTCCTGCACACCCCCCACTGGGGATGTGCCCCAAACCAAGGTACATGCCCTTGACTGGAATCGAACCTGGGACCCTTTAGCCCGCAGGCTGATGCTCTATCCACAGAGCCAAACCGGTTAGGGCCTAACCAGTCATGTTAAATGTGAATGTAAAAGCTGAGAAGAACCGCCACTTTAGGATTCACCGAGGAGTTACATGGAAAGTATGAACTCCAGTGTCTGGTGAGCTTTAAGAAAAATCCATAGATTGCACCTGGCATTGGAATAACTTAGCACAGTGTTCCTGAATATTAGTTTGGTAGTAAAAATTATAAATCCTGTTTTATTTTGTGACGTAATAATTTCCTCTGTAGGAATCTATTCCAAGAGATTCATGGGGAAGGGGAAAAGTCATTTCCATACAAAAATACGTTAACAAACAGCGAATAAGAGGCCAAATTCCCAATAACCAGCAAACTGAGAAGGAGGCAGTGGCCCATCAATGCAATGGAATACTTATGGTTACTGAGCGTGGAAACTATAATCACCGTCAGTCTATACCAGTGGTCGGCAAACTGCGGCTCTGTTGACAAATGAGTTTGCTGACCGCTGACCTAGACTCTCGATTCCAATAATTACATGCTGCTGTTGTTCCTTGTGTTTAAGCCCCTATACAGTATAACCTAACTGATACTTAAAAATGAAACACTAGCCGAAACCGGTTTGGCTCAGTGGATAGAGCGTCTGCCTGCGGACTGAAAGGTCCCAGGTACGATTCCGGTTAAGGGCATGTACCTTGGTTGCGGGCACATCTCTGGTGGGGGTTGTGCAAGAGGCAGCTGATCGATGTTTCTCATCAATGTTTCTGGCTCTCTATCTCTCTCCCTTCCTCTCTGTAAAAAATCAATAAAATATATATATTTTTTTTAATTTAAAAAAAATGAAACACTATGTAGGTTGATTAAAATCAAGGAAAAAACTTACACTTACAAGTATCCTAAACTGATGGGGTTTCACTCTGAAGTTTTCTTTTGTGTTGCATTGGCATACTTGGAAGATTTTAGCTTTTATTTAAATGAATAGAAACTAAGACATTTCCTTTCAAGGAAGAAATGGCAGGACTCGCTCACGTTCCCATGGCTGTTCCTGCTGTGGGTGACCACAGCCCGCTGACGTCCCTTCTGTACAAGGTCATCAGCGTTCAGTAAGGCTCTCCGGAGCGGGCCTGGAGACCAGGCTTTTACAAACAACGTGCACTTACTGTGTACTACTACCATTCTGGGAGCTTCTTTTTTCTGGGGACAAATCCACTCCAGAACGTTTTTTTCGAAAACAAAAATGTGACGACTAATTTAGTCTTAATGGATCACCGTCAGAGCTCTTGTTTTGCCTCTGACTTCCTGGAGACGGTTCAAGACCCGCTTACACAGGAAAGCACTGTTATTCCAGCCATCAGGGGCGGGTTGTTCCAGAAGGAGAGGCGCTCCAGGAAGCACGCCTGGGACACGGAGCGCCGCCTGTGTGCGCACAGGAGCCAGGGGTGGACGCCAGGCGTGTGAAGAGTTGGTTGTTGAACAACTAGGTTTTAAGTCATTTGAACATTATAACAATGTCTGCTCTGTTTTTAAAGGTAGGTTCACAAGTGTTTTTGCCCAGGATTTTTAAATAAAAATAACATTGGAAAATATCAATCTTCCAATTTACAAAAAAAAAAAAAATGGGGGGAAAATAAAAACAATTAACAGAGTCTATTTGTTGCCAGACTTTTCCAGATGAAACTTTCTAATAATAATAATTTAAAAAAAGGTTTCTTCGCTTTTTCACCCAAATCGACATGTAAGACTAGAGAAAGCACCGGCAGTGAGTGGCCATTTCCCTGGCACTTGGTGTAAAACAGCCTGGGATTTTGTCTAGGCTTCGAGCACTGTTACCCGCCGGTGCTAACGTGCAGGACTAAGTCAGTGGTGGTGTGTCCTCATCGTCCTTTGTCTGAGCTCGCACACCCGCACGTCCTGCTCCGCCGTCTTCTCCTCTTCGGTGGAGCAACAGGACAGGCGCCCCCTCTAGTAGGCACTGCCCTCTGGGCTCGCCCCCTCCTTCCTGCCATTTTGTTTCTCACTCTAGACACTCAGAGTTGCAACCTTCATCATGACATCATGACTTCCCCTTCCCCTCCCAGGTAACATGTAAAACCATTCATGTAGCCCTAGCTGGTTTGGCTCATGGATTGAACATCGGCCTGCAGACTGAAGGGTCCCCAGTTGGATTCCAGTCAAAGGCACATGCCCACAAGCCTCAGTAGGGGGCATGCAGGAGGCAGCCAATCAATGATTCCCTCTCGTCATTGATGTTTCTGCCTCTCTCTCCCTCTCCCTCTCTGAAATCAATAAATCCTATCCAGCCAAAGCCGGTTTGGCTCAGTACTAGAGAGTCGATCATCGGACTGAAAGGTCCCAGGTTTGATTCAGGTCAAGGGCATGTATATTGGTTGTGGGCACATCCCCAGTAGGGGGTGTGCAAGAGGCAGCTGATCGATGTTTCTCTCTCATCGACGTTTCTAGCTCTGTATCTCTCTCCCTTTCTCTCTGTAAAAAATCAATAAAATATATTTTAAAAAGGTAATATTTAAATTAACCGTCACTCCATCACAAACATGGCAGTGCCCATAGCCACAAGATGGCAACGCCCAGTCCTTTCAGCCCCACCAGAGTTCCCCAGTCCCTGGGTGGGGGGTGGCTGCTGAGAGCGGGCTGTTCTTTCCCCGACAGAGAAAGCTAACCGTGATATTGGCCCAGGCAGGCGGCCGTGGCGTCAGGGTACAAGCAGTCGGAAGGTCTCCTCAGACAGGGCGTGTGTGTTGGGTCTATGCATTATGTCCACACATCGGTCAAGGATCTGCCTGTTAGCATTCTTCTTTACCCACATCAAACAACGAACTGTCAAATGTTATTTTTGAACAACTGCTTACCTTTTTGCTTTTTAGTTAATGTCTTTTGTATTCATTCAGATGTGTTTGGTAATGTTATTTTCGAGGATTTCTTGGAATGGCTTTTCATTTTGCCTCCACTAGAGCGTCCATTGGTTAAACGGTCTGCAGAAATCATGCTATAGAATTCCTAGTTCTTCCCAAATAGCAACCTTTTAAAGAAAAACGGGACTCCTGCTTTCGTTCTCTCTGACTTGTCTGAACTGTTTGAGGAAGTCACAGTAATAGTGTCACAGGTTGCTGGTTTGCTAATGAGTAAGTCTTCAGTCACCAGCAGATTCCTTGTTGAAGTGCAGTGGTCGGCAAACTCATGAGTCAACAGCACAACGATTGACATTTCTCTTGAGAGCCAAATGTTTTAAACTTCTTCTAACGCCACTTCTTCAACATAGACTCACCCAGGCCGTGGTATTTTGGGGAAGAGCCAGTCAATGGGCCAAAGAGCCACATGTGGCTTTCAAGCCACAGTTTGCCGGCCACGGTTCTAATGGATTTCCTTAACGCACCTAAAGGCTAATTGGCAATCAGTGGACATGAAATTCCTGTGTTGTTCCACCATCTCTTTTGAAACCTCAGGTCAATGAAGCTTCCAAGCGAGGAAGGAGGTTTGTGGGGCTCCTCACCCAGCACTCTGCGCCCCTCTGCAACGGGACGGCCCTCCACGGAGACGGGGAGCCCGCCCTGCCCGGGCGCCACTCCCCCGAGGAGAACGGGCGACGCTGGAGCGAAGGCCCCCTCTGCGGGCAGCCCTGGGAGAGCGGGGCAGAGGCGGAAGCCCACCCGGACGGCGAGCCATGCCCGCGGGAGCCCCACGGCAGCCCCGGGGCCACCGCCCCAGCCAAGGGAGAAGGTAACAGGCAAGATGAGAAGGAACAGCCTCTGGGCGGTTAAACCTGGCAGAGTACGTGGTTGGTTTTTGTTGTTCACTCTCACCTAAGGATATTTTTTCCATTGATTTTGTTTTTTATTTATTTTTTTATTTTTTCAAATATATTTTATTGATTTTTTTTTACAGAGAGGAAGAGAGAGGGACAGGGAGTTAGAAACATCGATGAGAGAGAAACAACGATCAGCCGCCTCTTGCACACCCCCTACTGGGGATGTGCCTGCAACCAAGCCAACTTGCCCTTGAACCTGGGACCCTTCAGTCTGCAGGCTGACGCTCTATCCACTGAGCTAAACCGGTTTCGGTTGATTTTGTTTTTGAGAGAGAGAGAGAGAGAGAGAGAGAGAGAGAGAGAGAGAATCATTGATGTGAGAGAGACACCTCGATTAATTGCCTCTCACGTGCCCCACCCAGGGCCGGAGATCGAACCCGCAACCTCCAGTACGAGGGCCAGTGCTCCAACCACTGAGCCACGCTGTCCTGTACTACAAAGTATATGTGTATATGTGTGTGTTTTTAATATATTTCACTGATTTTTTACAAGAGGAAGGGAGAGAGATAGAGAGTTAGAAACATTGATGAGAGAGAAACATCGACCAGCTGCCTCCTATACACCCCCTACTGGGGATGTGCCCACAACCAGGTACACACCCTTGATTGGAATCGAACCTGGGACACTTGAGTCCACAGGCCAACGCTCTATCCACTGAGCCAAACGGGTTAGGGCTCAAAGGACTTTTTTTTAGGCAAAGTAAGTTTCTAAAGTTTATGGGGACTAAATAAACGAGTATAAACTCGTCTTATTCTTTTAAATTATTACAGTCAGAAGTAAAGTAGGACAGTTTTTCTCTGGGTAGTCTGACAGCCACCCGCATAGGACACTTTGTGTTCTAAACTGCTTTCCAGATAGTCCCTCGCCAGCTCCCCATGAAGCTGTGCCTGTGAGTGGAGAGAGTGATTCTCTAAGGAGGCTGCTCCAACTGGTGTGTGTCCCTGTGAATAGCCTGTGAGAATGTCCGTTCGGGCCTCTCCCATTGCGTGGATGGTGTTTGCCCTTGAAGTTCATTCCCTCCTTTGATCATCTTGTAGAATATGAAAATGGCCTGACATGGTGAAACAATTACTGTAACAACAGTGCCTGCATCCTAAAATATCTTTAAACGGTCCTTTTATTGCTCTCAGCCAACAGAAACTTAGCGTATTTTACTCATGTGCTTAGACTGTTTGGCATTTTCTGAGACCTTGCCAGGCATGTTTTAAAAAGCACTATTAGAGCCCTGGCCAGTGTGGCTCAGCGGATAGAGCGACAGCCTGCAGGCCAAGGAGTCCCAGGTTCGATTCCGGTCTTGGTTGCAGGCTCCTACCAGGCCCGGGGCCCTGGTCTGCGTGTGCAGAGGACAACCAATCAAAGTGTTTCTCTCATGTCGATTTTTCTGTCTTTCCCTCTCTCTTCCCCTCTCTCTAAAAGATCAATGGAAAAATATTTAACCAAAAATAAATAAATAAACAAACAAACAAACAAATAAATAAATAAATAAATGGAAAAGGCACTAGGAAAGAAAATCAAAGACTGTGTATAACCTTAGAGTTAGGATATGCAGTGGTCGGCAAACTGCGGCTCGTGAGTTTTGACTGTTGACTAATGAGTTTGCCGACCACTGTCTTAGAGAATCTGGTGAAATTCATGAAACTCAACCCAGAAAAATGCACACAACACACATGCCCAAGTACTTGTGTCTCTACCGCCAGTGGTTTAGGCTTTCTAAAACACAATCACGGATGTGGGTCCGTCAGCTTCCCAAATTAAGAATTTGCCAACTTACGGTAAAGAATAAGACATGTCACAGCAATTCCATGTCTAGGTATATGTTCTAGGGCGGCTCTCACACGGGTCCAAGGCGACATGAGTAATCATTGTAGTAACAAAGTTTGGAAGCAGTCAGTGTACATGTCCATCAGTAGAGAACAGTAGACTGGAATACTATGTAAACTAAATGACTAAGATCTGTAAAGTGTTAACTATACTTCAAAAGCATAATATTGAGCAAGAAAATCAATTTAAAGATTGCCATATATAATATGATGCCATTTTTAGACGTTTTTTTAATATCACCTGTAGGTATATAAATCTATATTAAACGAATAAAAGCTTGCATACGAGAGATAAACACCAAGTTCATTATAGTAGCTATTTCTGGAGAATAGGATAAGAGAAGATTACATAGAATATGTAATCTCAACTATTAATATATCCATTTCTCAACCCCTTAAAAAAAAGTCTGAAGCAAACACGGCTTCATTTGAAACATGGTTAAGATTTGAAAAAAGTGAGTGGTAGCTAATTTTGTTATTCTCAATGCTTGTTCTGTGCTTGAAATAGCTCATGATTAATTAAAGACAAAAAAAAAAAAAAAAACTTAAGAATCTTTTCAATGAAATTATAGCTCTTCCTTCTGTCTTCCTTCCGAATGCCTGTCCTCAGATAACAAGTTGTATATCGTGTTCAACGTGTTTGATGATGACTCCACCGGCTGGGCCTACCAGGAGGGCGTCCTGTCCATGAAGGTCACCAGGAAAGGGCCCGTCATCAGCACGCTCGATGCCGATTGGTTGGAGCTAACGACGTTCTATTATAAGCAAGGCTTGTCTCTGATCGACTCCTTTGTGTGCTGGGAGACACCGAAAGGTAAGTTCTCAATGATGATATGTCCGTATGTATCTTTAAAAATTGTCCTGACGTTAGAGTGGGTGGAAATGTGTTTGCCTTTCAAGCTCTGTGGCTGGAAGGACAGAGACTGTTCCTGAGGAAATAGATCCCAGCCCTCACACAGCTCTGTAGCTTCCAGGTAACAGCTTCCCCATCCTGGTGGTAGAATTTAACGTGATGTTTGCTGTTGGGTTGTAACTGTCAGGACTAGACAGGCCATTGTATGATGGACGAGTAGGACTTCCCAAATGCGATGTACTCCAACAACCCAGTCGGGGCTTAATATGGCCTTTGAGGACACTATCCAAATGATGACACTGCCTGCCTGATTCTTTCTATACTTTGTCTTGAAAAGTAACTTTTGCTTCAGAAAATGGTATTGATCTTAGGTTCATTTCTGCCTTCCCCCATCTTTCTTCTGTCTCCAGCCTTCCTCTTTTAGTTACAAAGGAATCTGTAATCATCCATCTACATCACAAAAACAACAAAGAAACAAACAAAACTCCAAAAATGACCTTGTAGGGAAAGTGTTTTAAAAAGAGATTAGAGCCAAAAGAAAAGAAAAATAGATACTAAGGAAGCTGGAAACATGGAAGGATAGAAGCCATGAAAACCAGAATAGGGCCCAACCCCGGTGGCTCAGTGGTTGAGTGTCGACCCTGCACCGGAAGGTTACGGTTCGATTCCTGGTCAAGGCACATGCCCGGGTAGTGATCCCCAGCAGGGAGGTGTGCAGGAGGCAGCCGATCAATGTTGATGTTTCTCTCTCATCAATGTTTCTCTCTCTCTCCCTCTTCCTTCCTCTCTCTCTAAAATCAATAAAAACATTTTTTAAAATGAAAAACAGAATAATTGGGGACCCTAACTCAATGAGGTTAGAGAAAAGAATGAAGAAGTAAATGAGATCTCCATATACCTTATTATCATTAAATCCGTGTAGTGACAACGTCACTAATACAACTAAAGACTTTAGATGAATATTTTGAATTAGCAAGAGTCGTATGTTCCAGTGGAGCCTTCTAACCAGCAACCAAGATGAAGGCCGAGCCCACGGCAGCACCGGAAATGTGGCCGCTGGCAGAGCGCTGGGCACAGCAGCTGCTCAAGGAAGAGGTTCTGGAATTTTTTGATTCTTGGAAACTTCTTCCAAGTGGATCCAAAAGGAAGAGCTTGGGCTCTCAGATCAGACAGGCCAGGTGTAAATCCCATCTTCTCTCCTCATTAGCTGAGCGATGCTGTGGGATCTGGAGAAGTTGAGCTCAGGAGCCCCGTTTCCTCAGTGGGGGATAAACATAGTCCTCCTCTAACCCATAGGAACAGACCAACGGGAAGGCTTCCAGAAGGGAGTGGGGAGGGGGGAATGGACACTAACACTGGGATGAGTTTGTGGGGGACAGATGGTCACTAGAATGGGGGACGGTCACACGGTAAGACATAAACATGTCCAGTCGCTATATTGCATACCCGAAGCCTCTGTAACCTGTATCAGACTGTATACCGACTGTACTCAGATCAGTTCATTAGAACTTAACCAAAAAAAAAAAAAAAAAAAAGAACTTAACCAATACTCCACTGTTCGCTGTGAGAATCCCATAAGCTACAGCATGTGCCCAGAAGAACACACACACACACACACACACACACACACACACAGCGTCCGCCCCCCTCAGAGTTCAGGTCTGAGGCTCATTTTCTTCCCGGTGCTGGTTCTGTGCAGACACAGTGCTCTTGGCGGGGACCTCCTGTTTGGGGGGTGGTCATGCTTCATATTTCTCTCCCACCCTCTCTCCCCCTCCCTCTACCTTCTCCTTCCCTCCAAAGAGTCTGAGTTGGAGCCATTTCAAGTTGTGGGCTGTGACGAGCAAGCGGCTGCAGGCAAAACGAAAAAGACTCCTTTCAAGCCTCTCCTGGCCTTGCCCATGAAATAAAATTAGCCACAGCAGTTGCCAGCTCAGCTCGAGGCTGGGAGGGCTTTTGTTCTGAGAGCTCGGGGCTATTTAGAGATCCTGGATCCTGGGGGTGGGGTAGGGAAGGGGTGGGAAGGGGGGGGGGGCTCTCTCCTTGGCAGCTGGATGTCTCAGAACATTTTTTTCCACCACAGCCACCCCCTCCAGCCCCTGGGTGTGTCAGCCTGGCTGGGAGCAGCAGGGGGTGGTGACCCAGGGCCAGGGCCTGTGTGGCTCTGGAGGAGGGAGCAGGGCTGGCTGGTGGCTTTGTTGGGGGGACAGGGAAGCCCTAGGACAGGCCGCTTTTCCTCCGTCCCCTCCTCCCTCTCCCAGGACACTGCCAGGAGTCAGCCCGCCCCCGGAACGAGGTCCTCAGCCGGGCCCCGTGGGCGCCCGGGGGGTGACACCCCCGATGGACCCAGGAGCGCCAGCCCCTACGCCAGCACAGACGCTCGGTCCTCGGGAGCAGTGGTCGGCAAACTGCGGCTCTGCTAACTAATGAGTGTGCCAACCTCTGGGATAGGGGCTTAATCACAAGGAACAACAACAGCCTGAAATTGTTGGAATCGAGAGTCTAGGTCAGTGGTTGGCAAACTCATTAGTCAGCAGAGCCCAGTTGGCCGACCACTGCTCTGAGCATAGCGGCTCCGCAGGCAGCTCCGTGGGATGAGACGGCAGCTTTGGCAGCTTTGCCCGCTGGTCCCACACACACACACACACACACACACACACACACACACTCACACACACTCACACACATTCACAAACTCACATTCACACACCCATACATTCACACACTCATGCTCACTCACAGTCCCCCCCACACACACACACACACACACACTCACACACATTCACAAACTCACATTCACATACCCATACATTCACACACTCACGCTCACTCACAGTCCCCCACACACACACACACACACACACACACACTCACACACACTCACACACACTCACACACACACTCACACACATTCACAAACTCACATTCACACACTCATACATTCACACACTCACGCTCACTCACAGTCACATACACACACACACACACACACACACACACTCACACACACTCACACACATTCACAAACTCACATTCACACACCCATACACATTCACATACTCACGCTCACTCACAGTCACACACACACACACACACACACACACTCACACACATTCACAAACTCACATTCACACACCCATACATTCACACACTCATGCTCACTCACAGTCCCACACACACACACACACACACACACACACTCACACACACTCACACACATTCACAAACTCACATTCACACACCCATACATTCACACACTGATGCTCACTCACAGTCCCCCACACACACACACACACACACACACACACTCACACACACTCACACACACTCACACACACACTCACACACATTCACAAACTCACATTCACACACTCATACATTCACACACTCACGCTCACTCACAGTCACATACACACACACACACACACACACACACACTCACACACACTCACACACATTCACAAACTCACATTCACACACCCATACACATTCACATACTCACGCTCACTCACAGTCACACACACACACACACACACACACACTCACACACATTCACAAACTCACATTCACACACCCATACATTCACACACTCATGCTCACTCACAGTCCCACACACACACACACACACACACACACACTCACACACACTCACACACATTCACAAACTCACATTCACACACCCATACATTCACACACTGATGCTCACTCACAGTCCCACACACACACACACACACACACACTCACACACACTCACACACATTCACACACATTCACAAACTCACATTCACACACCCATACATTCACACACTCATGCTCACTCACAGTCCCACACACACACACACACACACACACTCACACAGACTCACACACATTCACAAACTCACATTCACACACCCATACATTCACACACTCATGCTCACTCACAGTCCCACACACACACACACACACTCACACACACTCACACACATTCACCAACTCACATTCACACACCCATACATTCACACACTCATGCTCACTCACAGTCCCACACACACACACACACACACTCACACACACTCACACACACACACACACACTCATACACATTCACAAACTCACATTCACACACCCATACATTCACACACTCATGCTCACTCACAGTCCCCCACACACACACACACTCACACACACTCACACACATTCACAAACTCACATTCACACACCCATACACATTCACACACTCACGCTCACTCACAGTCCCACACACACACACACACACACACACACTCACACACACTCACACACACTCACACACATTCACAAACTCACATTCACACACCCATACACATTCACACACTCATGCTCACTCACAGTCCCACACACACACACACACACACACACTCACACACATTCACACACATTCACCAACTCACATTCACACACCCTTACACATTCACACACTCACGCTCACTCACAGTCCCACACACACACACACACACACACTCACACACATTCACAAACTCACATTCACACACCCATACATTCACACACTCACGCTCACTCACAGTCACATACACACACACACACACACTCACACACTCACACACACACTCACACACATTCACAAACTCACATTCACACACCCTTACACATTCACACACTCACGCTCACTCACAGTCACACACACACTCACACACACACACTCACACACACTCACACACATTCACAAACTCACATTCACACACCCTTACACATTCACACACTCACGCTCACTCAGTCACACACACACTCACACACACACATTCACACACTCACATTCACACACATTCACACACACACACATTCAAACACACACACATTCAAACACACACATACACACACACACTCACAAAGTCATACACACACTCTCACACACAGTCACACACACTCACACACATACATTCTCACACACGCTCACACACACACACATTCTCACACACACACATTCTCTCACACACACACTCACACACACACGCTCACACACACACACATTCTCGCTCACACACATTCTCACACACACACACGCTCACACACACACACATTCTCACACACACACACACGCTCACACACACACATTCTCATACACACACATTCTCACACACACACACTCACACACACACACGCTCACACACACACACATTCTCGCTCACACACATTCACACACGCACACATTCTCACACACACACTCACACTCACTTCACCAGCCCCTCAGCCTCAGAGCACAGCCTGCCCCCGGCCTTAGCACCGCCCGCACTGCACCATCTGTCACCGCCCGTCAGTGGGTTGTTGGCCTCATGCGGTAGCAGTGCCATCACCGCCTGTGCACATGCTCACGTGGAACGGGGGGACGTGTCAGGACGAGGAGGGGGGTAAAGACCTGACACGTGCACTTACTCACGTCACATGTATGTGTGTGTGTGCCCGCCCCGGGCATCCGGCAGGACCGGTGCCAAACACGCACTTACTTTCCTAACGGAGCGAGTGCGGCGATGTGGCCGCAGGTGTGGGGTGAGCGTGATGGGCAGAGCGGCTGAGGGTGCAGGAGTCTGTGCCCACCCTCAGCCACAGAGGGGGCCGGGAGCCCGACGTGGACGGCTCTGGGGGGAGAGGAGCCGGGAGGCCGGTCGAGGAGAGCACGGCGCCCACGGGTACGAGAGGAGCACGGCCCCTCCACGCAGTCTCACCACAGCCAACGCCGCGAGGGCTGACGGCGTCCCTCCTCTGGCCGGCCTGTTCTCAGCAGTTCCCCTCACTAGCTCAGGTCACTCCCACAGCGGCCCTGAGCTAGGTCTGCTGGCTCCCCTTTACCGGTGAGGAAACTGAGGCTCAGAGCTACACGCATGCCCCTCACACAGCTGGAAGGGGGACCAGAGTGGAGCGGATGCTCTTAGGCAGTTTGCCATCCGGTCGGAACTTTTATTCCAGTTATTCCTTAGCCAGGTAAGGGGGAGTCTGGCCTGAAACAGCCTCTCTGGCCTCCTCCTGCGAAGTGGGTCACGGAGAGAGGAGGGGGGGGGCGGGAGAGCCGCTGCCATGACCAGGGAGCTGGCGGTGGGGGAGGGCAGAGACCGGCTGACATTCCCTCTGGAGACAGAGCTCCTGAGGAAACACATCTCCCGTCCGGGCCCCCTCCCTCAGTTAATGCCAACGGTGCCACGTGGGCCTTTTGGAGCTGGAGGTGACACTGACCTCCAACCAGAGAGAACGCGGCAGATCACCTGTCCAGACACGTAACTTCCCTGGGCACCCTTCAAGCGTGTGCTCTCCAGCCAGGGCCCCGGGGGGTGTGGCCTGTGCCAGGGCCCCGGGGGTGTGGCCTGTGCCAGGGCCCTGTGGCCTGTGCCAGGGCCCAGGGGAGTGTGGCCTGTGCCAGGGCCCTGTGGCCTGTGCCAGGGCCCAGGGGAGTGTGGCCTGTGCCAGGGCCCGGGGGGGGAGGGCCTGTGCCAGGGCCCAGGGGAGTGTGGCCTGTGCCAGGGCCCAGGGGGGTGTGGCCTGTGCCAGGGCCCAGGGGGGGGGTGGCCTGTGCCAGGGCCCAGGGGTGTGGCCTGTGCCAGGGCCTTGGGGGGGGGGGGTGCGGGTGGCCTGTGCCAGGGCGCAAGAGCTCACAGATGAACTCCCCAAGGGTGATGCTCACTCAGGAGGGCAGAGGGGCCCATTTCCTTATATCACGGAGATGCACTGGAGAGGGCGCCAGGTTGCACACACCAGAGCTGCGTCTGCAGACCATCCTTCATCGGTACACTTCCCTTTCCCACGGGGGCATTGGCTTTTAAAAGGTTTCCTGTGGGTTTTTGAGAAGTGGTGGGTCGGTGCTGGGTACCTTTTCCACCTCAGGCCCCAGAGGAAGGGAATGTGGAGGGCGCACACGGCACAAACGGGGACAGCTGGTCGGCGGAGGCGGCGCCCGGGTCTCAGCACACCTGTTCGCCCTTCCCTCTCTCCAGCTGCACATCCTGGGGGCCCTGGCATCAGAACAGGAAAGCAGAGGCAGAGCCACAAACACCCACGGTCCTCACGTCACAGAGTCCCCGAGGAGACCGGTCTCCATAACTACACTGTTATCGAAGCATATCGTGTATATTTTTAAAATTCACCCGCCCATTCTAACTAAAGGACTTAGGATAGGACATAGCCATTTTTTATGGTGGTTAGCGATGCCCTGAACTTACAATCAGAAAGAGACTTAGCCGGTTTGTCTCAGTGGGTAGAGCGTTGGCCTGGAGACTGAACGGTCCCAGGTTCGATTCTGGTCAAGGGCACATGCCTGGGTTGTGGGCTTGATCTCCAGTAGGGGGTGTGCAAGAGGCAGCCAATCAGTGATTCTCTCTCATCATTGATGTTTCTAGCTCTCTTTCCTCCCTTCCTCTCTGAAATCAATTAAAAAAAAATATATATATATATATATATTTATATATATATAAATATATATATTTATATATATATAAATATATATATTTTTATATATATATATATATATTTTTTTTTTTTTTAAAGAAAGAGACTTGATTCCTCTAGTCACTTTGGTGTGACAATGGTCAGGTACATTTAAAAGGAAACAGGGTGTCTACTGTCCTCAGAAAACCATTTCCAACGAGTACATTACTCTGTCCCGGACGCCACTCAGAACAGCATAAACGCTACTTAATGGTCTGTCTGTCTTAACTGTCGGTGATGATGACAGCACAATGATTTCCGCTTGAGGTGGATAAGCCTGTCCATAAACACTAAGACCACAAATTCCATGGAAAGCATCCTGGCCTCGCTCGCTCGTATTTAAACTTAGCAGAGCCCTGAAACCTTCGCAGGCCCGTGTTCCTGGGACAACCGGCAGCCGGGACAACCGGCAGCCAGGCCAACGTGGATGTGACATTCGCCCCGTGAAAGCCAGAGTGTTCAACCCACATGTGACCGTGGGAAAACTGGAGACAAAGGAACACCATAACGTCAGCTCAGCGTGGCCAGATGGTCACTGGGAGCCGTTCAAGAGAAGGTCCGAGAGGCCCTCCCTGGAAACTCCCTGCCTGCAGGCGTCCTCTCCACAATGCCTTCTGTTCCGGATCTTCCTGTGGCCATTCTTTTCTTTTTAAGCGTCAGTGAAGTGAAGCATTGTTCCTCGCTTGTATTTTTGAGGAAATCTTGCCTCACATTCCTGTTCCTCTCCCACCCGTAAGTGTCAGGGGTTAACAGTGTTGATGCTGTTTCTCTCAAGAGTAGAACTGACTTGCAGACGGCGCACAGACCAGAGACCACCAGGCGGGGTGCCGTTTCTTCCCAGGCGCTCCTTGGGCTCAGGAAACTGCCTCTCCGCGCAAGGTGTTCATCTTGTTTTGGTTATTGTCCTTTTCGTGTTTACAGCTTGGTTTTAACTCGCTGACCTGTAACCCTGTCTTGACCTTGGCAACAAAGATTTAACCTTCAGAGAGGAAGAGGGTGTTGCTGATGGAACCATAACAAGTGTTTCTTAAGGGATCTGTTTGCCTTTCTGCTTCCTAGGAGGGTTTTTTTTAAGGGTTGGGACGCTCTTAAGAAACACGTCAGCTCTAACCGGTTTGGCTCAGTGGATAAAGCGTCGGCCTGCGGACTCAACTGCCCCAGGTTCGATTCTGGTCAAGGGCATGTATAATACCTTGGTTGCAGGCACATCCCCAGTAGAGTGTACAGGAGGCAGCTGATCGATGTTTCTCTCTCATGTTTCTAACTCTCTATCCCTCTCCCTTCCTTTCTGTAATAAAATATATATATTTTAAAAACACTTTGTATTTGCAACTCTTCTAACTGCACCCTCCTCCCCGCAGGCGACCACATGCCGAAAGCGCTGGACGGGTTCTTCGTGTACGAGGAGGAGGGCTCCGGGGTGCCGGGGGCCGGCCGCGCCGGGAAGGACGCCATCGTGGTGGAGCAGTGGACCGTCATCGAGGTAAAGGGCCGTGGCTGACCGTCCGGCTTTACATTTAGTTTCCTATTTTTTTAATATATATATTTTATTGATTTTTTTACAGAGAGGAAGAGAGAGGGATAGAGAGTTAGAAACATCAATGGGAGAGAATCATCAATCAGCTGCCTCCTGCACACCCCCTACTGGGGATGTGCCCGCAACCAAGGTACCTGCCCCCGACCGGAATCGAACCTGGGACCTTTCAGTCTGCAGACCAGCGCTCCATCCACTGAGCCAAACCGGTTTCGGCCTATGATTTGTTAACTATATTTTTATCGATCTCAGAGAGGAAGGGAGAGGGAGAGAGAGAAACATCAGTGACGCACACCCCACACTGGGGATCGAGCCCACGCCCTGGGCATGTGCCCTGACTGGGAATCGAACCATGACCTCCTGGTTCCTAGGTGGACGCTCCACCTCAAAGCCAGGCCGGCGGGCCAGCTTTCTGTTATGTTAACGGCCATCACCGTCACACGGTGGGCCCCTCCCGCTGTCTGTGCAGCCTCCAACGCAGGAGCAAACCGCTCTCCCAGGGGAGCAGTGCTGCACCGACGCCCGCCTTGTGATAAGACAGCAAAACCACGATCCGAGCAAGAATGGCAGTGTGGCCCCAAAGGTCAGCCTGAACCCACACAGAGGCCCCGGCCCTGAGGCTCTCCACGCCATACATCACCTGGTGGGACGGGAACAGATGCCCACGAGAGCTGGCGTTTGTCTCCAGCAACCAACGGGCCTGCTGTCTGAGCTTGGGAACTCTCAAAGCAAAGGTGCCCAAAGGGTGCCCCCCCCTCAGCAGCTGAACCTCCATCGCCGCCCTCCGAACCGGAGAGGGACAGGCTGTCACAGGAGGACAGGCCGCCCGAGGGCGACAGACCGCCCGAGGGGGACAGGCCACCCGAGGGGGACACACTGTGCGGCCTCGGCCCTCGGCCCTCTGCCCTCGGCCCTCGCTGGCAGGCTCTTTCATGGACGAGCTAGCCTTTCTGGCCTCACCGAGGGCGGAGACAGAGCCCCTGTTTCCAGGAAGCCAGAAATCCCTGTGAGAGGAGGGGCAGGATTGGGGGGCAGAGGTAAAGCGCCCAGTAAAATCCATTCCAGTTTTGAGCTCAAAATAAATCAAAACCAGTTGCAAGCCCCTCTCACCTTTCACTCCAGCTCATCTCTCCGCTCCGGTCCCGGGCCCAGGCACGTGTTTCTGAGCGCTAGGCCTGCCCATTACCGGAATGCAAACCACCTGGGAGCTCAGTGCAAATGCAGGTTCCGCCCTGACTGGTTTGGCTCAGTGGATAGAGCGTCGGCCTGCGGACTGAAGGGTCCCAGGTTCGATTCCAGTCAAGGGCATGTACCTTGGTTGCGGACACATCCCCAGTGGGGGATGTGCAGGAGGCAGCTGATCGATGTTTCTCTCTCATCGATGTTTCTAACTCTCCATCCTTCTCCCTTCCTCTCTGTAAAAAAATCAATAAAATATTTTAAAAGAAAGAAAGAAAGGTGCCCACTCCCACCCCCATTAGTGTTTGAGGCCAGACCAGGTCCGGGGAATGGGCCCAGGAAAGCCCAGGTTCTGGGGAGCAGCCAGAGACCCTGACAGCCCCCACCCTCACCCCAGTATCTCCACTGGGCCAGGGTTCGAGGCAGCAGGAAGCCGGCACCAGTGAAAATGAGCTTGCTGGAGGGGGCACCCCTCAGAACCCCACGCCCGTGCCTGGCCCTCCGGGTGCTGCCGGCCTGGGCCTGAGCTCTCGCTCCCTGCAGGGCTGCGAGATCAAGACGGACTACGCGCCCCTGCTGCACACGCTGGCGGAGTTCGGGTGGCTCCTGACCAGCGTGCTGCCCACGCCGATCCTGAGACAGGACAGGTAACGCCGTCTCCTCCCGCACCCCCGTCTCCTCTAAGTCAGAGCTCCGTTCCCTAACTCTGCTGAAGCAATCCTCTGTAATGCCCCCAAGGCATCCCTGGCTTCTCACCTCCTCTCAGGGCCTCCGTCAGGTGTGTGCCAGCAGCTCCGCCTCCTCCCCAGGGCAGGCGAGGGCAGGCCGGCCTGGCACCCCACGGGAAGGCCGCACTGCCCTTTTCCTGCTCGGGGTGCCGGTGGGTCCTTGCCCAGAGTGAGCACTGAGTGGGTATACGTCTGCAGACAGAGAAGCACAGGCCACGCTGTGGGGCCCCTGGGCCTGCCCCTCTGCTCTGCCAGGGCAAAGCTGCCCTCACCCAGCACCCAGCTGGGGCCGGGCCTGCAGAGCCCTGGATGCCGGCCTGGAGGAGGCGGCGTCCTGCCTCCATCATCCCGTAGTGAGATGGGCTCGCTCTCCCCTGAGCACGGGCTTGTTCGCTGTTCCCACGGAAACAAGTGCCTTGAGAGAAAGTGAGAGCCACATCTCATCCCTTCACCAATACCAACTGGTCCTTCTCTCCTTTTACTACTTTCCCCCCTTTCCTTTCTGGGAAGGAAGAAGATGAATTATATAGTCTTTTTTTGAGAGAAAGAGAGAGAGAGAGAGAGAGAGAGAGAGAGAGAGAGAGAGAGAGAGAGAGAGAGAGAGGCCTGTTACGTCCTCTGTGTAAAGTGCTTTCCTGTCCTGGGCTCAGAGGCGTGCCCTCTGCCCTATTTGGCATCCGGGACGTGACTGAGGGCGGCTGGCCTGCGAGGCCGGTGGCTCCCAGCAGGGGCAGCACTGCACCTGGGCTGGGCTGGCCTGTGTGGCTGCGGGAGGCAGCTCCCTCCCCTCCCACGTCTCACCAGCCTCCGGCGTCTCTGGTGTTCCCAGCTTAGCAGCTTCCCCGGGTCCCAGGTCCCCTCCACTTGAGAGGCTTTTGATTGACGTGGCTTTATAACACAGCCACCCCTTGCGCAGGTGAGGGGAGGGATAGAGGCGGATACAGTGTGAACCGGCTCAGGCTTTGAAAGGGGGATTAGGATGAATCAGAGCAATTCCCTGCTTTTCTTTTTTTTTCTTTTTTCTTTTTTTTTTTTTTTTTTTTTTTTTTTTTTTTTTTTTAAATATTTTATTGATTTTGTACAGAGAGGAAGGGAGAGAGATAGAAAGCCAGAAACATCGATGAGAGAGAGTCATCGATCAGCTGCCTCTTGCACACCCCCTACTGGGGATATGCCCGCAACCAGGGTACATGCCCTTGACCGGAATCGAACCCGGGACCTTTCAGTCTCCAAGCCGACGCTCTATCCATTGAGCCAAACCGGTCTCGGCCTCTTTTTTCTTTTTTTTAATATATTTTATTATTTTGTACAGAGAGGAAGGGAGAGAGATAGAGAGCTAGAAACATCGATGAGAGAGTCATCGACCAGCTGCCTCTTGCACGCCCCCCACTGGGGATATGCCCGCAACCAAGGTACATGCCCTTGACCGGAATCGAACCCGGGACCCTTCAGTTCCCTAAGCCGAAGCTCTATCCATTGAGCCAAACCGGTCTCGGCCAATTCCCTGCTTTTCTTCTCGGGGCTCTGTGGGTGACGGCTTCCACAGTGAGGGACAGCTCCCTGGAGCGTTATTTCCCATCTTTTCACAAAGCTGGGACGTCCCTGTCAGATCACAGTCCGGGCGATAACCTCAGGATTCTGCCTTCAAACCAAGCCCCCGGAGTCACCGGGAGCACTCCCAATACACAGACAGGGGCTGGTGAGGCCTGCATCCCTCCCGTGGCCAGGCCCGGGCGACTTAGACTGGTCAGAGAGGGACCAGGCCCGAGGATGCACTCCTGTGTGGCATCTGCTGAACCAAGCAAACTGACCACGGGGAGACAGACTCGGGGAGACAGGGAGCAGACTGCCCGCTGTCAGAGGGGAGCGGTGGGGGCTGGGTGAGAAGAGTGAAGGATTAAGCAAAGAGGAAAAAAAGCCTCACGGACACAGACAGAGGTGTGGTGAATGCCAGAGGGAGGGGGCGGGAGGTAGAAGAGGCTGTAACAGGGGGATCATGGTGGCGGAAGGCGACCGGACTTGGGGTGGTGGCCACACAGCACAGCGTACAGATGATGAGCTGTAGAATTGTGCACCTGAAACCTGTATCATCTCATTAGCCAATGCCACCCCGGTACGTTCCACACACAGATGAAAAGCGAAGTGAGTGAAAAGGTGTGCGCGCTGTGGGCAGAGTCTGCCCTGAAGGGGCTCGCAGCGGGGGCAGCAGGGGCAACGTATGTCCCTCAGTGACCCGGGCCTGCGCTCGGGCTGGGCCGGGTCAGGCTTCTGTACTGTGGGGTATGGCACCGTCACCAGCCAAGGGCGAGGGGGCACTTCCGTCTGTACGTTCCACAGTCATATTAAAATAAGAGCGTAGAGCGCAGGGGGGTTGCAGAGCAGGGTGAAAAGAGGTAAAGGGATTCAATCACAAAAATACGAGACGGATAACAGTATGGCGATAGAGGTGCATGGGGTGAGGGAGGCGGGAGTAGTCAAGGGCGGGGAATAGATGGGAAGGAAAGAGACTTGATTTTGGGTGCACGACGCAGTGTGCAGATGGTGTTTTATTGAATGGTATGCTTGAATCTGTGTGGTTTTATTAGCCAAAGTCACCCCCAATAAATTCAATTAAAAAAACAAAACAAAATTAGTTTATAAAAAATAAACAAGAGAGCGTGTAGACGGCCAAAGTCAGATGGAACCCTTGGTAGTACTGCGGTTAAGAGACAGCACCCCCAGAGGGCAGGGCCCAGGGAGGACTCTGCCGCTGACCGATGACCCCGACAGAAGGCGGCAGGAAAACGTAGTTAACCGTAGCCGTCCTCATGCAACAAGGGACGCCCGAGCCCCAGGGCCAACTGCTCCCCCCGCGTGCCAGGAACATTTCGCAACCTCATCCTGCTGTGCTCCTCTGTGCGTAAGCGGCTGCAGGGCAGACAATATAGGATGAAGGTAAAGGCTCGCTGGGATCTGATCGAGGAGATTATTGCTGAAACCTGTTTGTCCTCAGCTTTTTGATTCCCCTTCCCACACGCTGGCCCCGTGACGGTCACGTGCGGGTCTCCGCTGCCCCGGGCGCAGACAGTCCTGACCGTTGGCCGTAAAGAAAAACGCTGCATCCAGTTCCACCTGGCCCGGGCGGATGAGAGAGCCTGAAAGAGTTGTCTCTGAAACTATAAGAGTGGTCCAGGCTTTGAGCTTAACGAATCTCTCTTCTTTTTGGTGCCCTGATGTGGAGGGGGATCATACCCACAACCTGATGTAAGGGGACAACGCTATCCAACTCATCTCTCGGGCCAGAACTAAACAAATCTCACTGTAATCACAGTATCACCAGGAACGAGCTCTCTGACACTAATTCTTTTTCTTTTATTTATTTTATTTTTATTGATCTCAGGGAGGAAGGGAGAGGGAGAGAGACAGAAACATTAATGATGAGGAAGAATCATCTGCCTTCTGCATGCCCCCTATTGGGGATTAAGCCCACAATCTGGGTACATGACCTTGACCAGAATCGAACCCGAGACCTTCAGTCCACAGGCTGATTGTTCTACCCACTGAGCCAATCCAGCTAGAGCGGAACCAAAGTCCCTGTGACGTTGAAACCCTGGGCAAGGGTAACCCAGCTTGTCCTGCATCATGGCATTCCAGCGGATGCCCACAGCACAGCTCACGCTGTAGGAAACCAGCACTGAGGCTTACAGGCCAGCAGAAGGAAGAACAGTGATTAATGACACTGTGAAGATGTACACTTGCATGCATGCTCACTCCCAGAAAGACCGATGCCTGTCACCACTATGAATACCCCACGCTGGGCTGCCAGTTACGAGTGTCCCCCCAACGTCCTGTGTGGTTCAGGGTTCGAGCTCTGGAGGAGACCGCATGCAAATGAAAGATCCGAGACAAGAAAATATTAATTTGGGAATATTGGGGGCCAGGCGGGAGCCAGCTCAAGAGGAAGGACTCCGCTTTGCTCCACCTTGCGATCCCTTTTATTCAGGTTTGGGGTCCACCCGTAGCCCTTAGGCAGGCAATTGCAGTAACAGCTCGATGATAGCTGCATCCGTCAGGGAGAATTTACAAGAGACTAAAAGGTGGAAGTTGCTTCCGCTCCCTTGGTCTCCACCCGGCAGTGGGTGCACAACTCTGACCCTTGTCAGAGCCTCAAGGCTGACCAGCCTCCCGGACTCGCTGTCCGCCTCTCTCTGCTGGTGAGGCCAGGGGCAGCTCCCGCACACCATCCCTCCTGGGCCGCCTGCCTGGGCAAACACCAGGGAAAGGCTCTCCCCCAGGTAGCTTGGCCTCAGGTGCAATCGTGAAACCACTTCACCTTCCCCTTCTCGGCTAACACCTAAGCCCAACCTGAAAGGCCCATTCATGAGGTGTTTTCCCCTTTGTTAATAACTCCTGCATATCCCTTACCAGATTGCAGGAAGGCATTGTCTCAGGGCTTTCCAGGTGAAGGGTGTTACTTCCCTGTCACCCAACCAGCAGTCCAAGCTGGTTACCATGGAGACCTCAGGGTGGTCATCTGATATCACCACATTGTTCCAAGACGATTGTTGTCCGCCCACCCGGGGAATTTACCAGAACCCCTTCTTAATTGTTATGAATCAGGAGGTCACGGTTCGATTCCCGGTCAGAGCACATGAGCAGATGCCCGGGTGGTGCGTGCAGGAGGCAGCGGACCAATGATTCTCTCTCATCACTGACGTTTCTCTCTCTCTCTCTCTTCCTCTCTGAAATCAATTTAAAAAAAAATTTTTTTTTAAGAAAGAATGCTAGAATCCAGGGACACTTCATTGAGAATATAAAATTCTGCTCCTTGTATGGTGACCAGACGTCCCGCTTTTTTTTGTTTGTTTTTTTTAAATATATTTAAATATATTTTATTGATTTTATACAGAGAGGAAGAGAGAGGGATAGAGAGCTAGAAATGTCGATGAGAGAGAAACATCGACCAGCTGCCTCCCGCACACACCCCACTGGGGATGTGCCCGCAACCAAGGTACATTCCCTTGACCGGAATCGAACCCGGGACCCCTCAGTCCTCAGGCCGACGTTCTATCCACTGAGCCAAACCGGTCCCAGCGACAGTCCCGATTTTTAACAATTTGTCCTGCATCCTGTGACTTTTTTTTAAAAAGTCCCCATTTTTTAATCAAAAATTTTTGAATAACAAATTGTTAAAAATCGGGACGTCTGGTCACCTTACCTAAGGGGAAGGTATTAACAACTAGAGGGAAAGCTGTCCTTTCGCTGGGAGGCCAGACCCCACTCTCAGAAGCAGCGAAGGCCCTGGCGGGTCTGAGACTCTCCTGACCCTGAGTGCCAGCGGGAGCAGGAGGGAGGGCAGGCCGGGGCTCACTTCGGCCCCCTCCCGCACCTCCCCGCCCTCAGCTGTGTAATCTCTGTGCCCTGCCCTCCGCGCCACCTCGCCGGGAGCAGCACTGATAAGGCCGAGCTCTGTACAATAGCCCCTTTGTCTGCTCTGCACTGGCAGCAGTCACTCCTCCCATTGAGCTTCCCGGTGACCGTTGCGGGGGGGGGGGGGGGGGGGGGGGGGGCTGGAGGGGCCGAGGTGGCGTCCCCTGGGTGGCTTCCCACACACACACCTGAGACAGGGCGGGGCACAGGGCACAGGACTTCCCAGCCACACACCCCGCCAACGACAAAGCGGCAAGCTAACGACTCTGCTTTTAACGATTCTGCTTTTAACAAGTAAACGCCCGTTTCCTATCTCATTTCCAAGTAGCAATCATTAAACCATGGCAATTCATGAATGTACACGGTGACGCAAAACTGATCGGAAAATACTGTCCGGGCTCCCTCCGCTCTGATGGAGATGGGAGCCTAGCGGACAGCTTCTGAGGAGCGGGTTTATGTCCCACGTGGCCAGGCAGCCGCCCACCAGCCCCTCTGACACCAGCTCACTTACAGTCACCCTGGTCCTCACGCTTCCATCTCATGTACCAGTCACCAGCATGCTGTTTTGCTTCAACCCGAATGTTTACGGAGTGCCTGGTGTGTGCAGGCGATGTTTTACCCGCTCTAGCCTCAGACCCCGGCTTCCGGGAACTCACCTGCTTGGGAGAAAGCAGTCACCAATAACTAATGCAGAACAGACAGACCCTGACCCTGCAATGGGGTCCACACAGGGGACCAGGCCCGAGGGGTGAGCATCAGCCCCGCGGGGGCGAGAGGATCTTGGCCATCACAGCGGCTTGTGGTCCTTCAGAAGGCCACAGTGCAGCCAGATGGGCAGCCTGTCTCAGGTGTTAGCACTCAATGGGGGAGCGGAGGGAAGAGGGGGGAGAGGAGGGAATGGGAGAGGAGGGGGGAGGAAGGGGAGAGGTCTGAAAAGGCTCCCAGAGGAAGCAGAGCTGCGAGGAAGGCAGGGAACGTGGTTAAGGCCGAGGGTGAGGAGGGGAGCAGGTGTGTGACGGCTGTGGTGTCGGATTGTAAGAGAGCAGAGCTTCCCAGGCAGGCTCACGGAGAAGGTTCCAGGTGGTGGGCGGGGCTGGCGGGCAGTGGCCGCCCGGACCCCCCAGGGAAGGCTCTGAGAGCAGAAGGCAGTGCCAGTTGGCGATGCCCGCAGGCACCAGAGATGGGAGGTGGAAGTATGAACGCCACGGACACTTCCTCCCTCTGACAACCTGAAGCAACACGCACCAGGAGGGTGAGTCAAGAACAGTGAGCACAGACAGCCCTGGCCGGGCCCTCAGTGGGTAGAGCATCGTCCCAGATGCCAACGCCAGGTTGTGGGTTTGAGCCCCTACATACAAGAGTAGACCCATGAATGCATAAATGAGTGGAACAAGTCCATCTCCCTCTCCCCTCACCTTCCTCTCTCTCTCAAAGCAATTAAAAAGGAAGTACAAGGAAATGAATTCTTGAAGACCTCTCCTAACTTAAAACGCAAAAAATTCAAGATTGGGTGTGTGTGTGTGTGTGTGTGTGTGTGTGTGTGAAAAATAACATCACTCCTCGAGTGAGGATTTTAAAGGAGAAGGAGGAAAAGGAGGAGGACAAGGGGAAGAGGAAGGAGGAGGTGGAGGAGGAAGAGAAGGAAGTCTCCCAAGACCACTTTGGCGGAAGAGTTGCTTGTTTCTCAAAATTCAGCAGAATCTCTGTGTGGGGCACTCAGTGGTGTGGGGCCAGAGCTTCAATGTTGCTTTTGTTTTCCAGAAAAAAAGAGCAAATAGTGAGGTTTTGGTTTTGGTTTTGGTTTTTTGCATAATAAAAGTCGTAACTGAGCAACATTAGCTGCAGACTCCTTCCCCTAAAGCCATGGAGACTGGGAATACACTTCAGAGAGACCCAGGCCCCCGGAGCCTTTGGCACAGGGACTCACCGAGAGGGCAGCCGACTGAGGGGAATACTGAGTAGCTCCCACAAAGGAGCATCTGGGAAGAAAACGCTCCGGCTCCAGCCCCTCCACTGGGAATCTACAGCAAGTTCCTCCCACGGCCCAAGGTCACCTCTTCTTAAAAGGCAGATTTGACAATGCAAACAAAATTTTTAATCAAACATTCTTCACCTAATAATCCCGCTCCTGAGAATTTACTTCAAGATTTCCTTGAGTCATAAGACTAGGAAGACAAGACATCTTTCTATGGCAGCATTTTTATAATATTATTTATAATTAGCAGGAAACCGGAAACAACCTAATTTTTCAATAATAAAGGAAGAGAGTACAGTTCAGTGTCTGAAGTCTTTGAGACACAGCTGCTAAGAATCTGGTCAAGTGCACAAACAAGGGAAGGGTGTTAGGTGAAGAGCACAGAACACAGAAATGCAAATATGCGACGGTTACAGACACGCAGCACATGTGTGGGAAGGACGGAAGGGGACCAGGAGGTGAAAGTAGTGATGTTGGCATGTGAGGTTACACGTTCTCAGCATTCACATTTTCTTTTGTAACGACCATATTCCGTTTTGTGTTTTTTAATCCTCTCCCCAGGATATGCCCCCACTGATTTTTAGAGAGGCAGGAAGAGCCCTAGCCAGCTTGGCTCAGTGGATAGAGCATCTGCCTGTGGACTGAAGGGTCCCAGGTTCGATTCCGCCAAGGGCACATGCCTGGATTGTGTTTTGCAAACATCTCATCATTGATGTTTCTCTCTCCTTCTCCCTTCCTCTCTGAAGTCAATAAAGAAATACTTTTTTTTTTTTTTTTTAAAGAGACGAAGGTAAAGAGAGAGGTATAGAGAGATAGAAACATTGATGAGACAGAAACATCATCCATTGGCTGCCTCCTGCACACCCCTTCCTGGGGATCAAGCCCTAAAATCTTCCCCTTAAACCCTTCGGATGGAGGACCCAGTGCCCATCCCCGGAGCCCGCCTGCCCCTCCCTCCTGCTGCCCCTCCCTCCCGCTGCCCAGGCAGGCCACAAGAGCGTCCTCACTCCCAGGCTCCTAGGGCCCTTCCTTTCCCGCTGTAACTGGTTTCCTAAACTCATCTTCCAGCAATTCCTTTTTACACCTCCGTGATTAACCAAATATATGTTCTCTTACAGTTAAAAAACAAAACAAAACAAAACAAAAAAAACAGGAATTACTAATCCACAGAGACTAATGCTGTTGTTTTCATTCGCAGCGAAGGGAATTTGGCCACAAAGCAGGTGGTGTTTCTTCAGAGACCCGCCATGTGGAATGCGGCAGCTCAGACCCCAGAAGTGAGTAATACGGTGCTGGGCAGGCTGTCTGTCACACTGGAGCCGAGGTCGGCAAACTCATTAGTCAACAGGGCCAAATATCAACAGTACAGCGATTGACATTGCTTTGGAGAGCCACATTTTTTCAACTTCTCCACCATAGACTCCCCCAGGCCGTGGTATTTTGTGGAAGAGCCACACTCAAGGGGCCAAAGAGCCACAGGTGGCTCACGAGCCACAGTTTGCCGACAACAGCACTAGAGCATTTAGTCCTGACGCTCATTTCATGCCAAATGGGGAGCACGGGTGGGAAGTGTGGGGTTGGTATGGAAACAGTCTTCTCGCCCGAGGCATGCGAGTGCAGGCTGCCCGCCCTGAGCCGGTCCCCGGGCCTGGGATGCCTCTCAGAACGGGCCCGGGGGCAGCAGGACCACTTTGAGCTGAAGGCCACCAAGCAGCCACCGCTGCTCAGGAGGACCCGCTCCCGCCTCCTTCCTGACGGAACAGGTGTTGTGTCCTCAGGCAGGCGTGGCGTGGCCCTGCGGGGCTCCCTCTCCCTCCCTCTCCCTCCCCGCACCAGGCGGGGGGGGGGGGGGGGGGGGGAGGGGTGTCGCCAGAGGTGGCCCGTCCCCGGGGACACCCTGATGGATCTGCATACACAAGCTCCCTCAGTCACCTCCACCCCATGTCTTAAAGATGTTTCCAGGACAGTAGCAGACCTACACATGCGCCCTGGCTGGGTGCTCAGTGGATAGAGCCTCAGACTGAAGGGTCCCGGGTTCAATTCCCGATAAAGACTCAAGCCCAGGTTTCGGGCTCAATCCCTAGTGGGGGGGCGTGCAGGAGGCAGCTGATCAATGATTCTCTCTCATCATTGATGTTTCCCTTTCCCTTCCTCTCTGAAATCAGTAACAAATTATATATATATATTAGAAAAAGAAGTTATAAAAAAGGAATATTGTGCTCAGTGGAAAGGTAAGCTGCACACCCATGTGCAAACTCGAATATATAGCTCTTTTTTTTTTTTCCCCTCCCTCTTTCAATGATCAATGATTCTCTCTCATCATTGATGTTTCCCTTTTCCTTCCTCTCTGAAATCAGTAACAAATTATAATATATATTAGAAAAAGAAGTTATAAAAAAGGAATATTGTGCTCAGTGGAAAGGTAAGCTGCACACCCATGTGCAAACTCGAATATGTAGCTCTTTTTTTTTTTTTCCCCTCCCTCTTTCATTCGAAAACGTAGCTCTTTGGAGAAGAAAACAGTAACACGCACCACATTCTAACAGCGGTTTCTCTGCCAGAGGGGGCAGTGGGTGGATTTTGCTCTTTCCTCTGGTTCTGCCAGGTCTTCCACACCGAACGTGCATTTCGTAAGATGCCCGGGAGTTTTCATTTGGGAACACACAGATGGTTCACTCGCCTCGTGTGTCTGGCAGGTGTGGGTGAGGTGAGTGTGGGAGGAATAAGGCGAAACGCTGGGCCTCTGGTTCGAGGCCAGCCGTGCCCCGACCTTGGCAAACCCCGCCTTCTTTCTGGGCCTGGGTCCTCCCTCTGTCGAGTGAGGGGTTGGAGGAGGGGCTCTCCAAGGCCAACCAGGCTGCAGACCCCTGCACGCTCAGTCCTGGGGCCTGCAGTTGGATGGACTAGAAGAGCTATTATTTCCCGAGGAGGGAGGGTGGGTGGGGATGGCACCGCCTCTGCTGAAGATGTGCTTAGTAAGAGTCACGGGAGCGGGGGGATCTGAAATTGTTTTTAGAGTTCCCGTGAAAGGATTGGTCATCTTCTGGTACCTGGCCTTTCCATGTGGTGGCCGTTTGCTGAATACTTACCTGAGAGTGAACGGCCAGGAACAGCGCATGGCTCCGAATATACCCGTTTCACCATGAAGGCCCCTGCTGGTGTGAGGGCCGGCCTCTGCTGGCCGGGACACAATCGGGAATCTGTTGCAGAGTCACCTCCCGCTCTGCTGAGGAGGCAGGAAGGGCCCGGCAGCCAAGTGCTCAGGCCCTCCGCCCTCCCCCTCCGCCCTCCCGTCTGTATTCATTCATCAGAGTCGGGAGGTCACTGGGGATGAATGGGTGCTTTGTGCACGTGGGAAAGGGCGCCGGCAGCCGGGCCTGAGAAAGGAGCCCGTCTGGCAGGGCCCGTCGGCACTGCCTGCAGCCCAAAGGCTGGCTCCAGGCCGGCCGATGTCCCCGCGCCAGGAGAACAAGCCATGGCAGACTCTGTGCCAGCTCCACTCCGTGCATTGAACGCGGTGCACTTGGTGAATGAAAAGGAAAGGAAGAGGGTTTGCCATCCAGTGTTTTCACTGGATGAATCCATGGCGGGGTGGGGGGATGGGACGCCAGCACCTCCCAACCACCTCGGATTTGGGGATTCGGGACGGGAAACCGGGCCTTTCTGTGGGAAGCGGCCCAGTGTGGGCTCGTTCCCTTGAACTTGCCTGAGGGCCCAGGGACACGCTCAGCTTCCTGCACAAACCGGCCCCTGGACAGCCGTTGCGTTCCATGGGAGCCCACAAAGCCTGCTTTCAGGAAGCTGTTTGTGTATTTGGCTTGAAAACCAGTAAAACATACTTGTGTAGCTTACACACTACAGTTCAACAGACCTATGGGTTAGCCAACTTTTGCAAGACTAGCCTAGGGTTTGTGTGTTTTCTCTTACATTTAAGGAAACATAATCCTAGTTCCCAAATAACATATAAGTGAACTTTCAGCAAATGCCTTCTTTGTCCACTGGGAAATCACTGTGCTTTTTAAATGTGTCCCTTTTTCCTGGTGGATGTGGGCTCGGATAGTTGGAGTACCTTTCTGGTCCTGGGTTGACTCCTGGTCAGGGCACATACAGAGACAACTGATGGATGTTTCTCTCTCACATCCATGTTTCTCTCCTGCACCCTCTCCCTTCCTCTCTCTCTCTAAAAAAGTAAATAAATAAATATATATTTTATTTTATTTTTTATTGACTTTTTACAGAGAGGAAGGGAGAGAGAGAGTTAGAAACGTCAATGAGAGAGAAACATCGACCAGCTGCCTCTTGCACACCCCCCACCGGGGATGTGCCCGCAGCCAGTGTACATGCCCTTGGCCGGAATCGAACCTGGGACCTTTCAGTCCACAGACAGACGCTCTACCACTGAGCCAAACTGGCTTCGGCTAAATAAATACCTTTTAAAGTATAACCCTTTTAGTTTTCTTTTTACTTATTTTATTTTAAATATTTTTATTGATTTCAGAGAGGAAGGGAGGAGAGCGATAGAAACATCAATGATGAGACAGAATCATTGATCGGCTGCCTCCTGCACACCCCTACTGGGGATCACGTCTACAGCCCAGGCACGTGCCCTGACTGGGAATCAAACTACAACCTCCTGGTTCATGTGTCAGCGCTCAACCACTGAGCCACACTGGCTGGGCAGCTAGAACACTTTTTCTATTGGTAGACCCCCGATTAACACCGAGAAGAAAAATGGAACCTTTCTTGTATCTCGACCCTTTGCTCCCCGAGGTGTGATCTCAACAGGCTTCTCTCTTCTGAAGTGTCTTGGGGGCCCAGACTTGTGGGCAGACAACTGAGGTGCCAGTGATGAGAATAACGTGCCTGGAAGCCACCCAGGGGTGTGAGACAGAGGGGGGCGGGGCAGGGGGACAAAGGGCTGAGCTGGTCCTGGGATGAGCAGGGCCCTGGTGAGAAGCAGGGAAAGGATGTTTGGGCGGAGGGCGTGGGCGGAGGGCAGAGGGACAGGGAGCACCGTCTTTCTAACCCCCGCTGTCTGTCTGTGTTCCAGAGGAAGGCCAGCCGGCACGTGAAAGGCGAGGACAGGCACAAAGCCAGCAGCAGGAGCATCGGCCTGGACACGGCCACGTCCCAGCCCGCAGGGCAGGGCGCCCCGCCCGGGGGCATCCCCCCTCCTTCCCGGGTGCCCTGGGTGCAGGGGCCCGCGCTGCCGGGGCTGGGCCTCCTGCGGGACCTGGACGACGGGCCGCTGGACCAGGAGGACGGGGTCACGCAGGTCACCTGTATGTGACAGGCAGCCGAGCCCAGGCCCTGCACACGGCCACCCACACAGCGGCCACGGCTCTCGTGTGCCTGTCTGCGTGTGAGTGACAGGCGTGTTTTCCCAGGCCCAGGCTCCTTCTGACCTCGTGCACGTGGGCTCAGCCCCCCAGACGGGAAGGATAATCAGCACGTTCACACATGTAGACGCATTTCACACTGCTCCCAACTAAAGCGCCCGTGCGCACAGACGCCGTAGGTCACTAACGGAGACCCCACGTCACTGCTCACGAATGGACAAGGTGGACTCTCGTCATCACACCAGCAAGAAGACTGAAGGTCCCGGCCAGCATGGTGCCCGATGGAAGGGGCTCAGAGAGTTGGTCCTAGGGACACCGACCAGCAATGCCCGCCCTGCACGGCACTCACTGGCTAACGAATGCACCGCCTGGATATGACCATGGACCAGCCATGGTGTGTGTACAGAGCAAACCTTGCCCTAGGCTAACCCATTGAGCTTCAATGGTGTGCTTCCTAATAGGAGAAAGAGAGAGAGAGAGAGAGAGAGAGAGAGAGAGAGAGAGAGAGAGAGAGAGAGAGAGAGAGGAGAGAGAGAGAACGCGAGAGCGTGGGAGAGAGCGAGCAGCGTCCCTCACCACTCAGTGTGGAAAGAGCCCAATCTCAACCTTTAAAAACCTAGTGGACGGGCAGAGCGGATCTGTTTTCCTTTATGTTGGGAACAGTGGGAAACGGGAGGCATCACTGTGAGTGGGAATGGCTGCTTCACACTGGCCCGAAGTGCACGACCTTCTATTTCACGGGCATCAGGAGCAGGGGGGACCCAGGGCCTGCACCGGGGGGGGGGGGGGGGGGCTGGTGGCCCAGCGGCTCCCTCTCTCCCTCCGTGCTCTGCTCAGGGGGTGCCTGCGCCTTGCCCCGATTCAGCAGGAAAAGATGGAAAGTCTACAGAACGCAGGCTCCGCTTTTCTCCATGGAAACTAGCTTTGAAACGTGGGCACCTTCAAGGGAAGGACAGCTGGCTTTGCCATTGACGGATTCAACGTATTCTATATTTTTATTAGCGTTGGTGTTGACATTAGAAGATCACTGAATAAAATGTCATTTTATTGAACACGTGTTTACAGCGTGCTTTATACATTTCTGTATTGTGTGTTATCACGCATTCAGTGTGACTAACGAGTCCCTTCTCTGTGAACTGTGGGCAGGACTGGCACAGTGGCACCCACCTGTACCGTGTGCGGAAGCCTCGCCTGCATAGGTATAAAAGCACTTAAGAATGTTCTGCTCAGAATTATTCTGTGGAAACAGCTACCCACAATCTTTGCAGAAATATTTTTGTTCGGTTTTTAGGTGAGCCTAAGCTCCATATCCAAAAGTTGAATTTTTGGTAAAGACAAGCGTGACCTCTGAGCCAGGGCACGCCAGGACACAGAAAAGGGACTCAGAACCGCCAGAGAGCTCCTCCGGGCCAGGTGCCCGGGGGGCTTCCAGCATCAAAGGCGGGGCTAGGCATTTGTACTTGACTAAGGAACGCTGAGGCACACACCAGTCACCTTTCACTTGATTTGATTTGTGCAAGTTTACTTTCTTTGTGCAGTTTGCTTTTAACATTTATTAAAAAACATTTTGCCCTGTCAAAACTGGTTTAGCTCAGTGGATAGAGTATCAGCCTGCAGACTGAAAGGTCCCAGATTCGATTCCAGTCAAGGACATGTTCCTTGGTTGCAGGCACATCTCCGGTAAAAAGTGTGCAGGAGGCAGCTGATTGATGTCTCTAACTCTCTATCCCTCTCCCTTCCTCCCGTAAAAAAATCAATAAAATATATATATTTTTTTAAATCTGAAGAAAAATGCCGAAACCGGTTTGGCTCAGTGGATAGAGCGTCGGCCTGCGGATTGAAGGGTCCCGGGTTCGATTCCAGTCAAGGGCATGTACCTTGGTTGCGGGCACATCCCCAATGGGGGGTGTGCAAGAGGCAGCTGATAGATGATTCTCTCTCATCAATGTTTCTAACTCTCTATCCCTGTTCCTCTCTGTAAAAAAATCAATAAAATATATTTTTTTAAAATAAAAATAAAAATCTGAAGGAAAAAAAAAAGTTTTGCCCCAATTGGTTTGGCTCAGTGGATAGAACACCGGCCTGCGGACTGAAGGGTCCCAGCTTCAATTCCGGTTAAGGGCATATGCCCAGGTTGCAGGCTCCATCCCCAGTAGTGGGCATGCAGGAGGCAGCAGGTCAATGATTCTCATCATTGATATTTTGATATTTCTATCTCTCCCTCTCCCTTCCCCTCTGAAATCAATAAAAATAAAATAAAAAATGTTTTATTAGAATAAACTTGTCATATCCTTAAAATCTATTTCATAAGCATTCATTCTAACAATTACCCTTAAGTGACATGGCACATTTGTTATTATAGTGAATAATGGCCAAGTGGTTCTAGAGTACATGTAGCTTTAGTCTATTCTTTTAAGAAAAGGTAACCAACCTTGCATTCTATGCCTAAGGAGTTGAATGTGACTAACCTTATCATTATCTGAACTTTTACTACTTGTGAGTCAGGATGAAAAAGACTCAGATCCTAGAGGTGGAGGGGGTGAAGTTCAGCCGTGTCCCTTGGTACAGCGGCTGTGGCACTGCTGTCCTGAGGTTCAGTAACGCCCTGCTAGTTCCATCCCATTTGGCTTGAATGTCACCGTCTTCTCTCTCATGGACATTAACACCAAATCCCCCGGGCTCACCGTGAGCTGAGGACCAGTTCTGTCCATGTCACCGCAGGTCTCTTAGAGTCTTCCACACCCACACAGCAGGAGGCAGAACTCTAGTCCATTGAATCACTGGCTCTTCTCAATATACCTTCACCTATGGGCGGGCAAGGAGCCCTCCAGGGCTCTTTACACAGACATGAACCCCACTCGTGGGGCCTCCACCCTCAGGAACCAAAACCCCCTTCCTGGACCCCCTTCCTGGACCCCCTTCCTGGACACCATCGCACTGGGGATCAGGATGTGGACACAGGCCTTTCTGAGGGACACATTTTATGTACAGCAACTGTACAGGTGCCTGGGGGACCTCCTGGGGTGATAGAAATTTCCTATACCTTTATTTGGTTGAAAATAGCACAAGTGCATACAATTGTCAAAACTCATTGGATTGTACACTTACTTTAGGGACATTTTACTATGTGTACATTGTAATATATAGTATATCGGGAGAGGAAGAGGGAGAGGGAGAGGGGAGAGAAAAAGAGGAGGAGGAGGAGAGGGAGAGGGAGAGGGAGAGGGAAGTATCATTATATTTCACATCATTGATGTTTCTATCTCTCCCTCTCTCTCTCTGAAATAAAAATATATTTGAACAATATTTCATCTGGAATGTATTTTGGAATGAGAAATGAATTGCATTCACTTTAATTTCTCTCCTTTTGTAACCCCCCAAAAAAGTATGTCAGAATTCCACTTTTTAACACTTCCAGCTTCCCAGACAGTTGCAGTCTGACATTCTATGTTTCTCCCTTCCTTCCCATCTCATCATGTAGAATTACTCCGACCCAAGTTAAAATGAATGCGATTCATTCCTCACTCCAAAATACATTCCAGATGAAATATTTTTAAATATATTTTTTATTTCAGAGAGAAAGAGAGAGGGAGAGATAGAAACATTAATGATGTGAAAGCATCATTGATTGGCTGCCTCCTGCACACCCTACACTGGGGATCGAGCCCACAACCCAGGCATGTGCCCTTGACCAGAACTGAACTGGGACCCTCCAGTTCACAGGCTGACGCTCTATCCACTGAGCCAAATCAGCTCAGGCCCAGATGAAATATTTAAATGTAAACAACAAAACTATAAAATAGTCAAGTAATGTATGAGCAAATATTTAGATAATTCAAACCACAGAAGCCACAACAGACTGCCTAAATACTAAGGCTAAACTTAAAACTTCTACACAGAAAAACTATCCATAAACAACCTCAAAAGGTACACCAAAACTGAAATCAAGAAACAATCACATGACGAACGGCCAATATTCTAGAAACTCAGAGATGTTAACATAAAGCAATGTACAGCCAAGGAGAAAAAACTGCAAGTGATACAAGTAGTTTTTTTTTTAAAAAAACATAAACAATCAAATAAACACAAGAGTTCAACTCAACACGAAAACTGCAAAACAAAAAGAGCCCAGTGGCTCACTGGTTGAGTGTCGACCTATGAGCCAGGTCACTGTCAGGGCACATGCCCAGGTTGCAGGCTTGATCCCCAGTAGGGGGTGTGCAGGAGGAAGCTGATCAATGATTCTCTCATCATTGATGTTTCTTTCCTTCCTCTCTGAAATCAATTAAAAAAAAATTTGTAATGTTTTATATTTAATATGAAATGGGGTTACATTTTAATCTTGAGTGGGTGTAATCTCGGGCCTACAAAGACCTTAAAATTATCTGAGTTTAAGATCTCAGGATACCTTGGAGGTGGGGGAAGGGAGACATGTAACACTTCCAATCTTGAATTATTGGGGGAAAGATCTCAGGGCAGTCAGAGCAGAGGGCTCAGGTCCCGCAGAGGAGCAATGGCTGTCAGGACTGAGATGAGGGTGGATGGTCCTTACTGGTAGGGTTGGGTGTCACAGGCATTGGGAGAGTCGGGAACTCACAAATGAAAGTCTTCTCCAGCAGGTGGAGGGCATTTGCATCAAGAGAAATCTATGCCTGTGTGTGGCCTTACGCCTGTCCCCCTCCACCATCACATTTCCAGCCCGCCATGTCTGAGTGACGATTTTCACTTTTGAGTCACAAATTCTAAGGTTCTGGTGAGCCCTGGAATCTTGCAAATCTTGCAAACAAGGGGAGTCTGAGGAGTGGCTGAGGACCTGAGGCCCTGGCTTTGCAGAACCTTGACAGCCAGAAAGATACACTCAAGAGGCCCCGCCTCTGACACTTCAAACTGTGTCCTCTCCCTACATTTCAGAAATGTGACACCAACCAGTAGGGTCATATTCCATTTATTATTATTATCCTGTTAAACCTGAGCTTTTCACTCTCTACTGTTGGATTCTTCCCACAGTGACTGCACTGTGTCTGGGCACTGGTGTTTAATTAAAATAACAAGGACTGCCCTAACCAGTTTGGCTCAGTGGATAGAGCGTCGGCCTGCAGACTGAAGGGTTCCAAGTTCGATTTCAGTCAAGGGCATGTACCTTGATTGTGGGCACATATATAGTAGAGGGTGTGCAGGAGGCAGCTGATTGGTGTTTCTCTCTAACCCTCTCCCTTCCTCTCTGTAAAAATCAATAAAATGTATTTTTTTAAAAGCACAAAACAATACTTAGTCTCTAGCCTTTAAGATGCTCTAAAAGTTGGCAGCTTATTCAGAATTAGTGAAACCCACTCATTTCCCCCATGATCCTCTAACAGCTAACAAGCTCATTTGCATTCATCATATATTTCCCCTGCTCCAAGCAATACTTGAAAAGTCCCTCTAATTCCCTCAAATCACCACGTTATTTTATCTTGTATTAGTACTTTTAACTAAGTTCAGATGTTCAAAATAACTGCATATCAATACAGCACACTAGGTCCCCAGCCTACACAAAATGTCCTGTAAAACATGCACCCAAGTGTTCAGAGTGAGGCTCCTCATTAAATCTTATAGATAACAATCCTCTGGGACAGCGATTGTCAGCCTTGTTCATCTCTGGCGCAAAGAAATTATTAAAATTCTGTGGTTCACCAAAATCATTTTTTGCCGCTGGCTGGAGGCTAAGACCAACAAATAGTCAGCATAACTTTGCGAGAAGTCCATTAGAAGGCTAATGCACTTTGATATTCAGCAAGAGCTGAAAATCAATCAGCACTGTATTACCCTGCTGCTGGCTGAATGGCTGAAGGCAATCCCCTAACCTGGTAATCCTTTCTTGTTTACCAAACCTTACCACTGGTATATCTGTTTGCTTTGTCAAAGGGCAAATGTGTCTTCTAGTAAACAAAAGGCTAATGGGTCCGGGTATTCAGGGAGCCACTCCACTAGGGAGTAAGGCCTCGGCCTGGCTCCCCCATACCTTCTAAGTCCATATTTATTGTCTAGTATACCCATTTGTGCGTCAGCCTCTTCTCCACACCTTGAACCCTAGCCAGTATTGATTCATTCACATCAGACAGCTATTATTGTGTTGTCTGTTGTCCTTTTTTTCCTTGACAATCTAAGGGAAAAGAAAGTCAGTGCCCCTGACTAAACAGTCAGATATTGCATGTTTTATCAATTCTGCAGCACACCAGTGTACCTCTTATGGCACGCCAGATGAAAATCACTGCTGACAGAAACGCTTGATATTATCTGGTTGTACAGTGTACTCTACAAATAATACATATTTTTCAGAAAACAAATTTGATATTTTGACTATCTCAAGCTGCTAAATATGTTGTACTAATACCTCTGTAGTGTCTGTAGTTAACAATATGCTGCATTCAAGAAATGAAAATCAACTAATTTTTCTAAAACATTTGCATAGCATGGAAGAACTACACAAAGAAACCATTAGCACATCCATATAAAATGCAGAATTTAACTGTGCAAATAAAATTATAGCAAGCCTTCAGACAAAAGGGTGTCATTGTTTAGTGATTAGTGTCAGCAAAGTACACAGGGAACAGATCATTAGTTCTATTACAATAAATTTGGCATCAGTCAGTAAATGTGTTTAAACTATAATAGAGTCCTTACTAACAATGTAATCATGGATTTTTACTGTTATTCTGATTGTTTAAAATATATTCTTATTGATTTCAGAGAGGAAGGGGAGGAAGAGATAGAAACATCAAAGATGAGAATCACTGATTGGCTGTCTCCAGCATGCTCCCTACTGGGGAGTGAGCCCTGCAACCTGGGCATGTACCCTTAACTGGAATCGAACCCGGGATCTTTCAGATAGAGCAGGCTGATGCTCTATCCATGGAGCCAAACCAGCTAGGGCTTATTTTGATTTTTAAAAAGTGTTCACTTGCCGAGACCGGTTTGGCTCAATGGATAGAGCATCGGCTTGGGGACTGAAGGGTCCCGGGTTCGATTCCAGTCAAGGGCATGTACCTTGGTTGCGGGCACATCCCCAGTAGGGGGTGTGCAAGAGGCAGCTGACTGATGACTCTCATTGATGTTTCTAACTCTCTATCTCTCTCCCTTCCTCTCTGTACAAAATTAATAAAATATATTTAAAAAATAAAAAATAAAAATAAAAAAAATAAAAAATAAAAAGTGTTCACTTATTAAGAATGTGAGAAACTGTTCTAGAAATGCAAAACTGACCTCAAATCAGAGAAAATATATACACACAAAAGAACTATGATACTTACAGGAACATAATTAAGTTAGCTACCTTCCCAAAGATGATAGGAGAAAACTGATTTGACTAGTCAAAATAACTTTATACAAAAAAAAAATTTTTTTTTAACTTTTGGCTCTATATTGGATAATCCAAACAAAAAGTGGAGCTTAACTTCATTACATGAGTTTTCCATTCCCCTCTTTTTAAAACGCTTACTTTATAAATCAATGGTTTGCAGGGCCAATGATTTTTTCATTACGTCTTAGGTACATACATGTATATTTTCCAAAGTCTGTAGACAGTATGAAGGAAAAATAGTGACCGTTCCATTCAGATTTGCCCATTACAGCAAGTCAACTTCACACACAGTGAGTCTGAGTACAAAGATGTCAGTGAGTACAAAAGCAAGACGACAAATGATGTTAACCACCCAACCCCTTTTTTATGACTGATTCCAAACACAGCACAGGGAAGATGGAATGAGTAATTTAAAAAAACATATATTTCCCCATGAGCACTAAGCCGTTTTATTCAAAATGTGTTTCAAAACACTTAGCCAGATTGCCAACCCAGCCACTGCAACAGAAATCCACTGAGACACCATCTAGAGAGAACAGCTACATTGCTGCATATAATTTATTAACTTAGTAGTTTAGTTTCTCAATATTTAGCAAGTTTGTGTAAAAATTAATATCCCTGTATGTTTATAGTGACATTAATATAAATGTATAATTTCACTGTGACGTAAAAGGATAGTTGTGGATGCGGTGAAAGAATGACTGGCTACAAGGACAGAGCTGCTCCAAATCAAACACACCAGCAGCTCGGAAAGGCATCCATACATACACATCCTCAGAATGCTACTATTCCCGTTTAGCGGTACATACTTGACTCCTTATATGATATAAAATATGTCCTCAAATTTGAAAAAAATAAACCAAGATGAATACATTTTCATCTTCATTTCAAAACGATCATTTTAAATAACAGTTCCCCACGCTTAACTCTGTTCAAGAGATGGATTTATACATTTTCTTCACTACATGTACAATTTTTTTAGCCTATCATAGTGCCTCATTACAACCAGTTTAGCAATTAAACTCCAGTGCCTTATTAAAAACTGCATTCAGTTTAAGACTGTAAAATTTGCAGTCAAATCCTTAAGACACTGAATTATTACAAAGTCTAAAATATGTAATACCATTCATCAGCACCCCTGGAACCTGTAAATTCTTGCAAAAAAAATTACATGTGCATATAATTCAAACATAAACTTTGTAGGTAAGGGTCATAAAATAAATACTACAGTATTTTTCAACTCAATTTAAATGCTGCCTTGATGATGGTTAGATAAAAAGAATAATATTGCTAACAGAGAGAATCAAACTAGTTTTAGAACTTTCCCAAGTAGTTAGAGCAATTTAGCAAAACAAAGATAAGCAAGAGCCTATGCAGATACATTTCTCCTGTAGTGTAATTGCTAATTATGAGGTATAGTCTGTAAGCAATTAATACAACATAAATAGATATAAGCTACCACTAGCTCAGTCTGGTGAAAAGCTTCTCCGCCATGTATTTGGGGAGGGAGTGAAGGGAAATGAGAAGGGAAGGACAGGGTAGGTTTGCAGTGGGAACATCATTTACGCACTTACTATTATCACCATCTTGTATGTAACAGTCCACTGTCGCAAAAAGTAAATCCTCTCCAAGTACATGGGTCTAGAATTTACTTTATGTAGTATTAAGATTATTTCAGTATTACTAATGCTTCATTTGATTTATATTTGGACATATACATAATCATATATGTATATCAAAAACTATAAACAGAATTTTAAAACACTTTTAGCTAATTTTTGAAAAGTTAATAGTTAAGACTAAACTATGTGCTACAGAATTTTCTAGACTAACTGAACTCAGGGGTAAAACCAAAGGAAAACATTACTATTTCTTTAGTAAATGGCTTGTGCGAAACCTCAAGCTCACTCATCTTCTTATAGATGGGTTTATTTGATGAGGATTGTGATCCAATGATTGTTTAGCAGCAATTTTACCAAACTGTAAATTCTTTTATTAACAGGCATTATAAACAGATAATACTAATCTTATTTAAAAACCATGAGTGCCACACCAGTGAATATACAGCTCATGAATAACTTAAAAAGTATTTCCCATTTTAAAAGGCAACACTCAGCATACAAAAACCTACCCTAAACAAAGAGGCTATAATATGGATACATGATTGATGTGTCTAAAATGGTATATATACAGTACATAATTAATGTTAATTATGTAATCAGTACAATTTTTTTTCTATATGATTCCCTTCATGCTTCACTTTCCCCAGAAACTGAATTCTGAACTTCCTCTTCTAAAATTGGTACAATCAGGTTATCCTTGGACATCAAATTATATTTCATCACAAATTTAGTAAACCGATGACACAAAAATGTTTCATTCTGTAGAGAAGAAAAAAAAAATGTTATTTTAATTTACTACCCAAACCAAACAAATGAGACATAATATCAGCATATATTACTGTCATTATTCTAGTAAGAATGCATCAGGACAATGAGTAAAACATACTTACTTCATATTCATCAAATATCTGCCGATGATGAAAATAAGCATGTGAAAATATTCTGTAAATCCTACGGCATACTGATCCTAGTTTTGCTACAGATGATTCCTTTATGCTAACCCTAGAAACAGAAATCACAGATTCATAGAGCTTGACAGATCTTATGAAAAATATTATATACAGTATTCCAATCTCCTAAATGCACAAGTGTGAAAACAGACACCTAGGGAAAAGGTCAACGTACTAATAAGTGGCAAGGAAAGGACTAGAACCCTGTTCACTCCTCCTATGTACCCACAATGCCTGAGAAATTTAGTATCATGGCTTGGAAACGCTGTAGTTTAATGCAATTAAAACAAATCCCTGACAAGTCAAAACTTACTAAAACATATACATATGACATTAACAGTTTGACCTGCAGAAATGATTAAAACTGCTAAAAGGAATTATTGTTTTATTCCATAGACTTGATTCTTCTTTTTTTTGAGAAATAAAAACTGCCTGCATATTTTGGATATTCCTTTTTTTTTTTAATGTATTTGGATACTGAGACAAAACCCACTATTTGTTACATATTTTATCTGAGCTCTTTAGAGTTAATGATATTTGGGGGAAATAAAATTTCCAAATCGATCCATCTGCTAACAAATATCTTAATAGAATAAAAGACCAGTCACAAACCTCACCAGTAACATAAGACAGTATATACAGGCTTCTTCCCAGACCTTATTTGATGAGGACTGTAAAGGCAAGGACAAGGAATCCTTCAAAAACAAGCAGTCCAGCCGAAACCGGTTTGGCTCAATGGATAGAGCGTTGGCTTGGGGACTGAAAGGTCCCGGGTTTGATTCCGGTCAAGGGCATGTACCTAGGTTGCGGGCATATCCCCAGTAGGGGGTGTGCAAGAGGCAGCTGATCAATGACTCTCTCTCATCGATGTTTCTCTCTATCTCTCTCCCTTTCTCTCTGTACAAAATCAATAAAATATATTTTAAAACAAACAAACAAAAAAACAAGCAATCCAGCTAAGAAAAGTCTGCTCCTGAGGCTGACTATCACAGAGATTCTAGGAAGTAAGTGTGCAAACATCTCAACTCTAAAGCGTCAGAGAGCCCTGGACAAGGACACAGCCCCCGGCACTACCCTTGCTGAATTGGGCTGTGAGCTTTGGGAACTAAGTCCTGCTACCTTTAGTTTAACTATAACCATAATTTCAAAACCTGAATAAAAGATAAAGCTTAAAGAAGACAATGCATTAACCAGGAACCTAGTTTTAATTTTAAAAACAACGATCTTTTAAATTAAATCCAAAAAGTTTAATGCCATGTTTAAAAGTTTGTTTACCTGCTGGGAAAATATTTATTGCTATTCAGAAGACATGCAGCACCATCAAGTGTGTGTCTAGTATAGTCTATAGCAGGACACTATAAAAGAAAGGACATAAAAATGCATCAACAAAGAGCTCTGCCACTTAGTTTAGGTGTATTTATTACATGTGTGTCTTATTCCGAAAACTTAATATATCCTAAAAAAGAATTGCCTTATAATATCAGAATAACTAAAATTCAGTGTTACATCAATAAATAATACTACTATCCCCATGACTCTGAAAGATACATGAATCAATCTAATTTCTCACTTCTAACCCTGGAAAGAACACCTGATTAGCTCATTAACCCTATGACTTTACAAATGAGGAGACAGAAGCTGGTCAGTTTGCAGTCTGCACAGGCTTCTTCCAAGTCTTAAAATTATCTGTGGGCAAAGATAAGAAATCTTTCAAAATAAGCAGACAGTTCAGAAAAGATCACAGAGATTTACTAGCAAGTAAGCAAGCATGGAAATATCGCAGCTCTATATCCTAAGATGGAGAGCCCTGGAGAACGGTGCCCAGCAGCAGGGACTATCAGTGACTGATGGCCAGCGACTCAGGCAAGATCAGACAGTTAGGCAGGACTCAAAAAAATGTTTATAGTAGGAATACACTGACCCCTCCATCCACTGACTTACACTTTACCAAGAAGCCTCCTTCTCTCACAGCCTTCTAACATCCTAGAAGCATTCTTTTATTATGTGTCTGGCACCCTATTATCCTAGCAGCTTTCTAAAGAATTTTCTCCTTAACCTCCTTTGAAATTTAACATGAAATTTATATCTTTACATTTTAATAAACCTGTCTTATCCTATTTCACTTATCAGGAACAACGAAACCTATTTTCTCATGGCAAATCAGCAAACCGACTAAAGGAAAATTAAAACTGCAAAGTAATCTCACTCAGTTCTTTTGAAGGCAGACAGGAAGAATGATCAAAGGAAAGGAGCAGTGAGAATGAACCAGGAATCCACTTGAAGGAAAAAAATGAACTGGATTTAAAAATGTACATTAGTAATTTATAAAAACTTATTTAAAAATAGCTTATTACACTGTGATGGTAAATACATAAAGATTATCTAAACAAAACACAAAAAACCACATCAGTATTACATGGCCTCACTCATATGTGGACTCTAATGAACAAAATAAATTCAGACACAGAAGCATGGAACAAAATGTGGAATCTCAGAGAGAAGGTGTGGGTGAGTAGGTGGGAAAAGATCAACCAAAGAATTTGTATGCATAACCCATGGACACAGACAATAGCACGGGGAAGGCCTGGGCAGAGGGTGTATCAAAGGGTCTTGGGTTCGATTTCCGGTCAGGGGCAGATACCTGGGTCCCAGGTTTCAATCCCTGCCCAGGTTCAGGTAAGATGTTTCTCTCTTTCCCCCCATCTGTCTCTAACTTCCACTCTCTAAAATACAATGGAGCCCTAACTGGTTTGGTTCAGTGGATAGAGCCTCGACCTGCAGACTGAAGGGTCCCAGGTTCGATTCCAGTCAAGGGCATGTAACTTGGTTGCGGGCACATCCCCAGTGGGGGGTGTGCAAGAGGCAGCTGATCAATGTTCCTAAGTTTCTCTCCCTCTCCCTTCCTCTCTGTAAAAAAAGTCAAAAAAATATATTTTAAATAAATAAATAAAAAACAATGGAAAAAATATCCCCTGGTGACAACTAAAAAATGGTGGTAAAATATATAGAACACAATATTTGCCGTTGTAACTATTTTAAATGCATAGCTGGTGGCATTAATTACATTCAGTGTCATGCAACCGACACCATTGTTTCTAACCAAAGGCTTTTCATCATCCCCAACAGAAACTCTATACCATCAATCAATACCTTCCCATGCTCCTCACCCTCCGATCCCTGGTAACCTCTCTAATCTACTTTTTGTCTCTATAAATTTGCCCTTTCAAGATATTTCATATAAGTAGAATCATAAAATAGCTGTTTCTTTGTGTCTAGCTTATTTGGCTCAGTAACATGTCCTCAAGGTTCATTCATGCTGTAGCATATATCTGAACTTCATTCCTTTTCATGGCTAAAAAATATTCCATTGTATGTATATACCACAATCTATTTATCCATTTTCCATGTAACTGCCCAATTATGAAAAATGATACTAATTATAAGAAATTCTGCCCTCGCTGGTTTGGCTCAGAGGATAGAGTGTCAGCCTTCGGACTGAAGGATCCCGAGTTTAATTCCAGTCAAGGGCACATGCCCAGGTTGCGGGCTCAATCCCTACTAAGGAGCATGAAGGAGGCAGCCAATCAATGATTCTTTCTCATCACTGATGTTTCTATCTCTCTCTCCTTCTCCCTTCCTCTCTAAAATCAATAAAAATAAGTTTAAAGTGCTAGGTTTGGCAGCACATATACTAAAATAAAATTTTTTAAAAGAAATTCTAGAACAGCACTGTGGCAATAACTTTGCAGCAAAGAACACGAAACCAACTAGCAAAATAAAGGGTGAACTAAAGCCCCTAAAAAGCTGTCTACCGCCGAGACTGGTTTGGCTCAATGGATAGAGCGTTGGCTTGGGGACTGAAGGGTCCCGGGTTCGATTCCGGTCAAGGGCATGTACCTTGGTTGCGGGCACATCCCCAGTAGGGTGTGTGCAAGAGGCAGCTGATCGATGACTCTCTCTCATCGATGTTTCTAACTCTCTATCTCTCTCCCTTCCTCTCTGTACAAAATCAATAAAATATATTAAAAAAAAAAAAAAAAAAAAAGCTGTCTACCACAGTCATACAAATTTAGGTTATGGCAATTTTATTAGTCATTCTGCTTTATGAATTCTCACCTCTTTTGGAGTTTTATGAGCTGCACAAAGAAAAATCCACTGCTCAGTCGCTGTCATCTGAGTACATGTGTCTGGATGGCATTCACTCTGTTAAAATGTTACATTTCTTAATATGTAAAATAATTAAAAAGTTTATCATTGAAGTTACTACATTTGCATGTACAATTCTAATTAGAAATCTTAGATAAGCCTTTTAAGCACATTAAGTTATAAAATTAGGGGGGGAAATGAGAACTTTCTATTATAACTTTAACTTGAAAATGTTACCTGAAGTTTGACAGCAAGTCCATTGAGCTCAAGACAGAATTGCCTAAAAATTCAAATATATAAATGAAAAGTCTTATATACTTTCCACATTGTATTTAGAACATTAATTTAAAATACAGTACCCTACCAGTACCATCCATCCTCCCTCATCAACAACATATGAATTTATATGGCACATTTCCTACAAAGACATACAGATTAATAAACAAAATTCAAAACAAATGATCATAAATAAGGTCAATATCAGAGTTCAAGAACTTGAACACTTTTAACACTGAAAATTGATACAATTTTACTGAGAAGTATTTTAGAAAAATTTACCAGGGCACTTAGAAAATGTCTATTTTTTTTTTTTTTACTAAGTCATTCTCCTAGGAACTAATTCTAATTAAATAATCAGAATAATATGCAGATATATGTACAGAGATGTTCACGAAAACCATATACATAAAAGAACTTTTTTTAACATTCTAAATTAGCAACTGAAGAGTAATAAAATGTTGGCAAAGGACATATATTTATACTCACAGTAAGATTCCAGTTACGTATAAAATTATATGCGTTTATATATCCATATGCAAACAGATATACAAAAATGACTACACTTTTTATACTATGTATTTTACAAGTTTTGTTATGACTACACACGTCTTTGTAAAACCTTCAATCATAACATAGAAGAACATCTTCCATAATTCCACTACCTCTTTCGAAAAGATAATTATCTTTTATAACAAATTTGATTTTATATATAGTAATGATTTTAAATATATTCATATGCACAATTCTGTAACTTGCTTTTTTGTCACTGAACAGATCATGGTCATTTTTTTCATGACATTTTTTCCTTCTAAAATTTCCAAATTGAGCCCTGGCTGGTTTGGCTTAGTGGATAGAGCATCAGCCTGCGGACTGAAGGGTTCCAGGTTCAATTCTGGTCAAAGGCACATGCCTGGGTTGGGGGCTTGATCCCCACTGGGGGATGTGCAGGAGGCAGCCAATCAATGATTCTCTCTCATCATTGATGTTTCTATCTCTCTTTAACTCTCCCTTTCTCTCTGAAATCAATAAAGATGTATTTTAAATAAATAAATAAATAAAATTTCCAAATTGAGAATTTTAAGCCTAGAACAATTCTTGGAACGTTGTTAAGTGCTCAAAAAATATTTTCTGACACAAAAATAACTTACTTCATTAACTGTCAAAATACTAAATGTTTCCTCTAAAAATTCTAACAAATTAGTTACTCACTGCTGTGTTTCCCCATCAAACAAAATATAGACAACATGCCTGCAACATCAATTTTAAAAAATACCTCATCTACAAATTGAGGCACTCATCACAGAAAATGTGCCTAAGTTACTGGAGAAAAGTCAAACTACATTTATTATGTTTAAATCAACTCAAAAGTAACAAACCCCGATGAACATACATCCATATTTAACCTATCAACTCATCTCAACTCACATTTATATTAGAAAGTTGATAAGTTTAAGAAACCATCTAGTAACGTCAGGATATAGCTGCTTCTAAAGTTAACTCTAGTTAACTAGTCCTTCACTCATCATCAATTTTCTCATTCAAAGGATATTATGAAAAGCTCCAAAACTCCTTATTGCAGGATTACAATTAATCTATATTTTCCAAAGGGAAGACTAAAGGTCACAGTAGTTAATAGGTAACTCATCAAATACCAAGCCTATACCAGGAGCTTGACATGATCCTCTAGAGCAGTGGTTCTCAACCTTTGTAATGCCACGACCCTTTAATACAGTTCCTCATGTTGTGGTGACCCCCAACCACAAAATTATCGTTGTTGTTGTTATTATTATTAATTAATAATAAATTTTAAAATTATTAAATTGCCAAAACCGGTTTGGCTCAGTGGATAGAGCGTTGGCCTGCTGACTGAAAGGTCCCAAGTTCGATTCCAGTCAAGGGCATGTACCTTGGTTGCGGGCACATCCCCCTGTAGGAGGTGTGCAAGAGGCATCTGATCGATGATTCTCTCTTATCGATGTTTCTAACTCTCTATCCCTCTCTCTTCCTCTCTGTAAAAAAATCAATAAGATATTTTTTTAAATAAAAATAAAAATTATTAAATTATGTAATACAGTTATGAAGTAGCAACAAAAATAATTTTATGGCTGGGGGTCACCACAACATGAGGAACTGTATTAAAGGGTCGTGGCATTAGAAAGGTTGAGAACCACTGCTCCAGAGATAGTTATTCATGAGTAGGTAAATGGAAATAATGCATTTGTGGTTAAAGGATATGATTAAGGAAAACTGTGTAAAAACATAACGCCCAAATCCTTAATTGTAAAAAATAATCAGTAAATATCAAATTTGAAAAAATTTTATAACACTAAAAATATAAAAGCTTTAAAATTTGCTCTGTTTTGCAATTAATAATGCTTTTACTTATAATTCATAATTAACATTAAAGATTATTTTTTACTGATAAGTACTATTATTATTTTGATATATCATAAGGACTTACCTTAAGTGTTCATACTTCCATACACCTTCATCTTGGCCTTCAGGTGGTTCAAGAATTTTGTCAATATTGGAACAATCTGCTCTTATGTTCTGTTGAATATACTATAAACAAAAAAGTTCTTATAGTTAATTAAAATATTATACTACATGGAAAATTTTATAATAAACATGTATAATTTTTTAACATATAAAAACTGTTTGCCCTAACCAGTTTGGCTCAGTGGATGGAGTGTCAGCCTGAGGCCTGAAAAGTTCCAAGTACAATTCCAGTCAAGGGCATGTACCTTGGTTGCAGGCACATCCCCAGTAGAGGGTGTGCAAGAGGCAGCTGATCGATGTTTCTCACTCTGTATCCCACTCCCTTCCTCTCTGTAAAAAATAAAAAAATAAATATTTTTTAAATAAATATATATTTTTTATTTTAAAATAAATATATATATAAAATTATATATATAATATATAATATATAATATAATTATATATTACATAATATATAATTATAATATAATATATTATATTAATTATATATATATATAAAATAAATATATATATATATATATATATATATATATATTTTTTTTTTAATGCTCTTGCCTGGCCAGCATGGCTCAGTGGTTGAGCATCGACCTATGAACCAGGAGGTCATAGTTCAATTCCCGGTCAGGGCACATACCCAGGTTTTGGCCTCGTTCCCCAGTAGGGAGTGTGCAGGAGGCATGGTTTTCTTTCTTTCCCTCTCTCTCTCCCCTCTTCCTTTCTCTCTCTAAAAATCAATGAAAACCATTTTTTAAAAGTAAATATAATAATCCCATAGAGCTGGTTATGAACTCCTGGGTGCAATCCTGATGTGTGCATAGTGCGTGCATGGACTTATCCTAATTAATATCTGACAGACTTTGAGAACTGAGCTAATGGATATACCTCCACCTAGGCTGACAACAGGTTGGTGCGCATATACACACAACAGATGTAAAGGTTTTGAAAACTAAAATGACATTGGAACCTCAGTTCAGTTGGAACTTGCAACCAGTATCTAACAAAGTCAAATGCCTGCTATAACAAAAAACATCACATTCTCCGATGGGTTAAATAATAAATAAGACCAGAGTGTAAACATAATATTCAAAATGTCCAGGATATAATCCAGAATTTGTTAGCATACAAATACATGGAAATCTCAATTATCATGGGGAAAAACAAGCACAAGACACCTATGAGAAGATGACACAGATATTGGAAATTACCTGACAAAGACTTTAAAGCAGCTATTTAAAAACTGCTTGAATATAAAACTACAAACACTTGAAATAAAAATATCAATAAAGAAAAATAAAAAGAGCCAAATGGAAATTTTATTTTTTTCTTTAATTTTACTGCTACAGTGATTTTTAATTCTTTTTTAAAAATATATTTTTATTTATTTCAGAGAAGAAGGGAGAGGGAGAGAGAGATAGAAACATCAATGATGAGAAAGAATCACTGATTGGCCGCCTCCTACACGACCCACACTGGCAATGAGCCCGTAACCAGGCACACACCCCGGGTGCCCAGGGATCAAACTGTGACCTCCTGGTTTACAGTTTGACTCTCAACCACTAAGCAACACCGACTGAGTGCCAAATGGAAATTTTAGAACTGGAAAACATAACCACCAAAGTAAAACACTCACTGAACTCAATAGCAGAATGGAGATGACACAATAAAGAATCAATAAACTTATAGATAAATAGGTATTATCCAATCGGAACAACAGAAATGAAAAGGAATAAAAATAATAAACAAAGCCTTAAGAACTTGAAAGACAATAACAAAAGACTTAATAGTCATGTCACCATCATCCCACAGAAAGAAAAAGCATGTGTTGCTAATAAATATATCTGAATTAATAATGGCTAAAAAGTTTCCAAGTTAGGAAAAGACAAAAACTACAAATTCAAGAAGGTGAATAGGCTAATGGGGAGTGATTGTTTAATGGGTACAAAGTTTCAGTTGGACAAGATGAAAAATTCTCAAGATAGATGGAGGTGGTAATGACTGTATAAAATGTAAATGTACTTAACACCACAAAACTGTACACTTAAAATGGGGAAAAGTGGTGAATTTTCTATTTTTTTTTTTTATCTTAATAAAAAAAAAAGCAGAATGAATGCCAAACAGGAAAACTCAGAGTCTGGCCAGCATATTTCAGTGGTTTAGCTTTGACCTATGAACCAAGAGATCTCGGTTCAATTCCCACTCAGGGCACATGCCTGGGTTGCAGGTTTGATCCCCAGTAGGGAGCGTGCAGGAGGCAGCCCATCAATAATTTATGGACAAGAAGTCATCATTGAAATTAAATGGTGGCAGACATGTCCAAGGAATATTACGGGGATTTGATCCCTTTATGAACCTTGATAGATGTTTGGAGATGGCAACTGGTGGGCAACAAACCAATACTGGAATGTGGTAATACAAAGAAATAGTATCGTCATGTTAGAAGCCTTGGAACGAGTATGAAGAATGGCTGTGGTTACCAGAGAAATCAACTGCTTCCACCTGTCCCCTCCCCACAGCACCGTTTTACTACAATATAAAAACAGAGTCCTGTCCACTTTCACATTAAACTTTTGTTAAATAAACTTGTGTATTGATCGGCCAAAACCGGTTGAGGGTTCAATTCCCAGCAGGGGCACATATAAGAGTCAACCAATCAATGTTTCTCCCTCACCTGCACTTCTCTCTCTAAAATCAATAAACCTATCTTCTGGTGAGGATTTTAAAAAATGGTTAAAAAAAAAAAAAAGTAAAGCTTAGGTACATGTTTTGCAAAGGTTCAGTCATCAAATCAATATGCTATTTCTATTTAATGTTATTCTAATTTAGTATTCAATTTTGAATTAAGTTCACTGTAAAATCAAATTTGGTACACTAATATAGTACAGATTAACATATTTTAAGACGTTAAAATATATTTAAGTTTGATTATAGTTTAATATGCCATCTTGCCCACCATCCAGAACTGAAATATCATTGCTGACATGTACACATAAGGAACTGTTTGACATTGAAATTGGGTCTCAAAAGAACTGGTGGCCCAGAAAGAAACTCTCTACAGACTGATTCATATGCCTTTCAGCGTAACGATTTTTGCTTGTCTCATTTTTTATTCTTATATTTCCAGTAGGACATGATCTCACTCATCTAGGGGAAATGGTGAACAACATAGACTGATGAACAAGAACAAACTCAGAGATAAGGAGCTATGAGTCAGACTGTTGGACCTCAGAGGGAGGGTGGGGATAAAAGGGAGAGATCAACCAAAAGACTTATGTGCATACATATGAGCCTAACCAGTGGTTGAGGACAACAGGAGAGTGGGGGCATGAATGTGTGTGGGGAGGGATTAGAATGGAGGGTTGAGGACAAATATGTGATAACTTAATCAATAAAGAAATTTTAAAAATATATATGCCATCTTAAAACAAAATGAAGGTTGATAAAAGTTTTAAATGTTCATTCATTAATTCCATGGATTCTGGTTTATGCTAAAAGAAATAGGAATGAGGAGAAATCAAGATGGCAGCATAGGTAAATACTTGAACTGCTGCTTTGCACAACAATTTCAAAACTACAACTAAAAGACAAAACGGACATCATCCAGAACCACAGGAAGACTGGCTGAGTGGAAATTCTACAACTAGAAGGAAAGAGAAAAACACACTGAGACTCAGAGGAGCTACAGAAGGCAGAGGTACGAAGGCGCGCGTGTGGCGAGGACTGGCAACTGAGTACACAGCTGGCTTTCTCAACTGGAGGGAGACAAAAGCTCCCGACTGCTCTGAACTCCAGTTCCAGGCGACACTCTGGGGACCCAGCCTCATTTGGGGAGAAAATGAACTGTCTGGCAGCGGGTAAAACTCGAGGGCAGCTTTCTCTCAGAGGTGCCTAAAGCGATTACTGCAGGACACTGAGAACCGAGGGCCTCTTAGGGCAGGGCTGACAGGAAGCCATTGCTGTCTGCTCTGCCCTGAGACTCCACCTCATCCAAGCTGAGCACAGAGGCTTTTCCAAGTCTTGTTTCATAAGGGTGTCTTCAGCACAAAAGTTCTCCCAGCACAGACACAGCTGATTATCACAGCCAATTGGCCTGGAGGCAATTCCTCCCAGTGATACCAAAAACAATCAAGGCTTAACTACAAGACTGTGCACACCGCCCACAAAGGGATGCACCAAGAATATCCACTTCGGGTAAATGGAAAGGCTGAGTCCTTATAGGACACCTACCACACGAAGCCACTCTATCAACACAGGGAAGCAGCCAAAATGAAAGAAATGAAGGAAAGCAAATTAAAAAAAAAAGTGGAGGAAAGCAAACAATTGGATATAGAGTTCAAAATCACAGTTATAAAAGTTTTTCAAGAATGTTCTAGAAAAGGCCCTTGAGGATATGAAAAAGGACCAACTAGAAATTAAACATACACTGACTGAAATAAAAAAATAATATACAGAAATCCAACAGCAGACTAGAGGATCACAAGAATTAAGTCAAAGATTTGAAATACAAAGAAGTAAAAAACATCAACCAAAAAAAGCAAAAAGAAAAAAGAATCCAAAAAGTTGAAGATAGTGTAAGGAGCCTCTGGAACAACTTCAAGCATATCAACATCTGAATTATGAGGGTGCCAGAAGAAGAGGGAAAGATACAGAAAACCTATTTGAAGAAATAATGACAGAAAACTTCCCCCATCTGGTGAAAGATAGACCTACAAGTCCAGGAAGCTCAGAGAACACCAAACAAAAGGAATCCAAAGAGGACCACACCAAGACACATCATAATTAAAATGCCAAGAGGAAAAGACAAAGAGAGAATAATAAAAAAAAAGCAAGAGAAAAACAGTTAGTTACCTACAAAAAGAAACTATACAGGCCAGACAGGAGTGGCAAGAAATATTCAAAGTGATGAATAGCAAGAACCTACAACCAAGATTACTCTACCCAACAAAGCTATCATTCAGAATTGAAGGGCAGATAAAGAGCTTCACAGATAAGAAAAAGCTAAAGTAGTTCATCACCGCCAAACCAGTATTATAAGAAATGCTGAAAGGTATTCTTTAAGAAGAGGAAGAAGAAAAAGGTAAAGATAAAAATTATGAACAACAAATACATATCTATCAATAAGTGAATCTAAATATCAAGTGAATAAAAAAACTGATGAACAGAATAAACTGGTGAATATAATAGAATCAGGGCATAGAAAAGGGTGTGGACTGACAATTCTAGAGGGAAAGGGATGTGAGGGGTGCAGGAAGAGACTGGACAAAAATTGTACACCAATGGATAAGGACAATGTGGAGGGGGGGAGTGGGAGAGGAAGGGCAAAGGGTGGGGTGAGAACCAAGTGGATTTGGAGCTATGGGGGGAGAGAAACAACTGTAATAATCTGCACAATAAAGATTTATTTTAAAAAATAAATAAAGACATAGGAATACTTAACTATACCAAGGTCAAATGCCTAGTTTATTGGTGTTACAAATGAAACTATTGTTATTACCTGCTGCACAGCTAGTGTACTGTCCATTTCATCAAAGGATTCATCAGGCCAATTATAGAAATCCTATAAAAAAAATTTATGGTTAAAACACAAGATGCAACACCATTATGATTAACTTCAATTCTTAATAAAAATCCAAAGTTATACTAGAGGAGAGGAAAAGTGCTCATATTGTAAGCATTGTAGTTATCCTAGATAATAAAAGCCTAGAGACCATAATGGCAGAAAGACCAGAATGATCGTTTGACCAGTCACTATGAAGTGCACTGACCACCTCTTGGTCCCTCCCCCTGGTCCACAGGCTCCTATTGCCCGATGGCGAATGGGGACCTGGAGGTGTGTGGCAGGAGATGCGGGCAGCACCAGGCCAAGACCCCCACCACACCAGTCACCCTACACAGAGAGGGCAACCCATACCGGGGGTTGGGCCGGCAAGCGGGTGAGAACACCCGATCTCTTGGTCCCTTCTCCCCCCGCCGGCAGGCTCCAACCGCCCAATGGTGAACGGGGAACCAGGGTGGGTGGTGGCAGGCGGTGGGACAGGCGAGCAGGCGGAAGGGCGAACCTCTTGGTCCTACCACCTGGCCAGCAGGCTCTGATCACCTGATGGCAAACGGGGACCCAGGGGGTGGATAGTGGGGGATGCTGGCAGAGCCAGGTCAAGGCCCCCACTTCACCAGTCACCCACACACAGAGGATGACCCGTGGCAGACAGGATCACAAGGGGGCGGGACCAGCCTACCTCTGGTCCCTTGCCCCCGGCTATCAGGTTCCAATCACCCGATGGCAAACTGGGAAGCTGGGTGAGTGGTGGTAGGGGACAGGGCCAGCTGCGGGGAAGATGGCCCTAATCGTGGGCTAGGCCTAGGGACGGTACCCACACACGTCTTTTGTGCGGCGAGCTTCTACTCTATAATAATCTATAATAAGAAAAGCGAAACATGTAAATCAACCGAACTACCAAATAGCAGAATGACCATCTGGACAACCACACTATGACACCAACTGGTGCCAAGGCGGGTGCAGTGTGGTTGGTCGGGGGCCTGGGCATCGGTGGGCCATGACCACCCTGCAGAGGGAGGCCAATCAGCAGGCTGCAGCTGGTGGGTGGGGCCTCCTTCTCTGGGGCGCAATAGATCACCCGAAAGAGGGAGGCCCAGGCTACCCGGTGGCAGTGCTGCGACAGGTAAGTGGGGCATACCTCTTTGGGACCATCGACTGAGGGGCTCCTGGACTGTGAGAAGGCACAGGCCAGGCTGAGGGACGCACCCTCCCCTCCCCAAGTGCACGATTTCATGCACCAGACCTCTAGTCAATAAATAAGTTAAAGAAATCTTACTCAAGGTTTTTAAGTGAGCACCAAGATTATATTTAATTGAACTACAAGTTACATTTTTCAACCACAAATCCCTCAATATGGCTCCCATAAACCTTATATGTATCACTTGAGGAGATAAGTACCACTTTTTTATTTACAGTGGTTAAATATCTTCTCAAAAAGTTACACTTAAAAGTCTTGCCAGCTTGGCTTGTAGCTCAGTTGTAGGCTCCTTTCCTGGCCCCAACCAATAACTGTCTCTCTTCACATTGATGTTTCTCTCCCCCCCACTACCATGCTCTCTAAAAATCAATGGGAAAATGTCCTTGGGTGAGGATTAATAAAAATAAATAAAAAATCTCAGGGCACCATAAAACTGATTAGTTTTTACCTAGAGAATAGCTAGTATTAGTAGCACAAGTGTTATTTTATTTTAAACAGGCATTATAAATTATTATTCCAATTCTAAGGATGTTTTAAATATCTAAACAGCCCTAGCTGGTTTCGTTGGCTTATGGACCAAAGGGTCCCAGGTTCGAGTTCAATCAAGGGCACATGCCCGGGTTGTGGGCTTGATCCCCAGTGTGGGGTGTGCAGGAGGCACCCAATCAATGATTCTCTCTCATCATTGATGTTTCTATCTCTCTCTTCCTCTCCCTTCCTCTCTGAAATCAATAAAAATATATTTTAAAAATAAAAATAAATATCTAATCAAAATATGAGCCCCATCAAAAATAGAACAGCCACCGAATAGAACAGCCTTCTCATAAGGGGGATATTTTTGTGGATCATCTTGCATTGGTTCTGAATTCCTCTATAAAAAATTCAGTTAGTAAACATTTCCCTAAATGATTAAGAACCTTTCCATTTGATTTTTCAGCAAAATTTACCTATGTGTCCTTTGTAGGTAGCACAATGCCTAATACATAGTAGATATGCAGTAAATGTCTCTGAGGTAAATATAGGGGAGAAAGTAGTTGTAAACAAATTATCTATACCCTATAGATAAACATGGGTATCAAACAACACAGATAAGTCTCTAAACACTTTGAGCAAAAATTGGAGCAAATTCAAGAATGAAGTGTTATTCTTTGTTCATGATACAACAAGAAAAAAGTTTAAGAAAGTCTAAAGCATATTTATGGATATAATGCATATATAATACAAGTATAAAGAAAAAGGATGATCGCCAGTATTGGTTGGGAGGAGTGGGTATGTAATGTAATACATAGATTTTTTTTGTTTTAGTCTTTTTTTTTTTTAATAAATTTTTATTGTTCATATTATTACAAATGATCCTTCCCCCCCACCCACCATTGCTTTCTTCCACCAGGTTCCCACACCACCCTCTGCCCTTTCCCCATTCCCCATTGTCCTCATCCATAGGTGCACAGTTTATGTTCAGTCTCTTCCCACATCCCATTCTCCCCTTTTCCCCAAGAATCGTCAGTTCACTCCCCTTCCATACCTCTGATTCTATTATATTCAACAGTTAATATTGTTCATCAGATTTTTTTTTAATTCCCTTGGTTTTTAGATTCACTTGTTGATAGTTACGTATTTGTTGTTCATAATTTTTAGAACCCCCTTCAGCAATTCATATAATTCTGGTTTGGTGTTGACCTCCTTTAGCCTTTTTTTTATTAGTGAAGCTCTTTATCTGAGCTTTGATTCTGAGTGATAGCTTTGCTGGATAGATTATCTTTGGCTGTAGGTTCTTACTATTCATCATCTTGAATATTTCTTGCCATTCCCATCTGGCATTTATTTTTAAATGTTATGAAATTTTAGAAAACTTTCTGGAAATTATTCCAGGATGTCTTTTCCTAGACATCATCTAAATAGTATTAAAGATTAATTTTAAATTTTTTCCTATGGCCGAAACTGGTTTGGCTCAGTGGACAGAGCATCAGCCTGCGGACTGAAAGGTCCCGGGTTCGATTCCAGTCAAGGGCATGTACCTTGGTTGCAGGCACATCCCCAGACGGGGGCGTGCAAGAGGCAGCTGATCGATGTTTCTCTCTCATTGATGTTTCTAACTCTCTATCCCTCTCCTTTCCTCTCTGTGAAAAATCAATAAAATATATATTTAAAATTCTTCCTATGATTTATACTCAAAAAATGTTTCTATCAATACACTCTGCATATACTTGCCTTTATAATTTTTAATTTGTATAACATTTGTTATTAAAATGTTAGAAAACAGTTATATTCAGAAAAGATGTAAAAAACAATTAACTGGGAATTAAATATTCTGCTTCATCACACCTGTGATATACTTTACACACTGAAAGGAGGAACCAAATATCTGGTTTAATGAATGTTCTCATCTAATTCAAGCAATAAACTTTTATTGAAAACCAACTATGTGCCAATTCCCATTCTAACAAATCTTTAAAAAAGTAGGAAGATACTCCACTACTCAGATAGCTCTAAATAAGTCATCCTGGAATAGACTCATTTCACTGAAGGAAATTAGTGAGACAAGCCAGCACGCTGTGTAAGCAGTCTTTTTTTTTTTTTAACCCTAATCTTTTCTGCCACATTTTATTTAACAACCTTGATCTATGACAACATGGAAAAAGCAAAAGAGCTTTCTTATATGTGACTTACTCATAGCAGACAGATGTTATTACATTAATTTAAAATATATTATTTTCTTTCCTTTCAAACTTGGTAACTTTTGAGTAAATACAAATGGATGACAATGATCAGAATGTGAGTTCACTTCGTTTTTTTTTTTTTTAATACAAAATGTAAAAGATGATCATTTAATTAAAGAAAAAAAAAAAAAACAATGTTTCCACAGAATAAGAAGTAAAGATATCTAACAGAGTATCTGTAGGTAAAGAAAGTTTGGAAAGGGTAAAAAGCCTAAATAAAAATGTCCAGTAGTATGACAACGAAACTGCCAGGGCAATTGACAGCTTAATGTGACTCTAGTAAGGACTTTCAAACCAAATTCTCTAAAAGTCAATCCTAGAAGCAGCTTGTTTAAAGAGAAAAAGTTACCGGTGCACTAAGAATGCAAAGCTATGGAACCCTCAGCAAATACAGTGGATTCTCGGGGCTTCGGTTTTCGTATCTGTAACATGCATCTGGGCAGGTGTCTGGATCTCAAGGATTCCTTCGCAAGGACTCCCTTTCCCAAAATTCTGTGAAGATATTGAAAGCTATTCTCTGGCATCTGATCACAGCTCTGTGGGCTTCTGTTTTGTTTTGTTGTTTTCACTTGTACCACTTTTTCTTTAAAATTCCATTTTCACACACCTCACTTCAGAGCATCTACTCAAGAGCAAGCCATTTCAGCTGGCAGATTCGTCAGATGAAGTCTAAATGCCTATTTGATTTTTTTTAAAAGAAGGTGAGGCATCCCTCTTTTGAAAATCCCAAAAACCAATACCTAAATAAGCACCGACTCACCCAACTATTGCGCTGCTGAAAGCGAGTAAGATGATCATCAGTTCACATTCCTGTGCTTCACAAATAACAACAAGGAAATTCACAAGGAATGGTCTCAGCCTGAGAATGAGAACTTGCTGGACCAGAGAACAGCTGCAGAGAGAGGTCGCCAAAGGCAAACAGCAGGAGGAGGCGCAGAGTCAGGATCGCCGCCCGGATCCGGCTACACCAGCTGGACCGGGAAGCTGGGCAGGAACGTCACCCGCCAGGTAGGACCTGGTAGTCGCCAGGTAGGACCTAGACGCTAGACACCAGGTAGGTCCATACACCAGGTAGGACCATGCACCAGGTAGGGCTATACACCAGGTAAGACCATACACCAGGGAGGACCTGGAACCCAGGACGAGGAAGGCTGCGTTCACACGCCCGCCCTCCCTGGCAGCCCCGACCCTCCCGGAAGCCCAGAGGTGTCCCCCGGGCCGGCGGCACCCCTCCGACGCAGGTCACCGGGGTTCAGGGGAGAGGCAAGCACAAGCGAAACCTCCTGACAGGTCCCCAGCCCCGGGCCTCGGCGACCCCCGCCCCCGAAAGGGGCTCCGCAGGCCTCGCGGGCCGCCGCGGCTCGGCCAGACCGAGGGGCTGCGGCTCCGGAAGAGCAGGCCGGGCGCCCGCGCCCCCGCCCGCGCCCCGGCCCCTCCTCCTCTCTCTCCGGGGGCCGCCGGCTTCCAGCGGCGGCGCAGCTCGGCGCCGAGCGTTCCCCTCCCCGCAGCAAAGGTGCAAACATGGTACCTGCGCCTTGGTGCCCGGCCTGTTCCGCCTCAGCACTGCCGTGCCCTCCGCCATGACCATAGTGCCAGAGTCTGGGCGGCTGGAGTCGGTACCCGGATGTGGGGACGCTGCCTGCGCGGGGGGCGGGGCCGAGCGGCGCCCAGAGTACGGGAGCTGGGGAGGGGCGGCGCCTGGCGGAACAGCGCGATCCGCGCGGGGCAGGGCGGGAGGGCGGGGCGGAGGCCCGGAAAGGGCCGGCTGGCGGCGGGTGGCGGTTGGAAGAAGGAACAGCCGATGGCTGCCTGGGGGCGGCTTTCCGAAGGCGGGGACCCAGAGCGGCGGGGCGGCCCGCTCTGCGCGCATCTCCTCCGGCTTACGTTAGTTCCATTAGTCGGACCGTTAGTTCCATTAGTCGGACCGAACCTGCACAATGGCGACTGTTTTGGTAAACTTTGCGCGCACACACACCTACAGAAGCCTAACTCTGTCCCCAAATCCCCCCAGGCATGCAAAGTGGAAAACGGGCCAGCACCCTGTTGGCGCTCCAAAGACCCTGCATGAAATGGACCCACTGTCAGGTCAGGCTAGACTGGGGCTTAGCGTGTCGAAGGATGTTCCCACCATCCGCTGTCTTCAAAGCCAAGGACTTTTTCAATGACAAGTTCGTTTGCGTCAAGGCCCCAGATGCCAATGACCCGAGGCCCAGCGGACATCTGGTGTTGGGCGTTAGACAAAATCAGCTCGTGTTGCAAGCCAAAAAGCTGGAGGAGCAACTGAATGCCTCTGGGTGGAAGCTGTACATCTTACAGGATTTCAAGTTTTCTTTAGTCCAAGTTTTAAGTGTTCTCTTTAGTCATGAAATCATGGCAGTTGGGGCAAACTGTTTTTTGTTCCCTGCTTAGAAACCTTAAACCTTTGATCTAAGATGAGAGAGGCCTTGGGATAGGTGCCTAATGGGAATACAGTGGGGTGGATGAAGAGTGCATGCAGTCGGGTGATTTCCAAGAGAAGGAAACATCAGCTATCCCATCACATACACGAAAAGGTATATGGAGAATGCAGAGAGAACCGGGTCACAAACATCATCCGAAGGTGTGAGATGGGAGGAGAGGTGGGTTAAACTGAGTGTGTGCAAAACTGAATAACTGTCAGATACGTGGAACTTGGGCTCAGGGAGTTTGAACAATAGGAAGTTGGTTTGCCTTAAGTAAGATTCCTGTTTTATTGAAGATGTTTAGACGGGTAATTTTTCAAGAGTAAAGATTTCATTCTTAATTTCATCACCATCTTCTAGATACAAAAGGTTTATTCATTCAACACCTATTTGTTAATCCCCATTATGTGTTCAGCACCGAAATAGGAGAATGCAAAGACCCAGCCGTAATCAGAAATTGCTTAGTGTCTAGCAATGGGACATGTGCAAATCACCGGTTCTCTTACTAGATACAGTGAGAATCTAAGACAAGTCGCTCCCAAATGTTGTCTCCCTAAGAGACATGGGGCGAGTGTGAGGAGCAGAGTCCTAAGAAGGTCTGTGCACAACCCATCTCCAAGGATTAAGTTAGAATTCTCATGTCCTGTGCCCTTGAGCAGTAAATATCGGGTACCTATGATTGAGGGGTTCACCTTAATAATTTCTTACATCCATATTTGTTGTACTGTTTCTGTGCATCTGATAAGAACAAGAGAAAAAAGGAATAAGTAGCTTTTTAATTCAGGAACAAAGTACACATTCATCTCTTTGAAAAATCCAAAAGTTGCATGCGATGTCGTCTCTGGCCTTGTTCAGAGGAAAGACCTTGTTCTTTAGGGTGAAATATCTCCAGCTCATAACCTTCACATTTTACTTCCTCGGCGTCTGCAGATTATGACCTTTAAACAAAAATCTTTCTCTAACCAGGATTAATTTGGAGGGAGAAGAAGAAAAAGAAAAACAGAGCATGGTCCATAACAAGTTACATGTAATAATGTAAAAACTGGAATATTTTGATTAAAGGAGGAGTGGTCTTCTCAAAGGCAATATAGAAAATTTAAAAATAACTCAGGGCTGGGACCAGAAAATCTAGATCAGTGTTTCCCAAACTTTTGACATATGTGTACCCCTTCTATAATTTTCGTAACGCTGACTACCCCTTGTACTCATGAGAACGTAGAATTAGGCACAGCTAAGCACGGTGCAGTGCATATCCCCACCAAACTCGGGTGCAAAGCGTACCCCCATCAAACTCTCCCCCTACCCCTGGGGGTTCTCGTACCACACTTTGGGAAACACTGATCTAGATGATCTTGCCTGTTGATTAAAGACTTTGAACAAGCTATCAAATAAGTTTTCCTTTTTATTAAAAAATTTAATTGATTTTAGAGAGAAGGGGGAGGGAGAGAAAGGAACATCAGTTTATTGTTCCACTTGGGCTGACCCAGCTTGCACGAAGGCGACCATTTCAGTAAACCCTCGTGCACCCAGGGTTTACTGATGTGCCCACTTGATTGATTCTTGCATGTGCCCTAACCAGAGCTAGAACCCACAACCTTGGTGTTTTGGGACAACGCTCTAACCAACTGAGCTACCTGGTCAGGGATAAAAGATTCATTTCTTTTTCTTTCTTTTTCATGAAAATTGTGCATAGCAGTTCTTTCTCTCTACCTCTTAAAGAGTATGAAAGCAGCCAAAACTGGTTTGGTTCAATGGATAAAGCATCGGCCTGTGGACTGGAAGGTTCCAGGTTCGATTCCGGTCAAGGGCATGAACCTTGGTTGCGGGCACATCCCTGGTAGGGAGTGTGCAGGAGACAGTTGGTCAATGATTCTCTCTTATCGATATTTCTAGCTATCTATCCCTCTCCCTTCCTTTCTGTGAAAATCAATAAAATAAAATAAATTTTTTAAAAAGAGCATGAAAGCAAATATAAAAGTAAATATTCCTGGAAATCTCTTAGAGTTTTAGAAGAAAATATAAATCCAAAGTATTATAAGGAATTTCAAAAATATCTATCCAGCCTGGCCAGTGTGGTTGAGCGTTGACCCATGAACCAAAAGGTCAAGGTTCAATTCCCAGTGAAGGCACATGCCGGGGTGTTTGGATCAATTCCCCAGTGCACAATGGCGACCGTTTCAGTAAACCCTCGCGCACCTAGGGAGGCAGCCCACTGATGATTCTCTCTCATCCTTGATGTGTGTTTTTAAATATATTTTTATTGTAGAGATGAAGGGAGAGGGGGAGAGAGATAGAAACATCAATGATGAGAGAGAATCACTGATCAGCTGCCTCCTGCAAGCCCTGCAATCCGGGCATGCTGCCTGAGGGGGAATTGAGCTGTGACCACCTGATTCATAGGTTGAAGCTCAATCACTGAGCTACGCCAGCTGGGCCTCATCATTGATATTTTTCTCTCTCTCCCCCTCTCCCTTCCTCTGTCTGAAATCAATAAAAATGTATTTTAAAAAATACCTATCAATATGAAATTCTTTGGGGGGATTTTTAAAATCCAAGTAAAATAGTGAATGCCCATTGCGTGTAGTAAGACACTGAGCAGGAGCTGAGAAACACGAATAAGAAGTATAAGCTCCTTTCCTCAAAGAATAAAAATTAATGGGAAAGGGGGAGCTGTAGACTACAATACTACAAAGCAAAATGTCTTTTTTTTTTTTTTTTTTCAAAGCAAAATGTCTTAAGCCCCTGTTGGTTGCCTACTTTGATCTTGCTCAGTATCCATTTTCCCCTGTTGGGCCTGGGACAGGTATACCCATCTCCAGCTGAACTATGAATCCCTATTGTCTAAGCCAGTGATTTTCAACCTTTTTCACCTGATGGCACACATAAACTAGTTACTAAAATTCTGCAGCACTCCAAAATATACCTTTTTTGCTGACCTGAAAAAAATATATAGGTATAATTTTGATTCATTCATATGGGGCAGCTGTTGTTGTGTTGGTTATTGTTATTTTTTATGTGACAACAATTGGGAAAAGAGGTCAGTGACCCTGACAAAATAGTCAGGTATTTCAAGTTTTATACATTCTTGCCATGGCACACTGGTTGAAAATTGCTGGTGTACACCAATGTTTAGTTAAAGAATAAACATGTCCCTGGCCAGATAGCTCAATTGGTTAGACTAGTGTCATCCCCATATACCAAAGGTGTGGGTCCAAACCCTGGTCAGGGCATATATAAGAATCAACCATCAAATGCATAAATAAGTGGAATAAATTGATGTTTCTCTCTCTCTCTCTCTCTCTCTCTCTCTCTCTCTCTCTCTCTCTCTCTCTTTCTCTAAAATCAGTTTGTTTGTTTTTAAAGAATAAACATGTGATTCCAATTTAGCCTAAAGAGATATGAAAGGATATCTGATGGAGCACTTTGGGGGAAGATTTTCTTGCTCTTGAGGAAACACCAGAAGTGGTGGTCCCTTTTTCTGCCACTGAACATTTCCAAGTCTGGGACTCCATCAGCCATCATGGAGATGCAGGAGATTTCATTCCAGGCCAGGCAAAGGGGAAGCAGTAGGAAAGCATGGGAATGTATTGTATATTCATAGTTGAACAAATTAGGGCCTACATGATTTTATACATATGTTTTCAACATATTTGAAAATTATTTGCTGTGAAAATTGTCATAGACAAAATTATTGGGATTTATAAAGAGTTCAAACTTAAACAACTTTGACTACAGATGACTGAAATATTAAACTTTCGCGGCACTTTTTCTCTAGAATTCTAGAATATTTGATCAAATTGGTGATTGTGGTAGCTAGCCCCAAGATGGCCCTCAATGGTTATTATCTTGTGGTATTTACACATTTGTGTGGTTCTCCCTCGCACTGAATTGGACTGGCCTGTATAACCAATAGGATACTGTGTAAATGATGTGTGACTTCTGACATGGTCATAAAACTGCACAATAATTAGGACACAGACGTGACAAGTTAGTGCCTCTAATACAGCGGTCGGCAAACTCATTAGTCAAAGAGCCAAATACCAACAGGACAATGATTGAAATTTCTGTTGAGAGCCAAATTTTTTAACCTTAAACTTCTTCTAAAGGCACTTCTTCAAAATAGACTCACTCAGGCTGTGGTATTTTGTGGAAGAGCCACACTCAAGGGGCCAAAGAGCCGTATGTGGCTCTCAAGCTGCAGTTTGCCGACCACGGCTCTAATATATAAAACTTTATGACCCATGTTGGTGGGAATGCAAAATGGTGGGGCCACTATGGAAGACAATACGGAGATTCCTCAAAACCAGTTACAGAGCTGTCAGTTCCACCTAGCAGTCCTCCTCTGGATATTTCATCCTACAAAACTGGAATCTCAAGGACAGATTAGCACTTCCCTATGAACTGCAGCATCATCCACAATGGCAAGCCATGGAAATAACCGGATGTCCAATTCACACTGACCAAGATGTGGAAACAACCTAAATGTCCATCTACCGGATGAACGGATAAAGAAAAATGTGGGCCCACGGCCTGGCTCAGTGGTTGGACATCAACCTTTGAAGCAAGAGGTTTGATTACACGAATTGCAAGCTGGATCCCTGGTGTAGGGCATGCAGGAAGCAGCCAATCAATGATTCTTTCTCTCTCATCATTTTAAAAATAAATATTGCTTAAAGTATTACATATGTCCCCTTTCCCCTCTCATGGCCCTCTCCCATCCTCCTCTCATCATTGATGTTTCTTTTCTTTTTTAAAAAATATATGTTATTGGGTTTTTTTACAGCGAGGAAGGGAGAGAGTTAGAAACATCGATGAGAGAGAAACATAAATCAGCTACCTCCTGCACGCCCCTTACTGGGGATATGCCCGCAACCAACGTATGTGCCCTTGACCAGAATCGAACCTGGGACCTTTCAGTCCGCAGGTTTGGGCTCATCACTGATGTTTCTGTCCCTCTCTCCCTCTCTCTGAACTCAATAAAAAATATATTAAAAGTTTTAAATGTGATATAAACTTACAATACTGTACATTATTCTGATATATTTTACAGTATACATTATTCCGATTAATTACAAACAAACAAAGGAAACCACAGGCGAGGGCACGTGCTCTGCAGGCCGGGGAGGCAGGGGCCGGGTAGGCGGCCCACGTGGCGGAGCTCAGCTGTGTGCAGGGTAGCGGGTCGGAGGGGCCGTTCTCTGCCCCGGGGCACCGCGTTCTCGGCCCGCGCCACCCGCATTGTGCGCTGGCAGGAATGCCGCCGCCTCCCCTGTTTGTGTCGTTGGCGGGGAGGCTGCGCCAGTGGCTGGGCCGGCAGTCTCGGGCCTTGGGTGAGAAGCCTCAGTTTCCCCAAGCGTCGTGTCTCAGGCACTTTGGGGTGCTCTCCCGCCTCCCCCGGACGCCCCGCCGGAGCATGTGGAACAGCTGGGCCACGCTCCTGCAGATGGGCCGCCGCCCCTCCGCCATGCTGCCCGGGGGGACCTCCAAGTGCACGCCGTCCCCGGAGGCGCCCACGCTGCCGGGCACCACGGCGTCCCACGGCGACCTGGCCAGCCTGTTCGAGTGCCCCGTGTGCTTCGACTACGCGCTGCCGCCCGCGCTGCAGTGCGCGAGCGGCCACCTGGTGTGCAGCAGCTGCCGCCCCAAGCTCACCCGCTGCCCCACCTGCCGGGGCCCCCTGGGCTCCATCCGCAACCCGGCCATGGAGAAGGTGGCCAGCTCCGTCCTCTTCCCCTGCAAGCACGTCGGGTCCGGGTGCGAGAGGGCGCTGTCGCCCACGCAGAAGGCGGGCCACGAGGAGCTGTGCGCGTCCGGCCGGTTCGCCTGCCCGTGCCCCGGCGCCGCCTGCGGCTGGCAGGGCTCTCTGGACGCCGTGCTGCCCCACCTGGCGCAGCAGCACGCGTCCATCACCGCCCTGCAAGGCGAGGACATCGTCTTCCTGGCCACGGACATCCACCTGCCCGGGGCCGCGGACTGGGTCATGATGCAGGCCTGCTTCGGCTCCCACTTCCTGCTGGTCCTCAAGAAGCAGGAGAAGTGCGACGGCCGCCAGCAGTTCTTCGCCATCGTGCAGCTCCTGGGGACGCGCGCGCAGGCCGACAAGTTCGCCTATCGGCTGGAGCTCCATGGCCACAGGCGGCGGATGACCTGGGAGGACACGCCCCGGTCGATCCACGAGGGGATCGCAGCAGCCCTCCTGAGTAGTGACTGTCTCATCTTCGACACCAGGGTAGCCCACCTTTTTGCAGAAAATGGCAACCTAGGCATCCATGTGACCATTTCCCTACGCTGAGGGGGCGACCCGACAGATGTGTTTTTGGCCAGTGTTTAAAAAAAAACATTGCATTCGATTTCACAGAGAATGGGTGGATAGCCTTCTGCCGGCCCACCTGACGCTTTGGGTTAGGCGGAGCTAGTCGCACGGAGGTAAATAAAAAGGAAAGGCTGTTAACTACAGGAGACAGCTGCATGGCGTTATTCTGGCGGCGCTAACAGCACCGAGTGAGCCTTAGGCGGTGGAGTCAGACCAGGCCTTGGTTCAGCAACCCCCCTACCTGAGATCTGGCTAAGAAAGAATTCAGAGGCAAGCCTCAAAACTCTACCAGTTTCTTTTGTCTTTTCTTTTCTTTTTAAATATATTTTATTGACTTTTTACAGAGAGGAAGGAAGAGGGAGAGTCAGAAACATTGATGAGAGAGAAGCATCGATCAGCTACCTCCCACGCACTCCTCACTGTGGATGTGCCTGCAACCAAGGCACATGCCATCAAGCGGAATCGAACCTGGGAACCTTGAGTCCGCAGGCTGACGCTCTATCCACTGAGCCAAACCGGTTAGTGCTCTACCAGTTTCTTTGCAGAAAGTCACAGAGGTAGAAGAAATGGGCTTCAGAAAACACGTTAAGAGAAGGGCACTCGGAGCTTAGGGGAAAGAGAGGGGCTAGGAAATGGCACCTGGGTGAAGCGGGTGGAGGAAGGCCCTCAGGTGCTCCTTAAAGATGGCCACGTTGGGTTCTCCTGGAGAGCATCTGGAGGCCTCAGCGGAGGATCCCAAGAGAATGTGTATCAGCTTTCCAGGTGTGCCCTTGCAGGACCACAGTTGATCACTGATTGGTCCACACCAGGACAGGGAGTCAGTCAGTGCAGCTAGTGCTGACACCAGCCATGACCTGGCTTATTTGGTTTTACTGCTTTTCTGGGCCTGGAGGTCCAGATGAATTTGATGTGGGTCCGAATCTTATTGTCTTGGGGGCTTAATGCTTAGGGGCCATTTTCTGGCCTCCTTGTTGGTTCCCCCTCTAAAGGTTTAACCCACATGACTAGCAACATGGCAGGAAGGAACGGTCAGGGAAGGGTCTGAACTGAATGACCAGCGATATGAAAGGTCAGGTCTAAACCTCATGACCACCAATATGCTGGGAAAGAAAGGTTTTCCTGGAGACAAGGTCTTATTTTCCCATGTTGCCCCTTGGCACCCGGGGCTTTCCCACCCTGGTGACCTTCTGTACTCAGCCCATGCTCTTTGCTCTGCTTATGTCTAACTGCCCTTCACATAGTAATACTAATATATTTAAAACTAGAGGCCCAGTATACAAATTTCATGCACTGGGGAGTGGGTCCTTTAGCCTGGCCTGCATCCTCTCATAGTCCAGGACCCCTCCGGAGATGTCCGACTGACAGCCCTGTGGGGATCAGGCCTATGCCAGCAGTCGGACATCCCTCTCGAAGTCTGGGACCCCTCAGGAGATGTTAACCTGGTGGTTTAGCCCCACTCTCTACTCTATACTGGGAGTCAGACATCCCTCTAAAGTCTGGGACCCCTTGCTCCTTACTGCTCGATGCTCCTTAATGCTGCCACAGAGCCAGGAGAGGCTTCTGCCATCAATGCTGTGCTTGCTAGCCATGAGCCTGGCTTCTGGCAGAGCAGCACTCCCCCTGTGGGAGTGCACTGACTACCAAGGGGCAGCTTCTGCATTGAGTGTCTGCTCGTTGGTGGTCAGTGCACATCATAGCAACTGATAGTTTTGGTGTCTCCGCCATTTTAGTTGCTTAGGCTTTTATTATATAGACTAGAGGCCCAGTGCACAAATTCGTGCATGGGTGAGCTATGGCCAACCTGGCCACAATCAGGGTGGATTGGGGCTGGGCCTCTCGGGAGGAGGAGATAACAGGAGATTGGTGGTTGGTGGGCCAGCCCACCCAAATTGGGGCCAATTAGGGCACACCTGGCTGGGGGAATTGGCTGCACGTAATTGGCTGGCAGGCCCCCCCTCCCAATTAGGGTTGGGGGGCTGATTGGGGGTGGGGATGACCATGGGGAGGGACTGTGGGTGGTGAGCCAGCCAGCCCCACCCCCAAGTGGGGTGGGGAGTGCTGATCAGGGGCCAGTGGTCTAGGAAGGGACCATAGGTGGTTGGCTGGCTGACCCTGCCCTTAATTGGTGTGTGGGGGCCTATCTGGGGTGAGACCAGGCAGGGGGAGGGGCTGCAGGAGTTTGGCGGGCCGGCCCGCCCCCTATTGGGGTAAGGGGTAATCAGAGGCAGGCTGATGGGGAGCGGGGCTGGTCAGGGGGGAAGAGGGTGGGGCATTTGGCCAACCTGCCCTGCCCTTGATCCAGTTAGGAGAATCCAGTAGTGGGCAGTACTTATTAAAGGATAGTTTTGAGGACAGAAACTGGGAAGAATGGGAAAAGGGCAGGTTTGAGCAGAGGATTAAGTAAAGCTGCAATGCTGGCCAGGGATCAGCCTCAGCTAACCATATAGAGAGCTCTTGGGTCAATTGGGAAAAAAGGAGACATATGTACCTGATGGGGCTGGTTCGCTGGCCACAGTGGGCGTCATAGCAACTGGTCATTATGGTCATAAACCAATACATATATGGTGTCCCAAAAAATGTATGCACACTGAATAATTATAATGGCAGTATCTATTAAAATACATTTCATTTTCAAAATGGAGCTATCAGCTATTAAAAGTGTGCATATATTTTAGGGGGGATATATGTGAAACCCTGTCATGTGAAAACATGGATGAACCTTGAGCATACTGTGCTAAGTGAAAAAAGCCAACCATAAGTCAAATACTGCATGAGTCCCCTTACATGAGGTCAGTATCTAAAATAGTTAAACTCTTGCCTGACTGGTGTGGCTCAGTGGTTGAGTGTCAACCTATATACCAGGAGGTCACCATTCCATTTTTGGTCAGGGCACATGCCTGGGTTGTGGGCTCAGTCCCCAGTGAGGGGGTGTGCAGGAGGCAGCCAACCCAAGATATTCTCGCTCTCCCTTTCTCTCTTTAATGTTTTTGAAAAATATTTTTTTAATTGATTTTAGAGAGGAAGGGTGAGGGAGAGAGAGATAGAAACATCAATGAGAGATCATCATTGACTGGCTGCCTCCTGCACGCTCCCTACTGGGGATCAAGCCTGCAACCCAAGCATGTGCCCTTGCCAGAATCAAACCTGGGACCTTTCAGTCCACAGGCAGACGCTCTATCCATTGAGCCAAATAGCTCGGGCCAACGATTCTCTCTCATCATTGATGTTTCTATCTCTCTCTCCCTCTCTCTTCCTCTCTGAAATCTATAAACAATATATTTGAAAAAGAAAATAAAGTAGTCAAACTCAGAAGGAAATAGTAGAATGCTGGTTGCCAGGGAAGGGGGAGAGGAAACAGAAAGTTAATTGATATAATGTTTCAGTTAAGCAAGATGAAAAAGTTCTAGATATCTGTTGTTCAACAATGTGCCTATAATCCACAATATTACAGTTAAAAATCTATTGAGGGTAGTCCTGACCAGTTATGCACAATGGTTAGAGTGCCAGCCCTTGCACTGAAGAGTCTCGAATTCAATTCCTGGTCAAGGACAGGTGCCTGGGTTTCTGGTTTGCTCCCTATGCCCTGGTCAGAGGGCATGTGCTGGAGGCAACCAGTCGATGCATCTCTCTCACATCTATGCTTCTCTCTCTCTGTTCCTCCCTCTCTCCCTTTCGCTCTCTCTGAAAAAGCAATGGGAAAATATCCTCTGATTTTTTTAAAACCTATTGAGGGTACATCTCATATTAAGTGTTCTTGCCACAATGAAATAAAAAATAAAATCTTACTTCCCATTTTTAAAAATAAGATGTTTTTGTAATATGTATTTTCTGAAACAATAGAAGAAAAAGCCCATAATCTTAATAATGATAATACTTGCACAATAGAATAGTTCCCTGGGTAACTTTATTTTCAGTTTCCCATTTTTTTGTGTGTGTAGAATAGTGGAAGGCAGACACACCTGAGCTCAATTCCCACTGAGCTCAATTCCCACCTGAGTTCAATTCCCACCCATGACTTAAAACTTCTGTCACCTTGAACAAGTTCCTCTACTTCTCTGTACCTTTCACCCCTGAAGCAAAGGATCAGCCTCACAGGGCTGCTATGATTACAATTGAGCAAGATGACACGTGAAGTGCCAGCACAAGTGCCTGGCAAGCGCTCAGAAAGTATATTATGGAAATTCCAGTTAGAGTTATATCTCGTTTACCTTTTACCATCATTATTTTTCTGTTGAATAAACAGTACATAGCATATTGTTCTGAAACCTGATCCCATGCCCCCGATACCCTATTTTTGGCCTTTCTCATGCCACAATTTTTTGCCTACTCCCAATATAATCTCAGCATAAAATTATTTCTTTTTTTAAAAAATATATTTTTATTGATTTTTTACAGAGAGGTAGGGAAAGAGATAGAGCTAGAAACGTCAGTGCGAGAGAAACACCTACCAGCTGCCTCCTGCACACCCTCCACCGGGGATGCGCCCGCAACCACGCACATGCCTTTGACCAGAATCGAACCCGGGACCCCCAAGTCCGCAGACTGAGGCTCTACCACTGAGCCAAACCGGTTTCGGCATAAAATTATTTCTTTACCAATTCGCTAAACAAGCATAACAGGACTACTTCTGTGCTGGAAAAAAAAAAAGTTTTTAAATTTTCTCATCTTCCTGATTTAGGTTGTGAATAGAGCTCTGAAATTTTAAGCACACCAGGTTTGGATGAACCAAGATTTGGAAACTGTCATCTTAGATCTCAAAACTCTTTCATTTACTTGGGTCTTCAGAAAACATTGGGGGGATCATGGGAAAGCCAGGGCCTTTGGCCTAGATTCCTAACTCTGTAAGTTAGCAGCCCCAAGGCCTTGAACAAGTTTCTTCATCTCTTCCCACTCAGCTTTCTCACTGATAACAGAGTGAAACCGGAGCTTACAAGGTTAGGATCTGCAAAGCCCTTTATCTAGCTTTGCACGATAGGAAACTGATGACCCACTTGGGTGCTGTAAAAATAGAGCTTTTAATCATAATTCTTGTACCTAAACAAAAGTTAACCCTCAGTATAACAAATGCCATGAAATGCCTTGCACATAAATGCAAGTACCTACACTTACTACTTTACTGATAGGAGCATTATCAGAAGTTGAGACCATATTCCATGCCATTTACAACTTCCTTTAGATTTCAATTTTACAAGGAAAATATGGGACACAGTTTTTTGCTTTTTATTTTTTGGGACACAATTTTTAAGACGGGATCAGACTAGTTTATAAGAACCTTAAATAAATTTGATCACCAACACAGAAACAGCTCATAGCTGATTTTAGGGGGTGGTAATCAACTGGAGTAGGATTGTCTGGGTTCACATCTGAATTCTCCCTAGCTACTATAGCTAAACCAAGCTATTTATGCAGTCCCGTGACTGTTTCCTATTTGTTAAAAACTCAACCAACTATGTATTAGATACCTACTAATTGCCAGACATTTACACACACACACACACACACACACACACACTTCCCATGCCACAGTGGTTACCACCGGGATTGAAATGTGTACCGAGTGCTTAGAATTAGCTGACAACAGTAGCAAAGTCCATAGAGGATGAAGTTTTAAACAGTGGCAGCTGGAGGTTGACCACCTAAATCTAAATCTTGGCTTTGCCACTTCCTACTAGGTGATCTTGGCTATCACTTAACTCCTCTGTGCCTCACCTTCCTCATGGACAAGATGAGAGTGATAGTAGCCTAGCTCATAGGGTTGTTGAAAGATTAAACCAATTGATAAACGCAAAGTACCTGCCACAGAAGCCAGAACCTAGAAAATGCTCCTGAAGTGTTAACTGTAGTTTTTATCATGCAGTGCCCATATAGAAGGCACTCAGCCAGTGGTTGCTATTATATATTTGCCTTGGATTTTTTTGGCCACGTAAATTATGTGGTAGTGTTAACCTTTTTCTTTCAATCTTTATGGTTGAAAGTGTGGACGAAAGTGTGCTAACCTAACAAGCTCAGGGGAGGCCTGCGTGGCAGTCTTGCAAACTCAGAGACCTAAAAAAACCACAAAAGATGGTCTGAAAATTAAATATTTAACCACAAACAGATTATAGTTGGCAGTCATGTGCTAGGCTGATATTTTCCATGACAGAGATGAACTCGGATCTTCTTTAGCCTTTTTGCCTCTAAGATAACGTATCTGTGAGATGTCTGGTAACTTTCCTTTCTCTGGAGCCCCTGGGGCACAACCAAAAGTGGGTGGCGGAACAGATATCACAAATTCCTTCATTATCATGTTAGTTGTTCCTGCACTCACCTAATTGTGTCTATCATTTTACTTTTTATCCAATTTCAAATGTTTTCCACCGATTTGCTTTAGCCCACCTCCTTAATCCATTACCAATGGATTCCATGCAACCCACCTATGTCCCTCCTTTGATTGCAGTGTATAAATACAGATGTAACCCGCCATTCTCCGGAGCATTATCTGAATTTATCGAGGTTCTGCTTCCCAGCATAAGTCGACAGTTTGGCCCAAATAAACTCACTAAAATTCTTTACAGGTTTCAATGGTTCTTTTTTTCCCCCCGTTAACAAAGTATCACAGATCCTTTCCCCCATTAACCTCTTCCAGCCTGCTCCCATCCTCCCTGCCCCCTCCTGTATTAACATTTAAAAACTGGAAATGTTCATTAAATTTTTCTAAATATAAAACTTAAAAATGACACTAGATCCCACAAATGAATTATAGTTCAATATAAGCTTGTTATAGTTATCTAGGTTAGGTTGCTAGTTGGCTATATATATATATATATATATATATATATATATATATATTAAAATATATATATTTTTTTTAGAGAGGGAAACATTGATTTATTAGTCCAGTTATTTGTATAGTCATTGGTTATTTCTTGTATGTGCCTTGACCAGGGATTTTACCAGCAACCTTGGCATAGGACTATGGCGCTAACCAAGTGAGCTATCTGGCCAAGGCCTGTTGACTTTAAAATGCTTCTTAAGACATTTTCATGGTTCAGCCTCTTCCAGGAGTGAAATTTTACATCACTCTGGAATCTCTGACCAACACTAGTGAGGGATGCAGTTCTCAGTCTGGCCCATAAACGCCTCCAATATGATTCTCTATGCAGTGCCCTCCCCAGCTCACCTCACTAGTCTATAACATGTGAAAATATAAATGGAGGTACTTTAAGAGGTTGAAACTGCTATCCCAGCGGAACTGCCTTACGTCTTACTCTTCAGCCCTTTAGAATGTTCCAAGTGGGCAAATTAGTCCTTGTACCAGGCCCAAAGTAGCTTTTGTTCCAAACCGTTTGCAAAGCTACCAAAAAGCAGACATCATACTCCTCACATTCTTTAGAATTAGCATCACTGTTAGCTTTCCTGCACCTGCAGAAATTCCTTCTGTTCACCTTTTGGAACATTTGGGTTTCTGTCTGAATGGGCATATAGCAGCTTTGTGGACAGAAAAATGATTCTATGGCAAATCTCACAAGGTAATCTGTTCATAAACTCCTAACTGGGCAGGTCATGGTGGGCAGTCACACCCCAGGCATATAGTAGGAAGAAAGTGTATCTTTGCCTAAGCAAGCCTGTCTCATTTCTGTGCATCTAAATAGGTTCACACACCTTTGAAATGCTTCTTTTCAAACTCCCCTCCAAAGCCAACCATCCTCAAGGGCAGTCTTAACTATTCTGTAATCCAATCCCCACCTAGCCTTCTCCCACCTGCATGTAATCTTCCTTAATCTCCAATGCATTAAAAAACCCGGCAAACTACCATTCTGTGAGTATCAATTCTTATAGGTTTGGATGTTTTTTATGTCAATGGATTCTTTTCTTTTGCATCTCAAATAAGTGCCTATTTCCTCTCAAAGAAATGTAACTGTAAATCCATGGCTTTGTATCAGTAGCAAATATTTATGCAGTAAGGATACATTCAATGTGAAAATTGAAGCCATTTCCCAAATTCTCTGCAGCTTTAAAAAAAAAAAAAAAAAAAAAAAAAAGCATAAACTAGAGAACCCTAAAACCATTTATATATTTTATTTGGAAATGTTTATATCAGTACAGTGAAACTAAATTTTAAGAGACACTGGATGTCATCAGTTTAGATATCATTAGTTTATTATAAAAGAGACATGGAAATTATTTACATGATGAAAGATTTCAGAACTTCAATGGAATGGGCAGCTTCACATGATGCCAGTTCAATAGTGATTTATTTCAGTCTACATACTTTCCAAGAATGTCACCATCTCTAAATAAGAAATAGTCCTGCAAATAGAGAAACCATTAGGTAAGAAAAAAATAGCAAACAGGTAACTTTTTAAAATTATTAAGTTCTTAAGGAAATATATTAAATTTACATACCTTGTCATCTATAACTACTTTGGTGCCTCCATATTCTGGAAGGAGAACTTTATCTCCAACCTTCACGCTAACAGGTTGAACCTCTCCACCCTTAAGAAAATAAGGATATGCATTAGCAAAGACAAGTAGCTCACCGAACATTCACACCTAACTGTGGTTAATCAAATGTGCTCACTCAAACCAATTGTTGGAAAAGGACTTGATAGTGAAGTGATATGATAACTACAACTGTAGTTCTTCACTCCAAGTATCACTGGAGAGTTAGTTACATGTTGAAACAATGCCCACACGGTGGCTTAAACTAAAACCTGATTTCAGTGTACAAGTTCAAGAAGTTATACAGGGAAAAAGCTAACTTTAGCTAACTTTTTAATGGTTAAATATTAACATAACCTATGGACTGTTTGAAACAAGCCAGTTTTTAAAACCATGTATACACGATCATGTTTAAATTCAACATTCAAGAATGTAAGAAAAATGTCCTGAGTTGGAACATTACTGCTTTTGGGATTTCATTTCCTTTTCTCAAAAATAGATCTGGAGAGAGGGACTAAAGCACTGGGCTCACTTCCTAAAGGCTTCCTATTCCTGGCTCCTTGCTAGAACTTTCTTGGAGGCAACTTGCAACAATACAGTTCACATATTTGACCCCAAGGGCATTATTGGTGTATTCTGGGTGACCCTCGGGGAGGCCCGAGATCTAACCAGTTAACCGGAACAGTCCAACCTGTTCGTTTCACTGGTGAGCCACGGAAGGTAAAAAGGTGGTTAGTGGGTTAGGCAGGGCAATTTCGGAGTTACAGATGAGTCCGATTCTTAAAAGCCCTCCTTCAGCAATAGTAAAGCATCATTTTGTTTCCATATTCTCGAACTTTCCACATAAAACGAGCAATTTCACTTTACAATCATTTTCATTCAAGGGCCAGATCAGACGTGATGAACTAAGGAAACGACCCGAAAACAATACAAGCTCCTGAAAAGGCTAGTTTTAATAACCACCAAGAATTTGGTTTTTCTTCTGCCACTCATACCTATCAATCCCGACGTGGCTCCCGCTTACCTTTCCTTTGGAGCCGGATCCAACAGCGACCACTGTGGCATGCAATACTTTTCCTTGCGCCTTTTCTGGAAGCATGATGCCGCCTTTGGTGACCGTTTCCGCGGCGCACCTCTCCACCAGGACTCGGTCGAAGAGGGGGAGGAACTTCCTAAAGGCCTGTCCTGCCTGGAGGGAGGGAGAGGGGCCCGATCAGAAGCCACTGCACGCGACCATGTTGTGCCCGGGCCATGCCGCGGCTAACGCACCGCGTGGCCCCGGAGAGCACGCAGGAAGCCTGTACACAGCCTGTCCCCGCTCCTTTCCCCGTCCAGGCCCCCTCCCCTCTGCAGGGCCAGTAGTAAAAGGCTACCCTCGTTTATTCCAAGGTCAAACGTCTCCCTTCCCCGCTCAGGACGTCTTCCGCGGACACTGAAGTCCACCTCGCCGCCCGAGGCCATGCTTTCACCCCGACCCTGCCCATCCCCGAAGGCCCTGCAGGAGGGCAGCGGGAGGGCGGCCGCGCGCGCGCCCCGGTTCTCGCCCCGCGGACCCCACGCCCGCTGCACACACGCGCGTGCAAGGAGCCCTGGGCGGAGGGAAAGGTCGGGGGGCCCGGCGACCCCAGGTTTCGGGCAGGTGCGGGTCCCCGAGGGACGCCTTCCCCCAGCCAACGAGAACCGTCCGGGCTGCCCACGCCCCGGGCCGGCCGGTGGCCCACGCGGGTCTCACCATGACTCCGACCGCCGCCACAGCCGCCTGTGCTCCGCTGTCGCGCCGCGGCCGCAAGGAGAGAGCCGCCGCCGCCGCTGGCCACGTGAGCCCGAGGCGCCCAGCGCGCAGGCGCCGCCCCGCCGCCCCGCCCCCCGGAGGGCGGCAGCCGCGCCGCGCGCCGCGATTCGCCCCGAGGCCTCGGCTCGGCCCACTTCCGCGGCGACCGGGAGGCGGAAGAAAAGGGGAGCTCTTTCTAGGCTTTTCCAGGCCGCCTGCCCCGGGGAAAGGACGCTCCCCGCGGGCCCTCTCCCGGAAGTGACGTCACGTGACCCTTGACCCACAGAGAGCGCTGCCCCTTCCGGAACGTTCTAGAAGCGAGCGCCGCCCCAGAACTAGCCTAAGTAGGCCAGAAGGCTGGGGCCGCCGGCCGGGTCCCCGCGCGGGTAGGCAGGGGCGGGGCCTGCGCGCCGCCGTGCCGATTGCCGGGCCGGGGCCGGGGCCGACGGGAGGCGGGGGCGGTGCCCGCGCACGCGTGGCCGCGGGGCGGGGAGCGCGGAGGGAGGGGCGCCGCTCATTGCCGTGCGCGCCCTGCACTCTGTCCCTCACTCGCCGCCGACGGCCCGCCTCGCCGCCCGCACGCCCTGCCGCTGCCCCGCAGGTACGCGGCCGCCTCGCCCCGGCGCCCCGGGCCCCGGAGCGGCCCTCCTGCTCCTGGAATGGGGCCTGGGCGGGCCGGCCCGGGATAGCCCGGGGTTCCCCCCGGCGCCGCAGGCTCGGATCGGCTGGCCCAGGCCTCGCGGGTCGGGCCGGGTCCACGCGGTGCCAGTCACGTGCGGCGGGGACCGCTCGCCGGGCGGGCGCGGGGGGGAGGGCTGGCCCGGGGTGCGTGTGAGGTGTGGGGGGGTGCACCCCGGGGGCCTTCGGATGCAGCCAGCCCACGGCAGGCCGCCTGCAGGGCTGCGGGGAGAGGGGCCGCGGCCGCGTGCGGACTCGCTGGGGCCCCGCGCGCTGGGCGGGGGCGGCGCCCGCACCCTTGACCTTGCTCGGGGCGTTCGGAGGGGAAGACACGTGGGGCCGCCGGCGTGGCCGGGCCGCGGCGGCCGGTGGGGCGGCCTGGCCGGGGCTCACGGACACGTTTTGCTCAGGTTTCTGCAGAGTCAGGGATGGTCTCACTCCGCTGACCGCCGGGTGCATAGCCTGCTCCTTCCCCGCGGACTCGGGGTCTCAGGGGCCCGTTGGGAGTGGGGTGGCCCTGAAGGCCATTTTAGCAGCGGAAGGTGAACACGTTTTTATCAGTAGCTGCAGGGTAGGCCCTGGGTTGGATTTGGGGCGCTGCAGGGCAGGCGTGGAGGCGGCCCTGGCGCTAGTCCCCGGCGTCCTGGGGCCGGGGCGCGTTCCGGGGCCCAGGCATCGTGGCGGGCCCAGGTCAGCCCGACTCGGGGGAGGAGGGAGTACGGGTTGTGATGAACTGCTGACATGCCTGTTTCCTCCTCTCCCCAGAAAATGCTTCGATTACACACAGTCCTTCGCCACATGAGGCCCGTGTCCAGGGCACTGGCGCCTCACCTCACTCGGGCTTATGCCAAAGATGTAAAATTTGGTGCAGAGGCTCGAGCCTTAATGCTGCAAGGTGTAGACCTTTTAGCCGACGCCGTCGCCGTTACTATGGGGCCAAAGGTATCCGTATTCCTATTTTAATGTCATTTATAGTTCTGTGAGTTAATATCTTACTGATGGCAAATAGTCATGCTGAGGACAGTACATGGGTATCCATTTTTGAGAAAACCCAAGTTACATAGTAAGTTACACATTAATGGTTAATTTTTTTTCTTCTTATATGTAAGAGTCTTAAAATTTAAATTTGGGGCACTTCATTTTGTATAATGTCTGATGTAATCTATTGGTAACTCAGAGTTTAAGATGGATTCTTAAACTCCAGGTAGGGTTAACCTTGCTTGCCAGCTTTTGTTAAATTTTGGATTGTTTCCAGTAAATACCAACCATAGAGGAAAGGATGGTACTTGGTTTTTGTAATACCTAATTATGTTTGTGAAGGTTCTAGTTTTACCTACTTTTTTTCCTGCTGTCCCTTCTGTTCCAAAGCACATTGAAAATTTTTGTCTCGCTTAACATGAGACTGCTGAGTGAGTGGTAATAAGTTGAAGAGGCCTTTGAAGGTTGTGCACAGTGGAGTGAGTGATGGTTCATTTTAATTTGAAAACAATTCAAATATCAAAGTGATCCAAACTGCATAAATAAGGCATTGAGAAGAGACATATGTAATACTTTAAACAATAAAGAATTTTTTTTTAAATAAGGCATTAGCATGTCTTCCAAATAGCATCTTTGATTCAAATCAAAAGCTGCCAGTACTCTGCACCACACTTGAGATTTAACGTTCCATGACTCTGCAAGAGTGTACTGAGCTTGCCTTGCAGTTATTATTTTAATAGCTACATTTTAAAGCAACTTAAAAGTAAGTTTTCACATGACTTTCATGTGAAAGGTACTGGGGAAAACTTTGTGTAAATAATGTGAAGAATTTTATATTTTGAGTTTTTATGAATTTATTGGAGCATAACTGATTACAGTTGCTGGGAAGATCCCTGTAAACTAAGAAGATTGATGAACTTGCCCTTGAGATTTATGCTGCAGATCTGGTAACATGTTGAGGCTTTCAAGTGTGTGGTCCTGTAACTTTTCCCTCTGCAATTGCAGGGAAGAACAGTGATTATTGAACAGAGCTGGGGAAGTCCCAAAGTAACAAAAGATGGTGTGACCGTTGCAAAGTCCATTGACTTAAAAGATAAATATAAAAACATTGGCGCCAGACTTGTTCAAGATGTTGCCAATAACACAAACGAAGAGGCTGGGGATGGCACTACCACTGCTACTGTGCTGGCACGCTCCATCGCCAAGGAAGGCTTTGAGAAGATCAGTAAAGGTGCTAACCCGGTGGAAATCAGAAGAGGTAAGAATGCTCTGCATTATCAGGCATTGTTTTGAACTGTCCATTAAATTAGGAAGTGGATTCTTATTTCTCTTCCTAAAAATTCTCATGCTGGATATTCCTTCAGCAAATGGTGATTGAATGCCTGGCAGTGTGGTGGGCACTGTGCAGGGTGTTAAGGAGGAAAATGTGACTGACGTTTCCTGTTGTCAATCTTTCTTACACCTCCCCCACCATCCTGAAAGCCAATAATTGTAATGGAAGATACAGTGTGTGCTGTGTACCTTGAAAACAGTAAACTTCTGGGGATTAGAACAGAGGGAGATTAAACCGTTTTGATGCTTTACTTTAGTCAGTAGGGCCTAATAAGCAGCTAAATCACCCAAGATGTCACAGGATTTTTTAAAGTAGATTTTTACTTCTCTCTCCTTTTTTAAAAAATTGATTTGAGAGAGAAACATTGATTTTGTGCCACTTATTTATGCATTCATTGGCTGCTTGTATGTGCCTTAATCAGGAAATGAACCAGCAACCTTGGCAACTGAGACACCTGATCAGGGCCTTTTCTTACCTCTTAACAATACATACGTTGTTATTGGTCTGCATTTCGTTTATTATTGCTTGTTTCAAGAAGCTAGACCACTATTTGTTATTTAATTTGAGTCCTCACCAGAGGAGTGAGGATATTTTTCCCATTGATTTTTTTTTTTTTTTTTTAAGAGTAGAAGGGGAGAGAGAGATTCATGTGACAGGCACATCAATTGATTGCCTCCCACACATGCCCCTTCCAGAGGCACATTGGATTGGGAATGATTTATACAGAATGAATTTAATGTTTAGATTTTTGCAAATTATACACCTCAATTTTTTTAGTCTATAATTTTCAAAATATTTTGGCATTGTGGGACTTGATTAAAGTTCCTGTTTCAGTGCATGCCATCCAGCTCCATGGGATTTGGAAAAATTCTGGCACAGAGGCAGTTGTGTAGGCTGTTAAGACATGAAAACATTTATATAAATCAATTTTTATGTAACATATAGACACAAGAGAATAAGGATTGTAATGATGTTTATTCTTGACCCAGGTGTGATGTTAGCAGTTGATGCTGTAATTTCTGAACTTAAGAAGCAGTCTAAACCTGTGACAACTCCTGAAGAAATAGCTCAGGTAGGGATTTTTCATAACATTTTGTGGTAAAGTAAAAAAAATAAATAATAACATTTCATGGAAATCACAGACCAGTTTCAGAATAACAATACTACTTAATCTCCTACATTGGAAGCAGTTTTTTTTACTAAATGTTTGCTAAAAATTTAAAAATAATTCAGTGGTCATGATATGAGTCTTAATGGACTGCTATGTTATTTCTGCATGCTGTAAGACTCATTTGTGTCTACGTTGCAGTATTGCCATGTTTGCCAAAGGAAAACAAAATAAAGCCGTCAGCCTCTTTACTGTTTTTGTTTAGAGAATAATTGCATGTTTATTTCATGTCTTTTGAAAATAATGTAGCCAAATAATAATAGATTGAAAATGAAGTCCCCGTTCCTCTATTTACCCCTCCACCCCCCAACATATATCCGTTTGGAAGTTGTAGGAAAAGGAGGGGGTGGGGTTTGAAGGAGAACACTAGCTTGACCTTGTAATTTGAAAGGTAACTTGATTGTTTCAGGTTGCTACAATTTCTGCAAATGGAGACCAAGAAATTGGCAACATAATTTCTGACGCAATGAAAAAGGTTGGAAGGAAAGGAGTCATCACTGTAAAGGCAAGTGTATTTTCCATGATAGCCTGAAATGAGATGTCAGCACAATTCCATATGTTTCTAAAAGTGTGTTCTATTTTACTCCTTCATGTGTACTGTCAGCACCTGTATAGAATAGAGTTCCTAACTCTGCTTTGTGTGAATTATTAGCCTTTGCTGTCAGAAATGAGTCCATCCTAACATAAGTAATACTGTCTTCCAGCTGTAAAAGTTAATTCAGATATGCATTCTGAGAATTTTGTCAGTAGAGTAGGATGTCATGGGGATTTCCATACTCCTACCTGGATCCCTTAAGTAAGACATGTGGGTCAACTGGTTAGCCTAGTCTGTAGTTAGTTTTTGTGTTTTTTTGTGTTTTTTTTTTTAATGAAATTCATACGGCTCCTCTGATTATTTTCATAGGATGGAAAAACACTGAATGATGAATTAGAAATTATCGAAGGCATGAAGTTTGATCGAGGTTATATTTCTCCATACTTTATTAATACAGCAAAAGGTAAGAGCAAGTCAATGACGGAAATATTTTTTAAATATGTTATTTGCTATTGTCAGATTGTTGGCATTAGTTGGTGTCGTATCTCTGAAAACATAAATTCGTATGTTACTAAAATTAAAAAGCATAAGAAATGGAGGAAAAACGTGAACTTTTACTAGTGAAGTGTATGGAACTTTGATTTATAGCTTTCCATTACATAAATTTCAGTCATTTTCCGAATATTAAAGTTCTAAAGTTGGTTTGAAACATTCATTGTTTTGCAGGTCAGAAATGTGAATTCCAAGATGCATACGTTCTCTTGAGTGAAAAGAAAATTTCTAGTGTTCAGTCCATCGTACCTGCTCTTGAAATTGCCAATGCTCACCGCAAGCCCTTGGTCATAATTGCTGAAGATGTTGATGGAGAAGCTCTCAGTACACTTGTTTTGAATAGGTAATAGCAGTGATATTTGGTTTACATTTCTAAATGGATAATTTATATTGATGTTAGGAATCTCCATTGTGTGCCTCCACCCACTGTGTTTGTATCTAGAGTTCTGTGTAATACAGGTGTGCTTCCTGAACCCTTAGTTCAGTTAGAATGGAGGTGTATTTTTTAATTGGGCCTTAAAGTCCTTAATATTTTGTGCAACTTTCTCATAGCCTAATTTTGTATGTGGTGTCTTTCTATTTTTATAAGTGTTTACAGTTATTTTGTAGGTAAATGATTAAATTTTGTTTTCAGTTTTTTAAAGAAAAAACTTTCTGGATAATTATGTTCACAATTCTAATTTTGCATGGGAAAAGATCAGTAAACAACTGCCGAATCAAAAGTTTCAGATCTAAGTGTATTCAGCAGTGTTTTTACATAATCTGTTAAAAGAGAATTTATATGTGTGTATATAAAACTCTTTTTTATTGATTTTTAGAGAGAGGGAAATAGAAACATTGATGAGAGGCTGCCTTCTGCATGCTCCCTACTTAGATGGAGCCTGCAGCCTGGCTATGTGCCCTGACTGGGAATCAAATCAGCAACCTCTTGGTACATGGGATGATGCTTAAGCAACTAAGCCACCCTGGCCATGGCAAAGGAAATTTAAAGAGTGACTAGCCAAAACCGGTTTGGCTCAGTGGATAGAGCATGGGCCTGTGGACTGAACAGTCCCGGGTTCGATTCTGGTCAAGGTCCACTGAGCCAAACCAGTTAGGGGGATCCATTTTGATTTTTATTTGGCTTTTTAATAAAATAGTCCGGCTGTCTTAATGTTTGTGTATTCCTTTTGTTCTGGTCTAAAGGGGGCATTTCTTTGATTGTGTATTGTATTCTAAATATTCATTACCTGTTCAAATTGCTATTACCAATATTGACATTTAAAAAGGCACTTGAGCCGAACCGGTTTGGCTCAGTGGTAGAGCGTCGGTCTGCAGACTGAAAGGTCCCAGGTTCGATTCCGGTCAAGGGCATGTACGTTGGTTGTGGGCATATCCCCAGTGGGGGATGTGCAAGAGGCAGCTGGTCAATGTTTTTCTCTCATCGACGTTTCTAGCTTTCTCTCTCTCTTTTCCTCTCTGTAAAAAATCGATAAAAAGTATATATTTAAAAAGGCACTTCATACCTTAATCAATAAATTAATTTTTTTAAAAAGACACTAAATTAAGAACACTGCTTGCTCAAACTTTAATAGCAACTTAATCTAATACTATATAGAACCCATGGGGTAAGTGCAGATTAGATGACTCAAATTTATGATTATTCTCATTTTCAGTCTGTGAAATAGTTACCTTTGTTTTTAACTTAACTTTTGTTAATTACTGCTCTTAACAGGCTAAAAGTTGGTCTTCAGGTTGTAGCAGTCAAAGCTCCAGGTTTTGGGGACAATAGGAAGAACCAGCTTAAAGACATGGCTATTGCTACTGGTGGTGCCGTAAGTTTCATAAATAGGGTGTGGTTTATACTTCCAAATCTAAAGTTAATATGTAGAATTTACACTTTTTACAATCACAGAACTGCCAAATGAACTGCTTGCTTAATCTCTGTTTCTGTTGCATGTCTGGGAGGTGGAGGCTGTGTTAAGCTGTGTCACAGTCCCTTCTCGACCTTATTGACTTACCTATCTTTAGGAATATAGTAAAAAGACAGGGGATTTAAGAGTTAGTTCTGGTTCCACCAAAAGTGTGTCCTTGGATGAATTTCCTGAGTTTATGCTTTTCTCTCATAAAGCTCAAATATTGAGGATTAAGTGAGAGGTTGGAAATGCAATAAAACTATTATTCAGTGGTCTTAGAATCTCACATTTCAAAAAATAACAGTAAAACAAGATTTTTTTCTTCATTAAGACACTGCATGCTGTGTTATTAATAAACGTTGAATATAATAGAAAAACCATCACTGAGACCTCCTTTTTCGATGTTTTTGTAGGTATTTGGAGAAGAAGGATTGACTCTCAACCTAGAAGACGTTCAGCCTCATGACCTAGGAAAAGTTGGAGAGGTCATTGTGACCAAAGATGATGCCATGCTCTTGAAAGGAAAAGGTGACAAGGCTCAGATTGAAAAACGTATTCAAGAAATCATCGAGCAGTTAGATAGCACAACTAGTGAATATGAAAAGGAAAAACTGAATGAACGCCTGGCCAAACTCTCAGATGGGGTAGCTGTGTTGAAGGTAAGAGGTCATGCTTGACTTCTTGGGCTCTTATTCAGGGGATTAGCTTCCTCGTGGAGATATTATTTAAACTTTTGAGTAAACTAGGTGCTAATGACTCTTGGCTGTCAGCATCTTGAATCAGAGAAGCCATACTAACTGGGCTGATTGTAATCTTCAGGTTGGTGGGACAAGTGATGTTGAAGTGAATGAGAAGAAAGACAGAGTCACAGATGCCCTCAATGCCACACGCGCTGCTGTGGAGGAAGGCATTGTCCTGGGAGGGGGCTGTGCCCTGCTTCGGTGCATTCCAGCCTTGGACTCAATAACTCCAACTAATGAAGATCAAAAAATTGGTAAAACGTTAACTTACAACTAAGTTTACTTGCAGCCTGTTGTTAGTCTTTCTGTTAGAAAAATGTTGCCCACTAAATGGGACAATAAATCACAGCAATTTCCAGAATAACAAAAGTACAATAGCACTGATGTCGAGAGATGAAAATGTATCATCATTTTCAGGGAAATGATTTGGCCTATGTCAGTACTCTCACAAGTTAAATTGTGTTGTAATATTATTGTGTTGTAATATTTATAAAAGAAAGAATTAAGTTGGCTAAAATTTGTGTTTGTTTTTTTTTAATAGGTATAGAAATTATTAAGAAAGCACTAAAAATTCCTGCAATGACCATTGCTAAGAATGCAGGTGTTGAGGGATCATTGATAGTTGAGAAAATTTTGCAAAGTTCCTCAGAACTTGGTTATGATGCCATGCTTGGAGAATTTGTGAATATGGTGGAAAAAGGAATCATTGATCCAACTAAGGTAAGTAGTTGATCACTTCCTAAAAATTCTTTTAATCCTGTTTTAATTCTTTACTAATTAAAAAGTGGTATTTATGAAACTCTTTTCCTAGGTTGTAAGAACTGCTTTACTGGATGCTGCTGGCGTGGCCTCTCTGTTAACAACAGCAGAAGTTGTGGTCACAGAAATTCCCAAAGAGGAGAAGGACCCTGGGATGGGAGGGATGGGTGGAATGGGAGGAGGGATGGGAGGCGGCATGTTCTAGCCCTGGAATAGTGCTTTACCGTCTTACTGAGAACTGAGAGGAAGCTCAGGGCATCTCCTCACCTATAACTTCAGAGAAGTCAGTTGAAGGAAATGACTGAAGAAAAGGCTGGCTGATGTTCAAGAAAATCACTAACCATCAGTTACTGGTTTCAGTTGACAACACACAATGGTTTACTGCTGTCATTGTCCATGCCTACAGATAATTTATTTTGTATTTTTGAATAAAAATACATTTGTACATTCCTGATAAGTGCAAGAGCCATGTACCAATGTACTGCTTTCAACGTAAATCACTGAGGCATGTTTACTACTATTCTGTTACAATCAGGATTTTAGTGCTTGCCATCACCCGATGAGAAGTGAAGAAGCAGCCTTTCTGTGGAGAGTAAGAATAATTGTGTACAAAGTAGAGAAATATCCAATTATGTGACCTTTGTGTAATAAAAATTTGTTTAAAGTTCATTGAATTTTTATTTTCATCTGGGCCAGGGACTAGCTTCATCTGTCTTAGAGCTGCAGAACCTGATCTATGGGTGGGAACTCCTGAGTAAGGTCCTGGGCCTGCTGCATAGTCTGGTGTAAGTTGGGCATTGTGGCAAATGTTTCCACTGTCCTTATCTTGTATACATAGTTTGGGCAGAAATGGAAAAATACTATCCACCACAGGTCAAAAGCCTAGGTCACTTAAATCCACCTAAAAATAATTTTTGTAGCTAGCTGATTAGAAGAAACAGAATGGGGAAAAGCCGGACTTGCGATTTCTAGTTGCTGTCAGGATGACTGGAGCCTGCCTAAAGATACTAACAGGAGAAAAAAGTGCTAGGACTGAAGGCTTTGTTGTTTAACCCTGTGAACAATCTTGGATTAGGGAATACTTAAACTTTTGCTATAATTATGTACAAGCCAGGCTGACACTGCAAGGTTGCTTTAGAGTTCTAAGTTGGCTTTTCTGGAAAAATTACCTTTTCCCTCTTTGTTAGGATGGCAGATGTAGCTGCAAACTTCATGTCCTCATTCAACCAGGCAAAAACCAAGGATGTTTCCACAGAAAACAGTTACCGGTTTCATCTCAGTAACATTCCCTCCCGACCCCGATTCCACTCACCAGGTGCCACTTCACGAAGTTAAGAAAGGGTGTTGCTTCCCCCATATGATACAGAAAGCATAGCTGCCTGATTTTAGGTCCACAGTCATGGCCTCTGGACTAGATGGAGCAAACACGGGCACCAGTAGTGGAGCCAGAAGGCTTGGGTTTATATCCTGTCTACACTTCCTGTAAGCTGGGTTCTGGACATAATTTGAACCTCATGGGTCAAAAGGGATGGCTAGATCAAGGCAATATTTACGTATTCTAGGGTTCCCTCACCAAAACCCCAACTACATGACAGAATTCCCGCCTAAGCACTAAGATTCTAAAACAATTTACCCATGGTGTTTGGAAGAGTATGGTCAAGTACAAATTCTATTTCCACCAAAAGAAGTACTATACAGAGAAAAAAGATACCTGGGTCTTGGCCATTTTTAAAAAACTTTGTTATCAAAGACTAATTACATATAAACCACTGAAGCTCTGGGGGATAACTGGCCTGTAAGTGGGAAGGTAATGCTTCACCTGTGAGGGTACAACCATAAGTGGGATAGGAGTCCTTCACCACTGTAAACATCAGGTACTCCAAACTAACGTATTCAATAAAGTGATGCAAACATGCATTTATGCAGGGAACTAAGTATTGAGGCCACTAATTGATCTGAGGAAATAGTTAATAGGGCTATAACCAGAAAGATAATGCAAGAGGGCTATTGGGCATGGAGTGAAAGGAGGCAAGGCGATCAACATCGATTAAAAGTCTGAATTTTGTCCAGATTTGTTTCTCTGAAAGTTTTAAAGATATAAATGCTATAACTAAACTTTACTATGTCTGTAAATACACATTGAGACAGGAAGATTTCAATAACCGGAATAACTACAAAAAATAAACAAATTAACTTTATTAAGTTACCACTTCAGTCCTGACATTGATTTGTATACAAAAATATCAGTTTGAAATACATTATTGAAAGTGAGTATACACAATAAATAGAAAATAGGGATGCGTGGTGCTGTAGACAGCAGCCAACTTCTCTTCATGTTGCCCACTGTTGTAGACACAATTTGATACACAATCAGCATTGTTGAAAGAGCCAAGTACCTGGGAGAGGGTTGCAAACTATAAAAAATGTAGCTTAAAGCTCTGGACCACTCATCAAAAAAAGCCAGGAGTTTATCAGGGGAGCTAACCTCACTATAGCATTGAATTATCTCCTACTACCATGAGAACAATTTTAAAAAGGTGCCAAGGAACCTTCATTAACAGTATTGTTAAGTCAATGTTTTTTACGGTATCTGATGATTACACAAATATCCTAACCCATGACACGGGCCCTATGACAGTTATAAATAGTCTGAATTTAATAACTTAAACATGATATGGTCATTGTAATACTACATGAGTATCTCAACTAGCCTCTTTTGGATAAAGTGATAACTAAAAAGTTTAAATTTAGTTTCAATTTCTCTCAGAAGAGTGATGTCAGTATTCTAGCAATAGTGATGACATCTCATTGATGGTAAATATGCAAACGTACACATTACTCTGAATCATACGTGATTGAATTCTATGTATATGTGCTTCCATATTCCAAGTGCAAATTTTCGATGGTGCAGGTGTATAATCAAAGCTGGGCTAACAAATGCTTTCTGGCTTCTGAAAGCAAATGATAAAAGCACGCTCTAAAAGTGAATACACTGAAGTCACAAGTAGGTGACCAGTCCAGTCCTTTCCTCTCTTTACGTGTGATGAACTTCGTGAAACATTAGCTCCCGAGGTATATTTGTTTCTGGACCATACAGCTTACACGCTCTTCTTTCGAAGGCCGCTACCATCTGCTTTACGACTTCATCGAAAAACAATGTGGCAAGCTGAGAATGTAGAAGTGAGCGGAATTCAAAAGAAACCTGTAGGAAAATGTTCACAATTAACTCAGGAAGATCTTTTTCTCACGAAATCTCCACTTAGGGCACTGTGTTCACACTGGGAAATGGGCTCTTTGCCCCAGAGTGGAAGGCAGAGCTGGATGAGATTTTGAACACCTCTCAGAAGAGGGAGTCATATTTTCTGCAAAAGCATAACTGGACAAAACCAATGACTCAAGGCATAGCCAGCTTTTATTTATTATTTATTAAAAAATGGAGAAAGTCTTTGCTGAATACCATGTTCATTTCTCTGGCTTCCAATTAAGGGGTCCCTTTTAGATCTACCTACCTCCCAGTAAGAAATAAAGAGAAGCAATCTTCCTCACTGGGAAGTAGCAAGGAGGTAAGACTGATCCACAAAGCAGATGGGGTAGGTGGCTCAATGTCAAAGTAGACAATGAACTTATGTCCTCTCAAGATAGAACTCAGGTAAGCTTTGAGAAGTAGTATTTTAAGGAGCAAATATCTACTAAGTTTTAAAACTTAATTTTTCATTTTGAAATAATTAAGATTTACAAAAACGTTGTAAAAACAGTACAAAGATTTCTCATAAACCCATCAACCAGATTCCCGTTTTAATGTATTCTATAACCACAGTGCAATTATTAAAACCAGGACATTAACAGAGGAAGTTAATATTATTAGATAATAATGCTATTATTTAATCTAATTCAAATGTCCCCAACTGCCCCACTAATGTCCACTAATATTTTAATGAAAGCAATTCAAGAGCTGAGAACAGCATGTAGAAATTTATGACCATTAATATTGACCATTTCTTAAAATGTAATGCCTGAATTGCAAATATAAACAGCAAGTATATTCTATTGAAGAAGCCACAGTGCTATGGCTAAAGTGATGTGAACAAAAAAATACCTCAGTCCCTAGATTCTAAAAACATTTTTACCTTTTGCATTTTATTTCTGCATCATAAGATACAGATCAATGTGTAAATTTAATTTGGTGTAAGAAACTGGTAGTAAAGTCAGCAAAGTCTTATAACCTATGGACTTGTAAAAATTAGAAAGTAGAGAAGGAATTGTTATTCAGGGTCTCAAGAAACACAATAGAAAAAGAAAGATTCATTAATATTCTTATAAAATTAGTAGAGAAAAAAATTCAATACTCAAAAATTTGAGATAAAAAAAAAGTGGTTTTCAGTAATTGCTATAAGATTATTAATAATGGCATATTAATGGGCTCTAATAAATGAATTATTCCTCCCCCCCCCCCCAACTTCACCTGATATTTGGAGCAAATGAAGGGCTTTGTGATATGAGAGACTTACTGAAAAATCCAAGGTACAAGTCCTTGGGTAGCCAGGCAGACCTGGGCTGAAACGCCAAACAGTCTCCAAGTGATTGAAAAGCTTCCCATCAGTGCAGGATGCCTAGAACAAAAGGAAAAAATACAGCTGCAATAAAATACCACTTGGATTGTCCAGAATCTATAATGGAGGATGACTTCTTTGAAAGGCAAATATTTTTATGGTCAGACCACCAGTGATGAAAACTTCTCACGTGTAGCTTGGTACTAAGCATTTTCTTTTCCCCTGGGACCCTCAGGTTGCCAGCTGTTCTCTCTTCCATCGTCTCACCCACTGAGCTAATTCAGAGTTCTCCCCTCCAGCAGCAAAATGGAGTGATTTCTGGAAGTTTATTTCCAGCTCTGCCACTTAAAAGTTATCCTGAACAAGTTAATTCCTTAATCTGCAAAATGAGTATATCTATCTTATACCATCTCTCTACGATGGCTAAAACGTTTTAAAAAATATATTTTATTGATTTTTTTACAGAGAGGAAGGGAGAGAGAGAGTTAGAAACAATGATCAGCTGCCTCCTGGACAACCCCACTGGGGATGTGCCCACAACCAAGGCACATGCCCTTGACCGGAATCGAACCTGGGACCCTTCAGTCCGCAGGCTGATGCTCTATCCACCAAGCCAAACCAGTTTTGGCTGGCTATAACATTTTAAGGTATCTGGCATAGATCCCTATGAAAATTTTATCTTCTTTCATACCCAAAGATTACTCTCTTTATCAATCACATCCTTCACTCATTATTCTTTATTTCTAGAGGCCTCTATGGCACCAGTTTTTGGAAGCCTGGCCCTGACTCTTGTGCTTGACCTCTGACTTCTCCAGTGCATACGTTTACTTTCTATATGTGTGCACACTGAAATGCAACACTGAGTGAGATTCTGTGCAGAGCATCCTAGCCCCATTCTACAGCACTAAAGATGCTGAGACCCACTGAAGAGTTTGCCTTCTGCTGTGTGAAAAATGGAGGCAGGCCACAGTCACTAGTCCATTGTTAGGGTGGGATGAGCTTGGATGAAGTTATTTACTATCCTAAGATGCTCTGTGGGCCTTATTATACTAGTAGACAACTGACCTCAAGAATACGTATCACTTTCCCCGGCAGCAGACCATTAAAAAAAACAAAACCTCTTGCCGAAACCGGTTTGGCTCAGCGGTAGAGCGTCGGTCTGCGGACTGAAAGGTCCCGGGTTCGATTCCGGTCAAGGGCATGTACCTTGGTTGCGGGCACATCCCCAGTAGAGGGTGTGCAGGAGGCAGCTGGTTGATGTTCCTCTCTCATCGATGTTTCTAGCTCTCTATCCCTCTCTCTTCACCTCTGTAAAAAAATCAATAAAATATATTAAAAAAAAAAAAATCTTTATTTCAGCTAGCCAATTTTAGGATAATACATTCTACCTTTCTTAGAACCATATAAGAAGCTTACAGGGGATGTAACAATTTAGGAGACCCAGCTGCTGAGAAAACTCAATACAAAACAGCACCTTCCCCTGAATACTTGGGCACAAAATGTGGCAGTGGTGCACTCATGTGGATCACCTAGCCCCAGGACAGATGTTTACGGCAACATGTTGAAAGGGACATCACTACCAAAGACCTCATTCCTAACAGCAGAGAGGCTGAACACAGTAGGTGTTCTGATGATGACCATCAGCTGGTGGTTCTGACGGAATAGACCCGGCCATAGAAACTAGGCCACATGAAATGTTTATGTTCTGATCTAGGCAGTAAGAGTCACTGACCTGTTGCCTCTTATTAAATCTGCTGAGAACTCTCAGGGCTTCAGGCCATTACAGACTCATGTAGACAAACACATTATAAATGGCACATAAAGTCACAGGCACATTTAGGGAAGCTAATAATTCACAGAAAATGTCACAGGGCTTCTGCTCCTTCCTTGGTTATAATGATTTTTATTGCACATTATAAATAAATGTGTATTAAGTATTATAATCTAGTACCTGAGCCCATGGGTAACTGAAAACTGAGCATATATAGTTGTGTTATTCTCAAGTATATCACAATGAGCACATTAAGTGAGGCATCTTATTTTAATGGAAAAAGTTTTGAAATATGACACATACAGTGAATTTGTGTAAGGTTCTTAATTTCTCTAAGCCTCATAAAACTGAGCTAGCAATAATCATCTAATACCGTGGTCAGCAAACTGTGGCTTGCGAGTCACATGCGGCTCTTTGACCCCTTGAGTGTGGCTCTTCCACAAAATACCACGGCCTGGGCGAGTCTATTTTGAAAAAGTGGCATTCTAAGAAGTTTAAAAAATTGGCTCTCAAAAGATATTTCAATCGTTGTACTGTTGATATTTGTTAATGAGTTTGCTGACCACTGATCTAATACATTTATTATGACTTTTTCTAACAGTATCCTCCCTCCTCCAGTGTTGAAATTTCCTGACATTATTAGCATCTCTAGATCTGCAATAACCCAAGAACTAAGTAGTGAGATCTTCGTAAGCAAGGAGCCCTCATAGCTCCCATCATTTTAGTGTTGTTCCTGAGGATTGAGAGGAAAAAGAGGGCGTCCCATTCCCTCAAGTAGCTCACTCTTGTCAAGCAGAAAAACAGATGAAGAACTAATTATTATAATATTAGTGTTAAGAGATAAGTAAAGCATGTAAAAAGCCAAGAGAAATCAGAGGTGGAGAAAGGAAAGGGAGGAAAAACATCAGACAGCTAGAATTTGACAAATCAACAGGCAAGGAGTCAAGTTCATTACAGTTAGAGTGAACAACATGCAAAGGCACGGGCTGTGGAGTAAGTTCTGTATGGTACATTCATGGAACCTGAAGATGTATGGTACTGCCTGACATTAATTGTAATGTTATGTGTGTGAGGAAGGATGGTGGAGAAGATGGACCAATGATCAGTAAAACGAATGGCTTTATCCTGTTATGTGTTAAGAAGCAGGGGGAGAGGGAGAAAATGAGATTTTATTCAGAGTTCTTTTAGACACCTATAATATTTTAAGATTTAAGTTATAAGAGTTTAAATGGTAGGAGATTGAAGTCAGGGAATAAAGATTATAGAGATATTCAATGATATCAGAAAGACTGAGTTATAGAATTTTATAAAAACTTTTAACTTTGGGTAAGTTATCTAACTCTTCTGAGCTTTATTTTGCTCAACTATACAAAGAATAATAACATTTGAATCTCATAGGGATGTGGTGAAGATTAAATGAGTAATTCAAATATTACAAATAGCTCATACAGTAGCTATTTAAATTATAGCTACCATGTTTCCCCGAAAATAAGACATCCTCCGAAAATAAGACCTAGCGCATGGAAAGATAAGACATCCCCTGAAAATAAGACCTAGCGCAACTTTGGGAGAAAAAATTAATATAAGACACTGTCTTATTTTCGGGGAAACGGGGTATTATAAATTAGGCAATTTAGTATGTAAAAATTCTTAAAATATTCATAATTATGGCAAAATCCCAGAATGGAACAGTCTTCAATTTTGAGAGTGAGACTAGGGTGGACTTAAATGTCTTAGCTTCACTGAACAAGCATATGTTTTCTACTCTGAATTACAATTCATTAAATGCCGACAAAGAAATGACAAAGGTGCTTAGTTCTGGCAGATTACCAAAAAATTATATCACCACCAAATCCTGTGGGCACAAAACATAACTCAGCTGTAAAAGTCCATGTCACTGCGATCTAAGAATTAAAAAAAAAAATGGGTATTACCCTGTGGATCCTGTCCTTTTTGTGTGCTGCAGTCGGTACCTTTCCTATACATATGTGTTCCCTCTGCTGACAAGGGTGAGATGGTTAATGTAACACATGTAACAGCAGCTGGCATTTCAGTACCTGGTACATGGCAGGACCACAGCAATATTTATGCCTTCTACATTTATCTTTTCTATCTCTCTTCATCCTTTCACAGCTTTCCCTTCCTTCACTTAAAAAAAAAAAAAAGTGCAAAGATTAACTTAAAACATTTCTCACTGTTTGGCCCAGTCTTTCCTGTGAGTAGTCTTCAACAGAAAGAAGAAAAAAAAGCTGCTCGTTTTCATATTTTAGTGGTTATTTTCCTCTTCTTCTTTTAGTTTAGAAAAATCTTTTAAATCAATTACACTTGAATCCATTTTATATAATCAATATGTTGGGATTATTTAAAAGAAATAAAACAATTACCTTTACTAAATGTGGTTTCACCATGGTTACTACAGATGTATAGCGCTCCAATACAGGTGGAAACCCAATTTCTAATTGTGTTTTGCAGTATCCGGATCTCCTTGATATTATATTGGATTTTTGACACCATGGAACAAAATGCTTGTAATCTTCCATTCCTGCTACAACATCATACATTTCCTGCATAGAGTATCTTTAAAGAAAAGAAAAAAAAAAAGAACTGTCAATTGCCTTTAATTATATAAATATAACAAGGTATACATATACTTTAAATTGAATATAAATAAAACTTATTGCATATGAGACAATAAATCACTTAGGACACGCTGAACCATATATAACTCTGAAATGAGTGACCTCAGAGGAACACAAAATGAAAGGGAACTAACTGTACACATATAGCAGAGGTCATAATTTGGCACACCACAGACTGGATCTGGCTTGCAGATGTACTTTTTGTTATTTTAATTAATGGCCAGCACTTAAAAATTGATTTTGTGAGAAAAAAAAACTTAATGTTTACCAGTTGTTAAACAATAAATGCTTAATATGATAGTAATAAATGATTAATAAATTCTGGTACACCCACATAATAGAACTCTGTCTCAGTTATTTAAAAGATCAAATATATACTTTAGACTTGCAAGCATATCAAATTTACGGCCCACAACGAATATTTTTGCAGCCCAGCCAATATAACATTATGTAAGAATTTTTAAATAAAATTTTTGTAAATTTTTATAATATCCTGATATACATAATTATTAATAACTACAACGTTCGATAATGACTAATTACTATAACTGTGTTGCATTTATTTCCCTTACGCACAGGCAAACCATTTCTCTCCACTAATACTAGCAGCAAATATTCTAGCAGCCAGCTGCCACGTCATTAGTCTTATAATGACTTGTTTGGTGTGCGCAACAGGAAATATTTCACTTTCAGAGAACAAGAAAAATAGGTTTATTTGCATTATGCTTATTTATTTGTGTAGTTATTCAGTGTCTAGTAAGTTAATGTTCAAAGAAAAAAAATATTAATTTTTATTAAATGTTCTATTATTTTATGTTAATGATGACATTTATTTCAGCCCTTTGTATTCAGCATGTCTCTATTGAAATATACCTATGTTTTTTTGAAAATTGAAGCTTTTGTTTTTTTGCAGCCCACAAAAACTTAAACCTTGTTTATTTGGCCCGTGTTAGCCTTTGTGTTTGACATGCTTGCTCTAGTCCACAGCAAAAAGATTTATCATAAATTGTTAAATGAAATAAAGCACATTTCATGCCCAGCCAGCATGGCTCAGTGGCTGAGTGTTGACCTATGAACCAAGAGGTCACAGTTTGAATTCCGGTCAAGGCACATGCCTGGTTATGGGCTCAATCCCCAGTAGGAGACATGCAGGAGGCAGCCAATCAGTGAGTCTTTCTCATCACTGATCTTTTTCTCTCTCTTTCCCTCTTTTCCTCTCTGAAATCATAAAAATATATTTTTAAAAAACGCAAATAAAAAGACTCATAGATTCAGAGATCAGACTGATGTTTTCCAGAGGGCTGGGCACTTGGGAGCTGGGTAAAAAAGGTGAAGGGATTAAGAACTACAAATTGGTAGTCACAAAATAATCACAGGGACCTAAAGTACAGGATAGGGGATATTGTTAATAATATTGCAATAACTATGTATGTTACCAGGTGAGCACTTGAAATATTTGGGCTATCCCATTGTGAAGTATATAACCATCAAACCACTATGCTCTACACCTAAAATACAAAATAATACTGAATGTAAACTGTAGTTGAAAAATAAAACAAAAAAGAGAAAGACTCTGTTGACTAAAAAATTACAAAAGTCACAAGTTGGATGGAGCCTGGGTTTCTGAATCACTACTACTTAGGAGGATTGCTGCTCAGGGACTGGGGCTACCCACTTGAACTTTACATGAGAAAGAAATAAACACTGGGTTTTATCCATACCCCTGCTAGCATTACCTTAACTAGCCAATAATAAAGATAATTTAGCAACAAAAATTATGAGTCAGCAGAATGCCCTTTACTACAGAAAAATCAGAACAAAAAAAAGCAACTAAATAAATGAATAAAATGTACTTTTACAAGAATTCATGTACTGCCTAATGGCCTGTAATAGAATGAGGACCCTCTTGTAAAAATTTCCATAAGTTGCCAAACTGGTGTGGCTCAGTGAATAGAGCGTCGGCCTGTGACCTGGAAGGTCCCAGGTTCGATTCCGGTCAAGGGCAGGTACCTTGTTTGCGGGCACATCCCCAGTGGGAGGTGTGCAGAAGGCAGCTGATTGGTGTGTCTTCCTCATCAATGTTTCTAACTCTCTATCCCTCTCTCTTCCTCTCTGTAAGAAATCAATAAAATATATATTTAAAAAAAAAAATTCCCGTTAGATGGATGCTGTATTTCTGGCTTAGCAGAACTGCAGAATCTCTATCCTATGGTACATATACCCCTAGATCAGGGCCCCAATGCTTGTTTTTATAAATAAAGTTCTATTAGAACAAAGCCATGCCCTTTTATTTACTATATATTTTCTATGGCTACTTTGGGGCTACATTGAGAGTTGAATAATTGCAACAGAGACAGTATGGCCTACAAATCCTACCATATTTACTATCTGGCCCTTTACAGAAAAGGTTCTAGATGGTAGGGGTCTCTCAGTATGTCTGTATGTACTTATCTCTGCATGTGTGTATGTGAGGGAGCTAGTTAAACATATTTGGGGCCTAGGTATTAGTAATGGTGCCACTGCACAATAATAATGCAGGTCGTAACAGCTTAATTATTTTCTTTACATGTCAAGGTTGAAATATATCCTATAAAATTACCATATAATTATATCCACTTAAAATATATTTATAAAAAGCAATAGCTATAGAAAGGCCACTATAAGGACAGCACTTAGCCTACAAGCAGAAAACCCAGAAAAAAGAGGCACAATACTCGATAGAAAAGAACGTGCTGTTTAGTAGAACTATTACTGTATACAAACCCTATAATTCTCCTCTCTGAATACTCTTTTCTCTTGTTTATTAACGGTGCAGCAATTTTGAAGAAAGTTCTTGCATATATTTCCTTGGGCAAAACTGATGTATGTAGTAGAAGATTTCTGCTCATCAGTATACCACAGGAAGCTAAGTATCTAAAAAGACAAACAGTATGTGATTTAGATTACATTAAAAATTAAGAGGAAACAAAATGATAGAGATTGTAAAATGACTGTCACACTTTAGAAGGCTCTGCCACTTTACAATATTCCTGAAGTGAAACAAGCTTCTTAAGCACCATAACTAAAATAACAGCTTACAGTTAGGCTTCAAAGCTCCTGGCACAAAGGGAATCTCCCCAAACCCAAAACGTTGGCTTTTAGCGATGGTCATATTACAGCAAAATCTTGCCATACACTTGCTACAATATTCATTGTATATTTTCCAACTCATCTTACCAAGGTTGTTTTCCCAGCTGGAACCATAGAGGCTCCTTAATGCTTTTTTTTTTTTTTTTTTTTTTTTTTTTTAAGAGAGGGGAGAGAGAAATATCAATGTGATCAGTTGCCTCCGACTGGAGATTGAACCTACAACCTGGATAGGTGCCTTGACCAGGAATCAAACTTTTTTTTTGCTGTACAGGATGAGGCTCCAACCAACTGAGTTACACCAGCCAGGGCAGGGTTCCTTAATTTTTTATCTTCTCTATTAGATTTGAAATTAGGTCTCACTATCAGATTGGAGACCGGGTCACCCTATCTGAACGGTTGTTCATCATCCTGGCACAAAAGGATGGAATATTTCAAGAAATTAAATACTGGGTCGAAACCGGTTTGGCTCAGTGGTAGAGCGTTGGTCTGCGGACTGAAAGATCCCGGGTTCGATTCCGGTCAAGGGCATGTACCTTGGTTGCGGGCACATCCCCAGTAGGGGGTGTGCAGGAGGCAACTGGTCGATGTTTCTCTCTCATCGACATTTCTAGCTCTCTATTTCTCTCCCTTCCTCTCTCTAAAAAAATCAAAATATTAAAAAAAAGAAATTAAATATTGCGGGAAACATGATAAAACAAGATTGCTTTGTGAATTCCAAGTTTTCTAAGACATCACAAGTATAATAGTAGTTGATTTTATAATAAATGGTAAGGACATATTTCAAAGATATCCATGATATTCTTTTTTAGTAAGAGATTTTAGATAGATTCCTCTCCTAAAGAAGGTTAAGGGTGTTATGCAAATCTTATTTTAAAGGTGAAGATAATATTAAAAGAAGTGATTTTAATTTTTTAGTAAACCTATAGTTTACTTTAACATGGGATTATACAAATAAAAGTGAATGGCACATATTCCGATAAATAAAGTAGAGCAGTGAAAATAAAATAATTACACCAGTATGGCTCAATGGACAGATTGTCCCCCTGCAGATTAAAGGGTCCAAGGTTTGATTCTGGTCAAGGGCACACACCTTGGTTGCAGGCTCAATCCCTGGCCCTGGTCAGGGCGCATGCAAGAGACAGCCAATTGATGTGTTTCTTTAACACTCATGTTTGGTCGTCCGTCTCCCTCCCCCCTTCCCCCCCCCCCCCCCACTGCACACCCCTCCCCCTCTTTCTCTCTTTCTGTCTCTCTCTCCCCCTCCCTTCCATTCTCTAAAAAATAAATAAATAATTAGGAAGTTCATTTAGCTCCATCTTTTAAAAAGAAACCACAAAAATAATTTAGAATATGTTAGCCACACTGACTACAAATCCAAATTTGGTGTACAAAATGCCTAATTATCCGTTTCCCTTCTAAGACATTCTTAGATGTCTTTAACTGCTGTAACAGTTTTACCTAGTTTCCCTACTTTTTGTTAGATACCTTGTTATCTATTATAAAAACCAATTATGTAAAGATATTGTGCACAATTATACTAATTTTCTGATAAATCAATATCAGGGAAAAAAAGCTTCTATGAGATAAACTTTTATTAAAAAAAAAAAAAAGAGGGATCATTGCTCTGAAAAGGTGAACTGAACTGAAGGTCTGGTTAATAGGATTCTTACTTCTAAATATATATGGTTTTAAGTTTGGTAGTAAGTTCATGTAATACCATCCCTTCAGTCCCTCAAAAGAAACCCCTACACAATCCAATTGTAATCATTAACAAAACCCCTGTGTTTAAAGCAAGCTTATAGGAGTTTACCTGCTCAGTTTTCAGACTATGGTAACAATGCCCTGGACAGCACATCTATTTTCATACACTATCAAGAATAACGTGTCTTCAACTGCAATATGAGAAGACATACAATCATATATATGCTTAACCATGAAATAAAAACTGGACCAGTTGAAGGACAGCTTTTTTGGTCATTCACCTTCCAATATTACATTTCAATGTTAGAGTATGTATAATACTCTATAATAATATAATTATCAAATAATATTTATTGTAATTACATATAACTGTTAGTGGAGAAAAATGTACCTCGTCTTCCCTCACTGCCAGTGGGAGTGAGGTTCTTGGGGTGCCGCTGGAAGAATTTCCGGAGGCCCCACGGGAGGCTGAGATACGCTAGAAAGCTTTATCTCCTTGGAATTATGCTGCTGGGTTTCTAAAGGCCCATGTCCCTTAGGCCAGCTGTAGAAGTGCAGCGGGGGATTCAGTAAAGCTAGAAGCAAAGCCAGTGTCGTTTCCTCTCCGGGTTGGAGCTGGGTCCGGTTCAGCATCAGGCCAGCTGCAGTCCATGAGTTCATTGTGTGGGGGCAAATGCAGGGAAGCAGGCACATAAGCCAGAGTCACGTGAGTCCCAAGAGGGCCAAGAACATGAGAGAGCAAACTTCTTTGTTTAGGGGATTACATCTTCCCAAAGTTCTGCATGTTGGAAGTGGCTACGCCCATTCTGTCCAAAGACCTCTGTTCCCAGGTAAGACAGAAACGCTACAGCTTCCCTGCCACCCCAACCTTACCGGGCAGGTCTATCTTCCCTTTAAACTGACCCCTTCCCCCAATGTTCTGCAGGGAACGTGCCTATAATGTCTGGCCTCCCCTTTGCTCCTTTACTATTATTAATAACTAGGTAAGTACAATAGTGTCATAACTATATGTCATCTACTAATATAATTATAACAATCTATGTTGATGATTCATAGGCCAGAATCCACGTTAATGCTTCTGACTAGCAAAGAACTCATAAACTCCCTCCATCTTCATTATCATCAACAATAGGTATTTATCTTGAAATGTAAGCCTTAATTATGACACTAAAGCAACTGTACTTGTCTTCCTAAAAGCGACTGTTTTTGCTTATTTGCAACCCAAACGTTTTGTAAGAGTAATACAAGCAGATCTAAAGCACCATAGGTGTGTGTTTTGTTTGGAACTACTTTCTCGGGTTATTTTCTGAAGCAGGGGGGTAAACGTTGTTCAGAGGATTTTTATTTCCATTTCAACCACTATTTGTCTGAAAAGGATGCGTTGGCCTTTAAAAAATTCTTCACAGAACCTAAATGCCCTGGAGCTCAACTAGACGCGTGATTTCTCCCTCCGTTCCGTATTGTTTACAACCGATTTCAATGTTGGAGCATCATTAATGACATTGTCGTAAGTGAGAAGAAACTAAGGGATGGAGGAAGCAAGGAAATGTTTCACGCTTCACGTCCTTCTCCACCACCTTCCCCCATCTCTATCCCCACCCTCCCCCCCACCTCCCCGTCCCCCCCAAAAAGGAACCAACCGGAAAAATCGAAGACAGACTCTGAGTTCAAGGTTACAGGACCTGCAAGTTACAGTGCAGAGAGAAAAAAAAAAATTTTTTTTCAAGTCCCTTACGTCGGCTGCATTTCGTTTTGCAAGAACCAAAGGGCGGGGGCAAAGACCTCGACCAGAACCCGGGAAAGCAGCACGCCCGGTCCTCCGGCCCGCGGGGCGGGAGGCGCAGGATGAGGGGTTCGCTCCCGGCGCAGAGCCCGGCGCCGGGAAGGAGAGCGGAAAAGCCCCAGGCACGCGAGGCCGCCGGCTTATCAGCTGCTCCCGGGCGGCTGCGCCCGATGATTCACCGCCTCTCGCGAGGCCAGGGAGCCACAGAGGCGGCGGGATAGGCTGGCGAGCGTCGGGCCCCCGCGGAGAAACGCGGCGCCCAAATCTCTCCAATGGAGAACCCCAGAACCCTTTCCGTCCGGGTCCCGGTCCGGGTCCGGGTCAACTCATAGACCCCCCGTTCCCCTACCCCCACGGGTCCGGGCGGAAAACTTCCCGGGTCGCGGCGCCGCAGTTGTTTATTACCTGACGTTCCGCGTAGGCCCCTGCGCCGAAACCGGGGGTCCCGCTGCTGCCGGCGACTTTGGACCACATCCTGAGGCCGAGACCACCTTCTTCAGGATACTCTGACCGGTTCGAGCTGCCATGATCGTCTCACTGAAGCCGGTACCCACCTCCTGGACCAAACTCGCGGCACCGCCCATCTCCGCCGAAGCCAGGTCCCGCCCGGTTCCGGTGCCTCGCGGCCAATGGGAGGTCGTCCTGAGCCTCCGGACCCGCCCCTTCTTCCTCTCCGGTTGCGTAAAGCTGACGCATGTTCCCACCGCCTCAGGGCCGAGAGTCAGCGTGCACGTCATCCCGCCGGGCCAATCAGAGGGAGCGCCGGGCTGTGGACACACCCACCCCCTGGCCGGCACCCCCGCAGTCGCTGCGCTTCCCGCTCGCGGACTGTTTACTCCGCCTCCGTCCGAGACCCGCCGGCCTCCGCGCTTCTGCTGGCTGGGCTTCGCTGTGGGTCGCGAGGCCGGACACGTGAGCGCCGCCTGGGCGTGGGGGGAAGCCGGATGTCCCCAGTGTTAATTGTGTAACTGTCCAAAGCGGTGCGTGCCGAGCCGGCCCCGCCGTGGCTCCCGGTGCCAGGCCCGGCGGGCAGGCTGGCTGTTAATGATTGTCTGTCCTCTGTACAGTACCTGCTGTGCCGGCTCCAGGGGGCAGCGGGAGGGCAACCTAAAGCCACGTCCTTAGGGAAGGGACGTTGGTTCTTTGTACCTTCCTCCTGCGTGGCCAACAGCTTATTTAGCTGATGATCCTGGGTGGTTGGGGTTTACCTGGTTGTATACAAACTCAACAGCCATTGCTCCCATTCACCATTTCGGGAATCGGTTACCAAGCCCCGACATTTCCCCCTCCCTTTGTTCCCAGGTTCTTATTTAACCTTCCTATACCATAGTTTCTTGTAAACTGAGGATAGCAACACTACTTCCTGCCTAATGCGGATTTTTTTTCAATAGATGGAGTTACACATATGGTGATATATATGTGATTTTGTTGTATTGACAACAAGCTTCAAAACTTCATGTCAAATTTGCTGAAGGTGTTAACATCATAGATATTATGCTTAAAAATGTCGAATTTCGTGCCAAAAAAAGGCATTTTCGGGAAGTTTTAATTCATTATTTTGAAGAAATGTGCTGCTGAAAGTTATTGTATACTTCGGGAAGCTTATGGTGAACATGCTCCATCTCAAGATACTTGTGAATGCTGGTTTAAACGCTTTAAAAGGGATGATGTCGATGTGAAAGACTAACATCCAGCTCAACAAAAAACATTTGAAGACCAACAATTACAAACATTATAGGATGAAGATGCATGTCAAACTCAGAAACAACTTGCAGAAATATTGAACATTGCTCAGCAAACAATTTCCAATCGCTTACAAGAAATGGGAAAGATTTTAAAGGAAGAAAAATGGATGCCACATCAACTGAACGAAAGACAAATGGAAAACCAAGAAGTCATCAGTAAAATGTTGCTTCAATGGCATGAAAGTATTTTTTAAAATATCTATTTTATTGATTTTTTAACAGAGAGGAAGGGAAATAGTCAGAAACATCGATGAGAGAGAAACATCGACCAGCTGCCTCCTGCATTCCCCCCACTGGGGATGTGCCCGCAACCAAAACACATCCCCTTGACTGGAATCGAACCCGGGACCCTTCAGTCCGCAGGCCGATATTCTATCCACTGAGCCAAACCGGCTTTGACAAAAGAAAGTATTTTTTGCATCAAATTGTTACTGGCTGTGAAAATGGATTTATTTTGAGAATCCCAAATGCACATAATCATGGATTGATCCAGGTCAACTATTAACATCGACTGCAAGGCCAAATCACTTCGGAAAAAGGCAATGCTCTGCGTTTGGTGGGATCAGGAAGGTGTGATGTATTATGAGCTTCTAAAACCAGTTGAAACTGTTAATACTGATTGCTATCAACAACTATCAATTTGAACCACGCCTTGATTGTAAAACGACCAGAAGGGGCCAGAAGGCACAGTAAAGCAATTTTGCTTCATGATCACACACTTCAAAACCAGTTAAAGGCACGTTAAAAGTTCTTGCCTGGGAAGTATTAACCCACCTGCCATATTCACCAGGTCTTGCTCCTTCAGATTACCACTTTTTCTGATCGATTGCACATACACTTTCTGAGTAGCACTTCAAAACATACGAAGAAGTGGAAAATTGGGTCTCTGAATGGTTTGCCTCAAAACAAGAAAAGTTCTATTGGACGGTATTCACAAATTACCTGAAAGATAGGGGACATGGTGGAGGGGAGCAATGCAGTGGGGGTGGAAATGAGGAACATTTGTAATAATATGAACAATAAAGATTTATTTTTTAAAAAATAGGGGAAATGTATAACTAGCGATGTACATTACTTTGAATAAAGCACTTTTTAAAATATGTGTTTTTTTATTGATTTCAGAGAAGGGAGAGTTAGAAACATCAACGATGAATCATTGATTGGCTGCCTCCTGCACGGCCTGCATTGGGGATCGAGCCTGGAATCTGGGCATGTGCCCTTGACGGGAATCGAACCCAAGACCCTTCAGTCCGCAAGTACGACGCTCCATCCACTGAGCCAAACCAGCTAGGGCGAATAAAGCTTTCTTGATGTTTGTCTTGAAATTATCTTTTCTTTGATTATAAAATTGCTTTATTAATTGGTACACCTGGTAAATGAAATAGTTGATTAAATATATCAACAAATAGTTGGAAGGGGGTGCTTACTCTTTGCCACTTTAGGTGCTGGATTAATGAACAGAAGTCTATTTTTTTTAAAGCATGGGTGTATCCACAGAGAATTCTGTCCCTTTTATGTTTTTTAAAAAAATATATATTTTATTAATTTTTTACAGAGAGGAAGGGAGAGGGCTAGAGAGTTAGAAACATCATTAAGAAACAGATCAGCTGCCTCCTGTACACCTCTACTGGGATATGCCTGCAACCGAGGTACATGCCCCTGACTGGAATCGAACCCGGGACCCTTCAGTCTGCAGGCTGACGCTCTATCCATTGAGCCAAACCAATCAGGGCCCTTCTTTGTTCTTAATACATATTTTTATTGATTTCAGAGAGGAAGGGAGAGGTAGAGAGAGAGACCCATCAATGATGAGAGAGATTGATCAGTTGTTTCTTACACGCCCCGACCAGGAATCTGTGATCTCCTGGTTCATAGGTTGACAACCACTAAGCCAAGCCAGCCGGACTATCATAGAGGTGAATTTTAGAGGGGCAAATCCATGAACTAGTATGTAACACAATGTCAGATAATCATGCGCTGTAGGAAAAAGGGCAAGGAGATGGAAAGGGGTCAGGCAGGGTACAATTTTCTGTAGGGCGGGCAGGTGGCTCTCTGAGGAGGCACAGAACAAAGGCCTAAATGAAGCGAGGAAGTGAGTTATGTGACCATTTGGGGGGAAGTTACTTCAGGTGGAGGAGAGAGCACTGCACAGGGCTCAGGCAGAAACAACCTCGCCCTGCTTGTTGAAGAGCAAGGGCTTTGGGTCACAGCGAGTGAGGAGTGGTAGCCAATGAGGTCAGGCAGTGAGGGCTTCCTCAGAGTGCCTGGGAGGTCACGGGACCAGCTCTGGGTTTTAGCCCACGTGAAAAGGGAAGTCATTTGAGTTTGAGGGTAGAATGGTGGCTTGGTTTTATTTACATTTACAGAAATATTAGCTGCTGTGCGTATGTATGATGGTTATTTTCTATTCTTGCTTTGTTTATTGCAATCATTAGATGCTTTGTGGAGTTGAAATCCCCAGCTACAAAGTTTGTCAAACATCTTTCAATACAAAACAGATGTACTTGTTGATTCAGGTGGTTCTGTAGCTGTATCCAAACAATTCTAGATCAGATTAGCTTCAAATTCATAATTCCTGCTCTTCTTGCCTTAAATCCTAAATATTTCCAGTTATGTCTTCCATTAAAACATTTTCATCATATAATCTCCCTGCTCAAAAACCACAGTGCCTACAAAATACAGGCATTATACTGCTACCTCCTACTAAATTCTATTTCAAAGGATTGTTAACTAGAAGGCCTGTTAAACATTTTTTAGTACATGATGTGCTTACGTACTTAACATAAGGTCTCCTTTTATTCAGTTAACCAAACATTTTCTCATTCACCTCTACCCAGGCATAGGAAAATACCTACTGAATTAGGCCAACCAATTGAATAGTTTCCCAATTTAAAAAAAAGTAAAGGCAAACAAAGGAGTCTTTATAATAGATGGCACTGTGTGGTACTCATTTGATTTCTCAGCAAAGAATAATATTTCATAAACTTCAAGGTGTTGGTAAACTCTGGTTCAGTTTCAGTGCTTCCATGAATTATGGGTTAAAAGGTCTCTCTACAATCTGAAAAGACGTAGTAATTTAAAAGAACCCAGACCTATGAGTAACAGTATCTTGAGTCCAAACCAACTATGCTGTCAAATATATTTGACACAATATTACATATTAAGTATTCTTGCCAAAATAATTGAATCTGAATCTGGTCAAGCTTTTAGATATGCTAATTTACATAGGGAATAGAAGAACAGATTAAAGGACATCAATGTAATACAATCTGCCAAATACAGAACATGGAAAGTACTGTAAGACCAATGATCCAATTTCCTCAAATAAATGTCAAGTGAAGAAGGAGGAAGAGCACACTGTTGTAAATTTAAAAGATTTAAGGGGCATTATTTGGATTTTATTTTGAACAGACTAGAAAAAAAAAGTATACAAGACTGGGAATTTCGAATGAAATTTCTACTTTAGTAAAAAGTCATACTGAGGATCTTACAGATGAAATATGTCTGCAATTTGCTTTAAAGTAATCCAGTGTGGGTGGAGGAATAAAGTAAATGAAATAAAATCCATCATTTGTTGATAATAATTGAACTGGATGATGGGTACATGGATAGTTTATAATAGTATATCTAATTTTTATGGATGCTTGAAATCTTTTGTAATAAAAACCATATATATATATTTTATCTTTCACTGTTTATATCAATAGAATAACCTTCCTAGCATGCAGACTGAAGGATCAAGGGCATATCCCCAGTAAGAGGTGTGCAGGAGGCAGCTGATTGATGTTTCTCTCTCATTATGTTTCTAACTTTCCCTCTTCTTTCCTCTCTGTTAAAAA